TTCATATTTAAACGACCATCCCCACTTAGGTTCAACATCCGCTTCCCCATTTGTGTCACAAATCAAAGGTCGGTGGTCCGATCGTTCTCAATCCATGTGTAGAACCCGGCCGAATGGAAAAGATTACCCCACTCTTCAGAAGCCACGAGCCGATCCAACCGCTCCTCAATAAATGCACTCCCGGTCCGTCTATTCTCCCAAGTAAAGGGGTAACCTTGGAAGCCAAGGTCCGACAACCCGACTTCATGGAGACATTCATCAAATCCAATCATCACATCATCCACTATGACCCGACCCCCTCTCTTCTCCTCCAAGCAGCGAACTTGATTAAGGTCACCTCCACACAGCCACAGACCTTCCCACTGAGCCGCCAATCTTCGAAAGAGTTCCCAAGTTCTCCATTTATCACCATCCTCCGACCACCCATATATTCCTGAAAATCGCCAGTGACCTTCCACGTCTTTCGAAACTCTCACGTCCACATGGTTAAAAGATATAGACATGACTTGAATGTTAATGCCTTCTTTCCACCATAAGCTTAACCCTCCAGCCCGACCACCCCTTGACTGATCAGTGGACCAGCTATCCCCCTCTTCGAAACCAAGTTCTTTTTGAGTTACTTTATTTTCATATGCAGTTTGTTTCGTCTCCATAAGGAAAACGACATCTGGGGAGCTCTGTCGCAGTAGCGACTTTAAAGCTCGAACTGCTCGCTTGCTCCCCAGCCCGCGACAGTTATAGCTGAGAATCCTCATTAATTACCTAAAGGGGATCGGTTCCCCGCACCATCAGACATATTGGTTTTTGTAGAAAGCTTTACCCCTTCATCTTCATCCCTAACCGGCTTGGAGCCCCCATTTTTCATCTTGTGGTTATTGACCCCATCACTTGCATGGTTTGCATGGCGATACGTCACTTCCGCATTATCTCTCTTCTCACTATGGTGTTGTGCACCAGACTTTCCACCCCCCTTCTCTTTTTGCACTCTCTCATTTGTCATTGGGCGGTTCGAGGGATTGGTTTTAGTCCCCCCTTTACCTGTCGAGCTCTGATCCTTTGCCTGCGCCGCTTCCGCCACCTTTCCATTGGGCTCGTTTTCTTTTGATCTACCGCCCATGTTTTCTTGTATAACCTTCTCCACTGCCCCAGACCTGGGGCCATTTCCTTTATTCACCTTCTCGGCCTCCTCATCCAAAATAGCATAACGATTTGCCTGAACCCCTCCGCGTCTCGAAGGGCTCATCCTCATAGTATTATCCGCTCGTCGATTGGACCAGGCCGACTTCTTCTTAACCGACATCCAGTCCCCGTATGTCCGCCCCTCAGTTTGGGAGGCCACTGGAGCTGCTCGGGATGGTACCGGCAAGACATCAGCCGTCTCCTCACCCATTTGCTTGCAACTACACTTGTTCGAGCGCTGCCCATACATACCGCAATCTCCACAAATATCCTCTAGACCTTCATATTGGATTATGTAGGTCACGCCCTCCACTTTATACTTCGACAGAAGAGGCTTGGTTAGATCCACTTCAACGCTAACACGGGCATAATTACTCCGAGCCCCCAGTTCCGTGGCTCGATCCACCCTGGTAGGTTTTCCTATTAGTTCAGCAATCATAGTCACCGCTTCAACATTAAAGAATTCAATAGGGAGGTCTGGTAGTTGCACCCACACGATCGTTGACTTCACCGTCGCCTTCCACGGATTAAATCCCTTGAACCAACGATGAACCGTTAGATATGTGTCACCAAGCAGCCATGGTCCTTTCTCAGCAGCAATCTCATAGTCTTTCTGGTTCCGAGACCGCACTAGGAAGCAACCGTTGTTCATGTCTCAAATCTGGATCTCTCCAAGGTGAGCCCACAGAAAATTCAAGCGCCTCGCCAGGGGCAAATAAGCAACCTTCTTACCTAGCCCTTGCACTATTAGTGCTGACCTCCATTCCCTTCTCCACTTCACTTTCTCTGCGGCGGTAAAAGGTACAGTAGGGCAACGGGGGTCATAAACCTCCTCATCAATCCCCTCATCCTCCTCCCTCTCACGTTGGAACACATCTTCCGAATCAGATTCAGCAACATACCATCCATCTTCCTTTAGAACGTCACTAAACGACCTAGGGCTTCCTTCCGACTAGGGATGGCAACAAAATCCGAACCCACGGGTACCCACCCGACCCAACCCGGTCAACGCGGGTAAAATTCGTGTTGACGGGTTTTGGGCCGGGTTTGGGTTTAAACCCGTTCACTATTCATCGGGTTGGGTTGGGTTTGGGTTTAGGTAAACCCGACCCATGGGTACCCGCCCACACCCATATAATTAATTTTCTCGGTATATTTAATATTCTAAACAACTAATCTTATTTATGTTTGTGGAGACATGTCTAATTTTTCTTTCTGATTGTGTAGAACGAAGTTGATGTTATCAAGTGGAGAGTGAAGAAACTTAATTGAAAGGAAGAAGTTTTCAATTAATCATGTTATTTATGGATAATTTATGATTTGGTTCAATTTTCTTGAGTTTTCTAGATTGGTGATGAACAATTTGTATAGTTAATTTGTGATTTGCTTGAATTTCTAGAATGGTGTTTTATATATGAATAATTTGTATTGAGAGATTGATATTTGGTTTTAATTTTGATAGGAACTTATTATTGTAATTTTATACGACAAAAACCCGTGGGTACCCATGAACCCGCGGATACCCGGCGGGTTGGGTTGGGTTTGAGTTTTTCAAACCCAGTGGATTTTATTCCGGGTTTTTTTCACGGATAAACCCATGGGTTTGGGTTTGGGTTTGGCAAAACCCGACCCATTGCCATCCCTACTTCCGACCAGGTTCCTCTTGGATACCCAGACTTTCCTTCATCATTGCCATGGTCCTCCCGATCTTCAGTTTCCATCTCCTCTTAGACCTCCTCGGTAGAGTTGGGGTGCTCGTTAGGGAACTCCATAGCTCTGACCTTCTTCATAGACTGTACTGTCTCTTTCACACTCTTCCCATCAGGAGAGCAGGAGCCTACCGCCGATCGCCTAGCACCACTTATGTCCGGTGGTTTCTTCGTCGGCAGTGATGTTCCTGTCGGCGGAGGCGCCGCCATCGCGAAGCGGGATAAACGCAGGCCTTAGGTTTTTGCGAGGGTTAAAACCTCTGATTTTCTCGGAGCAAAATTTTTTTGTCCCTACTCTTAGCATCAAGGGGAAGTTCTTCGATTTGATTTGGTTTATTTCATAATCAAGATGTTACTTACGATTTTTTATTGAGATAAATCTTATTCAACTCACAAGACTAGCAAGGCCCGAGGATCAAATATGCCCAAGTTTTGGTGGGTAACTCCGTACAACAAAAACAAGTCCCAAGGAAGAAATATGACCCTTAGCAAAGACTATGAGTTTCCGTCACTAAATATCACTTAACTTTTAATCCTTTTAGTCTAGTGGTCGCTGAAAAAAGAGATAATTTTAAGAATACTTTCTAAACAACCAAATTTTGCTCATCTTCATCGGAGGTCTTTCAGTTTTTCGCCACTATTTGTCATCTCAAGGATTCCTAGGCCCTAGCTAATATATATGTAACCTTTGTTTACGCTTTTGTAACGAACATAATATCTTCGTTATATTCCACTCCTTTACATTTAAATCACGTCAAAGGAGCCTTCATAAGAACTACATTGAATCGTTCGAAACGAAAGAGAAAAAAAGAACCCTAGCTCTCTCTCTGTCCAGCTACCCAATCCACTGATCAATCTACAAGGGCTCAAACAGCAGCGATTGCGACCTCGCTCCCGGATGAACAAGCACGAGCGTCTGGTACCTCGACTTATGACACGGACTGGTTTTAGCAGTCAGGTAAAGATGGTACACGAGGCCTCCGGCTCCTCCAGCCCCCAAAACCTCGCCCTCTTCCACGCTCACCAGTTACATCATCTCATCCCAAATCGGAAGAAACGGACTGACGTGTTGTCTAATCGCGAACCATGCAATGTCACGAATCTTGTGTGATTTTAACAACTCGAGCTTGTCTTAAAAGCATAGTATATATGTTTAAAAGAGATATTTTCAACCCTCCAAATACGCATAGTTCATCGACCAACTAATTACCCCTTTATATTTTAATTTGGAACAATAAAAAGTAATAAAAAATTCACATTATATGAAAATAGAAGCTTTATATTGTTCTTACGTTCGAATATAATATCAAATGGATGGTTTTATATTCGAATCTCAAAATTGTTATCATATGTCATATACACATTTTGTCATTAAAGATGATGATTATTGATGTTGTTATTGTTATTGATGACTAAACTGTTATTAAAAGTGGTAATTTTGAACATGTTTAGAATAGAGAGCTAAACAAGCAAGTGTATGCATAGAGAACCAAATGCATTTTCTCGGATTTGGTCCAATATAGTTTCCTCCTCTGTTTCCCGTCCAATCCAATTATCTACTCGATGTTTATGAGCAAGCAAGAAATATGAGCCTTTTATAATCAAATTCGAATGGGAAAATTAATCAATAATCATGGACCCGCCTTTTAAAACGTGTTAGGTTTTTGCGCGAGTGCATGATTTAGTCGAATTATAAATATTTAGCCACCACTCCGAGTAAGATTATTTTCATAAACACTTTCTAAACAAATCAATAGTTATGGACTCACCTTTTAAATGTGTTAGGTTGTTGCGCGACTGTGTGATTTAGTTGAACTTTAAATCTTTAGCCACCACTCGGAGTAGGATTCTTTTCCTAAATACTTTCTAAACAAATCAATCTCGTCACTATTTGTCCTTTCAAGGATTCCTTACATGTAACATTTTTTAGGCAGTAATTTCTGAAGTTTCCGCTAAGGAAACACGACACCTTTTATTTACTTTGCGCCTTACTTTTAAACCAACAAATACACTGTTTGCTTTGTCGAGTAGAAATTGAGTGGGCAGTGGGCACTAGTACTTGTAGTAATACTACAATCGTTGCAATTGTTTACAATTTTGTGTATTAACTTGTCCCAGGAACATTCATTATTCTCGAAGGTCCTCAAATTCTAGCCTATGGCATGATGCAGTAATTAATTTGACACATTAAAATAGTCTTACTCAATGAATATTTGTTGGTTTTGGCTTCAGTTGTTCACGAGATTTGGTGCAGTAGAACGATATCTAGCGTATCGATGTGTAGAGATAAAAATTAGACACTAGCAATTAATTAAGGGCACAATCACACTTTTGACAAAAAGGACATAATCAACTAATAACACGTTACTAGATAACCAACAAAAGTTTACGTTATTCCTAATTATTAATCAAACAATGAAAAACTTAAAAACTAAAACAAGGACTGCTAAATTATTTTTCATGCAGGATCTTAATTTAACCCTTTAACTATACGTGTGAAAAAAATGAGCTCCATCGCACCAAGCCTCACGTGAACTTCCGTTCGGTACATACTCCCCTTGGAGTCGAGCCTGTTGCCTTCAGCTGCCATCACATCGAGCTTATAGTTCATGCCGTCCACCACCTGGACAAGGCCCCTCCGAATGCTTACGAGTCTCAACGGATGTTTGAAATTGTTTTCCAAGTTGTGCATTGCTACCGCAAACTTTGCAATCTCCTGGATGCGATAGTTGTGTATGTTCTCTATCGGCTGCCACCCACCGTAGGGATTAGCACTGACGGTGGAGAGAATGACTGCGACGGTAGTCAGAGCCACGAGAAATGTAACAGGCTTCATCTTTCGTACGCAACTGATTCTTCGTGTGATTTTGTTTAGGAAGATGTTTGATTGGTGTGTGTTTTGGATGTGAAGCGAAACTGTGGTGTGTATTTATAGGCTATCTTTCTTTCTTTCATTTGTTTGTTTTTTGTTCTTATGGTAAAGTTGTCCATTTTTAGTTATGTATCCCGTTATTATAGATGGTGGGAATATATTTTTGCAATTTTTATGCGTAAGTTTGGCCGTAGACTCTCCTCTTTTACCGATTATTTGTTATCTTCCCAATAAAACATGTCATAGAGTTGTTGACTATTCTTATTTTCTTACCGCCAAAGGTAAAAATATGTTAATGTGAAGGGGAAATGTATAGACGAGCTAGGCGAAGAAGAGCTAGGCTAAGAAGAATATCCAAATTTGGTTTTTGGGTCGAAGTGGTTGGGAGAGTGTTGGTCGAATCAGGTGCAAACAAGGTTTATTCGACCCACTGGGTTTCGCCCTGACGGTGTAAAGGATGATGACAACGATAGTTGTGTCAAGAAAGAAAACAACATTAGAGAAATATTAGCATTTCATGATAATGTGGCCCAACTCAATGAAAAACAAGACGAGTCTAATCAACAACTTGCTAAGGCTCTTGAGAACTTGCTGAATTTAGGAGGATTGTTGCCTGCCTTCAGGCCGGAGGCAAAGTTTAGCTGAACAGGTAAGAGAAGTTTTTAAATCTCACTTGAACTCATTATGATGAAGGCAAATGGTTGGATTCCTGTGGAATATAGTAATTTTTAAGGTTTGCAGTAAAATAAACTATATCATGGTTTGCAGTAAAAAAGTATAGAAATTGACAGTTTGCTAAACACAATACTAGACAAGGGTAGGTCTCCTCATGCGATGAGGCTTTTATCCTTCAAATATAATTAAGCATCTTAAAATACATGGATCATTTCAATGACGAATTTGTTTGAATGATATAATGTGGGTTTTGAAAGATAGTAACTTGTGCCTTCCATTGTTTTTTTGTACATGTTAGCTTTATGATGATTAGTATTTTGGGGGCACAGTAGCTAAAGGAACCATCCTTAGCTAACTTAGAATTTTGGTAAAACTCTCTAGTATGTTTTTTTAACTGGTTTTTTGGTAGCCAAAGTTATCATATTAAGGTGCTTGTTGATTGAATTTTTGTGCAGGTTATCAACTAGTGTTGATTTTTTGACATGGCCAATGATGACGATGATTCGGCAGCATGTACAATGCCGTGAAATCTGTTCCTGTGATGTGCATAACTCTAGAAATAGGGAGCTACTAATCTTGTTCCAAATGTTATGGATGATTATATGTGAGAACGAGATCAGAATAGTAGTCTATATGGTGAGTATAAATCAATGTTGAAGCTACTAATTTAACAACTGTTACTAGTATCTTGTATAAAAGACTGATGTTTATGAGAACAAGTTAGTGTCTTTGTCCCCAAAAATTGAAACATAAAATAATTGCAGGGACATCGCCACAAAGCAGCCCAGAATTGACGACGAATTTTATCTTTAGCGACGGAAATTCCGTCGCAATATGTGAGTTTCATTAATAAAGTTAAGATATCAGCGACGTTATATTCATCGCAGAAACTTTAACAATCCGCGACGATGAAAGGGTCCGTTGCCAAAAGTTTCTATTTGTGACTAACACATCCGTCGCTAAATGCAAACTTTCGGCGACGACGAATTTCGTCGCTAATTAAGCAGTTTTGTGACGAAATTCTCGTCGCAAAAACGAATGTTTTCAATGACGAATCTAGGTTTCCTGCGACGAATCACGAAATTTCGTCGCAGAAATTTTAGCGACGCACTATAGGCGACGATTTTTGGAATATTTTGGCGACGGACGATTTCGTCGCAGATAACTTTTTGCGACGAATTCTTTACTTTTTACGACGAATATTTTCGTCGCAAAAAGTGAAGTTTCTTGTACTGAATGAACTGATTTGCAAGATACTGATCTACAAACTATATAAAGGCAAAACATGGGTTGGAATTCTCCTATTTCAAATTTCGTGGCCTGAGAGTGATGCTAGGCACTAGGCAGATCATTTTTGTCATTGCACTCGGTTCATGTTTATATATTAAAAATGTTATCATTGGAGTTCAAACTTTGGTCACTTAATTGACAAAAGAGTATTATAACCAACTAGGCTACATTTTATTTATTGTTATTTCTTTGATTAAACTCTAGGAATATGTTTGGTGATGATACTTCTATATTTATATTTTATCGTAAGTTATTATATTTTTGCATAATATATAAAGGCAAAACAAGGGTTGTAATTTCAGGGATTAGAATTTCCAGACCTGTGAGAGTTTCACGGAAGGATTATTTGGACAATTTACCTGTCATTTAAATGAAACTTTGCGTTTTGATCTCTTCCCATTGATCCTCCTTTCCCATTGCTGCCAATTACTGGGCCTAATATAAAAATTCAAATGGGCGCGGAATTAGTTGGCCCATTCACATTTATTTTCCTCATTTCAAAATTAATAACAAATTATCAATGTTGTTATAATCTATCGATCGGCAAACGGTGCGAACGGCCAACCGCTCGAGCCTCCCAACCAATTTTCAGCACTCCATCCGCCCATTGAATGACATTGAAACAGAAAATCGAGAGTTTAGGAAGATGAACAGACAGAGTGATGGAAGGGAACGGTCATTCTGGTGAAAATTTTGAAAAACTCAACCCATCGAAGGAAAAGTTGGAGGATAGATGCTTATGGAGTTACGTTTTTGTCATTGTTTGCCAAGGATGAGGGGAACTGGGGAAGAATTAGAAAACTGAACGAAGAGAGAAAGAGGGAGAAAGGCGTGAAGTTAGAGAGCAGAGTAACGAGGAAGCAGGGAATAGTGGCTAGGGTTCTTTTTCCTCATCACCAACTTTTATATGTGCTCCGTGAAACCTTGATTTCATTAACACTCTTTTTTCGAAAGGAGGGAGGAAAATGGAGAGAAAGGAAAGTTTGGATGGGAGGGAAATGGAGGGAAAGGAAAATTAGAGGAGAGGAAAATGTTGTTTTATGGAGGAAAGTGAAAGGAAAAGTGGCAGAGAAGATATGTATTGGGAAGTGTGATAGATATGTTATTTTATTGTTATATAATAGTAAATAATTAAACTATGTGATGATATTATTTCTTACTTATGATTGGTGGATCAAATTTATTTTTCTTGCTACTTTGGGTTTTTATTAAAAAAATTCCCTTGATTTAAAATATGATTCATTTTAATAATATTAAAAAAATCCCATTAAAATTGGATTGCCTTTGTTGTAAAAGAAGACATGTTATATGGTATTACTCATATGTTAGATGAGATTTGATATAATATTAGAAATGTAAGAACAATATAATGACATTTTTCATATATCTGGACTAAAACGGTCGGATCGTTAATCCTCAACCCACTTGCTCGACTGGACTAACAAGCTAAACCGGGTTGACAACCTTGTGTAACAAACTTTTACGTGTCACGTAACAGTATTACGTATCGCGTAAACAATATCATATGTATGAGTATAAATGGATATAAAATCAATTGTACTACGGTCAAACCGTAAATTACAAAATCAACGTAAAAGTATAAATTAGTTTGCCAATTCTATTCATAATTATCCTTAACATATAATTACTCACCATAATCATTTGTTTTTAAATTTATGCTTAACAATAAGTGATAAGTTACCATTTATAACAAAATATATATGTCTAACTCTTTATCATACGTAAAGCAAAACAAAGGAAAGAAAAAAAAAGAATGATCCACCAGAGAGCTTTCTCACCAAATTGGAGGTAGGGTTCTACAGGAACCTTTCCCTTCCCATTTCCATTCCCTCCACCCATTCTCCCATTCAAGAACAGGGGACAAGTTCTTGTTATTTGTGATTTCTTCCCTTTCTTTCCCTCCCCTTCACTTTCTGCCCTTTATGAACATACTGTAAATAAATGGGCTTAAAGCTCACAAGGTCTGCCTTCAGTTCACTACTGTTCGAAGGAAGAAATTTTTTTTGTTTTGTTTTATTGGGGAGCAGATCCGGTGAGTAACATTATGATGAGTAACCCATGCATAACCCAATAAGAATCTGCCACATCAGCACCTTCTTCTCTCTCCTGGAAAAATCATTAATTTTTTCTCTTAATCTTTAACGGATGATTTCTCACTCGTTTTAACTCGGAATTTAATTTTTTTTGCACAGTTAGATCATATTAATTGTGCTCTTCAAAATGATATCCACTTTGATATTTTTTGAAAATTTTTTTTTGCCAATTATTACTTGTCAATACTATATGGTATAGTCAATACCATATGGTATAGACTGGTATTAAATAACAACATATCATATGGTATGAAAATACCAGTCAATACCATATGATGTTATTTAATACCAGTCAATACCATATGGTATGAAAAATACCACCTCATACCAGGGTGGTATAGTATGGTATGGAGTTGGTAACGAGAGGTTTGAATTTTTTTTCCCCCATAAAATTTTGAAATCCAATAGATCATGATTAAATCGTTCCTTTTGTGCAAAAATTTCTGAAAATGACTAAACAACCAAGGAGATACCATATGGTATGGAGTTGGTAACGAGAGTGATGAAATTTTTTTTCTCAAAAAATATTGAAAATAGATATAATTTTGTAGAGCACAACGAACTCGTTCCATCTATGCAAAAAAAAAAAAAATGAAATCCGAGTTAGAATGAAGAAGATACGATCCAATTAAAAAAACTAGGGAAAATAAATTCTTTTAATTCTCCACCCTTAGATCTGCAGTCACTGAAAAAAAGGGTCCAGATTTGGTTACTCATTGTTACTCACCCTATCTTAAGCCGTTTTATTGGCTTTTGTTTTTAAATTTCAATAATTATTATTATCTTGGTTCCTTTTTATTTCAACTACTTTTGTAACTTTGATTTGAATAATTGATTAATTGCTATTATTAACAGTTATGTTTATACTATTTATTATTCATGAAATTTAAGTGCTTTTAACATGTGTATTTGTTGCTAGCTACAGAAGCTAATTATATCATCGTGTAATTTGAATTTTGGGTTAGGCATGTAACATTTAAATTTGGAGATGAATCTATGGTATTGGGAAGAATTTGACTCGTTGTAACAAGGATTGCAACAATTTTTTTTTTTTTTTGAATATGTTATAAAACATTTCTCTTGTTGCGGAATTTTAAAAATCTATCCCTTTTAGTTATCGTGGAATCATAAGACATTGATGATATTTTGCTTCAAATTTATTGAAGTTGATTTATGACCCTGCTCTATTTTGTGCTTATTAAGTGAATTTGGAACATACGAGGCATCATACCAAATTTGGGACTAGCAATTAGTTCCTTTATTTGTGACTATCAATCTGCAACGTGCAATTTAAAATCATATAATTTCATATCTATAACCTTTGTAGCAATCAACAACGATGATAAATACTTAAGAACATTTTTATGGATATATGACTATATCAAAGATCAATCATAAATGCTTTCTTATAAACATGTATATCTTTATTAGTTGCATATTATTGTTATTTACACGCAATATAAGTGGTAGCAACACATACAAATAGGGTAGGATTTCGGTCGGTTCAACCGATAATTGAAGGATCTATTTCTGGTTAATCGAGCGACCCTCTACTAACTACCGAACCAACCAACGTGGCGCACTCGGTCAACCGCATAAACGACCGATTGGTTATCGATTATAACTGTGGCTAACCTAGTTTAATAAAAATGAAATTGTGGTTGGTTTTTGGTCAGTTAAAATCGATAACTGAATGGTAACCCAACCGACCAACAACCCGACCTGCTTAAAATCCATGAAAAATCACCTAAATTGAAGCATAAAACTACATCTAAATCACCCAAATTAACATCTCAAACCCAACAAGTGACCACCCCAAATTTTTAGGGTTTCAAAATGAGATTGGGGGGCAATTTTCGGTTTGATTGAGGAGGGGGGAGGCCGATTAATGGATTTTCGGTGGTGATCGCTTAACCGACCACCCCAAATTCCCTGCCCACTATCGACCGGAACCCCTCATCAATCGGTCATAATCGTCGGTTAACCGCTAACCAAAAAGCAAATGGTCAGCCCTACATACAAAATATAAAAGAATAAAATTCACCCGCCTACTGGGCCGGACCCATTGTTAGGAAATTTGAAATTCTATTTTTTTTTGTAGCAACATATCTTCAATGCAATCTTATTTTCATACATCTTTCTTATTTGAATTCATTTCATTAAAAAAAAAATATTGGTTGTAGGAAAATTTCTTATCACTGGTCATATATTCATTGTGAGAGTAATTTGGAAATTCACCCGTACGCAATGCGTTGTCCAGCTAACCATTAGTGCCAATTTCGATCGTGTCCGATATATTTCAAATCCTAAAACTTCAGTCCGGACCAAATAGCCAGCCCTACACTTAAGTAGTGAAGACAATTACTTATAATTTTTTCATTGAATAATTATATTTATCATATTTCTCTTCTTCTCATTACATTGTAAGTACATTATGCATGACAGGTTGACCATAAAAAAAGCACATTATGCATCATTGGACATAACTAAGGTAAAAAAATATATATATTGCATGCATTTATGAGCATTTATCATATCAATTATATAAATATCATTTTTTCAGTCTAAAATCTCCCAACAAACGGGTCGGACCCAGCGCTAGTATCGAAATAAAGGAAAAGTGTTGATTAAGGTGGACCCAAATGCATTTTTTCCAATTTGATCCAATTTAGTTTTCTCCTCTATTTTAAAAGATTTGATAAATAGAACAGATTTGGATTGTATTTGATTCTATCCCGTCCAATCCAATTATCTACTCGACCGCTATGAATTGCTTCCAGGTTAGTGGTCATAAAAAATGAGTTTTTATTTTATAATTAGTCTTTTATGAGCCTTTTATAATCCAATTCGAATGAAAAATTAATCAACAATCATAGACTCGACTTTTAAATGTGTCAGGTTGTTGCGCAACTCCGTGATTTAGTTGAATTTTAAATCATTAGCCACCACTCTGACTCTCCGAGTAGGATTCTTTTCATAAACACTTTCTAAACAAACTAATCTCGTCACTATTTGTCCTTTCAAGGATTCCTTACATGTAGCATTTTTTAGGCAGTAATTTCTGAAGTTTCCGCATGGAAACACGACACCTTTTATTTACTCTGCGCCCTTACTGTTAAACCATACAAAGGAGTCTTGATAACAACTAATACACTGGTTGCTTTGTTTAGTCGAAATTGAGTGGGCACTTGTACTTGTAGTAATACTACAATCGATGCAATTGTTTACTATTTTGTGTATTAACTTGTCCCATGAACATTCGTTATTCTCGAAATTCCTCAAATTCTAGCCTATGTCATGATGCAGTAATTAATTTGACACATTAAAATAGTCTTACTCAATGAATATTTGTTTGTTTTTACTTCAGTTGTTCACGAGATTTGGTGCGGTAGAATGATATCTAGCGTAGCGATGTGTAGAGATAAAAATTAGACACTAGCAATTAATTAAGGGCACAATCACATTTTTGACAAAAATGACATAATCAACTAATAACACATTACTAGATAACCAACAGAAGTTTATGTTATTCCTAATTATTAATCAAACAATGAAAAACTTTAAAACTAAAATAAAGACTGCTAAATTATTGTTCATGCATGATCTTAATTTAACCCTTTAACTATACGTGTGAAAAAATGAGCTCCATCGCACCAAGCCTCACGTTAACTTCCGTTCGGTACATACTCCCCTTGGAGTCGAGCCTGTTGCCTTCAGCCACCATCACGTCGAGCTTATAGTTCATGCCCTCCACCACCTGGACAAGGCCCCTCCGAATTCTTACTAGTCTCAACGGATGTTTGAAATTGTTTTCCAAGTTGTGTGTTCCTACCGCAAACTTTGCAATCTCCTGGATGCAATAATTGTGTATGTTCTCTATCGGCTGCCACCCACCGTAGGGATTAGCACTGACGGTGGAGAGAACGACTGCGACAGTAGTAAGAGCCATGAGAAATGTAACAGGCTTCATCTTTCGTACGCAAGTGATTCTTCGTGTGATTTTGTTTAGGAAAATGTTTGATTGGTGTGTGTTTTGGATGTGAAGCGAGTCTAATTGTGGTGTGTACTTATAGGCTATCTTTCTTTTTTCTTTCATTTGTTTGTTTTTTGGTCTTATGGTAAAGTTCTCCATTTTTTGTTATGTATCCCGTTATTATAGGGATTCAAAACAAATAGAGTGCCACGTCAACCCATGACCAGCTCTCAGGGCCTCCCACCCATCAACGAATGAATTTTTTTTCTTTCTCAAATTTAGTACCTTGGTTCGCTTTGCCTCCCTTCTCGGTTAGCTACTTAACTCATTACATTCTGTTTTCTTCCTTTGTATACCATACCATACCTCCTGTTTTTGCTTTTGTCCAAGAATCTAATATGATATGAGCTGCCAAAATCAAGTAGTTGTTATTTTCTTCCGCTCTTTCTTCCCAAGTACAATTGTATCTCAGGTATTTCAATGGCGGCTATGGAGGTGTCGGCATTTAATCACATTCTCACACCTTGAACCTCTTTCTATGTTTCTCCAATCCATCCGACCCATTGTACATCCATCTCGGTATCGCGCTGATTAACGGAGGCGACGACGATGAGGAAGCTCTCAAGTTGTCACCGCCAGCGGGGACGAAATGAGATGGAAGAATATTGAGTGTGACGAAATAGGGTTGTAGAGATGGCATACTGGCGTTATGGATTTTTACTGGTGTTTCTCTTTCTGTATACTTAATTAATTTCTGATATGCAGGGGAAGCGTTCTGTTAGAGAAAGGAAAATCCAAGAGGGAAGACAAATTAGTGTTAGTGTTGATTGAGTCTAGCAAGTGAGTTAGGTTTCACTGATTGAAGCCACTATAGAGGACTACGTTGGAAACCTGGATTTCTTTATACAAGAACCGAAATAGAACAAAGTTGAAGGCAAGGGTATGAAAACAAAGCTTGATCGAAAAACACACAGCTGTACAATGGAATTGCGTTTATGGGTTTTGTGAACTTATTTGGTTACTGGACTTTCATTTACTCGGTTAAGCGTAGAAGGGCTGAATGTGATTTCCAACAAAGCTCTTAACTGGATGGAATCGAAAAATGCTCTCGACCTCTCCCTCTGTTCTCCTTGCTCCGGTGCCGGACATGTCCATGACGGGACGGCCGCCGGGCCTGCTCTCTTCTCCCCCACCGTCTGAAAGCATCGCAGAGCAAGCGGTGGATACCACAGCGACGCCACTGAATTTCAAATCGGCACTCATAGGCAAAGATCAGGGGCCTGTGGAGATAGCAAACCAGTGGACCTTCGTGGGGGAACATGATCTCATTCCCGGTTCTTTTGGGGGAGAGCCATCCCTGCGAATCTCGGACCAGCTCAGAGAAAACCTATGCATCCCATGGAAGAAAACGCTGGTTATCAGGCTGCTGGGCCGCTCCATCTCCTACGCCTACTTGTGCAGCTGATCAGATGGATGTGGAGACCAACAGGTCACCTAGACATCATGGATCTCAACAATGACACCTTCTTAGTGACTTTCTCTAATGAGCAAGACTACCTGACAGCGTTAATCGGCGGGCCTTGGGTTATTTTGGATCACTACCTAGTGGTTCATCAATGGTCGCCATCTTTCCGCACTGGCCAGAAGCCCTACCGTTCAGTTGTTGCCTGGATTCAACTCCCGGAACTGCCTGTCCATTTTTATAACAGAGAAGTCCTATTTGCTATAGGCAATCTAATAGGACGGACGGTGAAATTGGATTATCACACCGAACATCGCCAAAGGGGAAAATTCGCCCGGATAGCTGTGGAACTGGACATGTCCAAGCCGGTGCCATCTCGCATCCACCTTGACGGCTTCTGGCAAGCGGTGCGGTATGAGAATCTCCCCTTAATTTGCTTTGAATGTGGGTGTGTGGGGCACTCTGACGATTCATGCCCATCCCGGAAACCACATTCGGACATGGAAATTGTGATGGCCCAAACCAGTGATCGGAGAACGGCGCCGGATGATTCGACGCCGGAGCCACCATCGGGATATGGCCCCTGGATGCAAGTAACGAGGAAATCACGGAAGCAATCCGGGAAAGTTACTCTTTCTGGCGAGCAAAATCAGAAAAATCGACACAACGACCAATCGGAGGCGGGGCGTCAATCAAGCAAAACCATCAGTAAGGGAAACTCGCAAAATCAAACAGTCACTAGCTTGAGGGATGGAAATGGAAAGGAATCAGCCAAAACAGAGCAACCGCAGGGTCCCTCGACAAGCCAAAAGGGGAAGGCGATCAAAGAGTCAGATACTCTGAAAACCTCCCACAAAAATAACGTAAATCAAGTCTGGCGCCCGATTGGATCAAGCGAGGCATCTTCATCCAAAGATGGCAGAGACATAGTCAAGCCCATGGAAAAGCCCAACGCCACCAAGAATGCTGATCGATCTACCTCGGTTCCATCTGGGCCGATAACCCAAATTTTGGGCCCCAATAACACTAAAATTCAAGTAGTGTTGTCCCCTCCCTACAACTCCCGGCGAAGGAAAATGTTGACCCAAATAAAGCCCCATCGTCGATCAGACAACACTACAAGAAAAAATTGAAGGAAAATTCGCCGCCGCATGGAAAGACAAAAGGTCTCAGCCTCAAGTCGAACAAGAAGGCGGTGACAGTTCCAACCAATGCCAAAAGGGAGCTAAAAAAGGAACTAAATCGAAACGTAAAGAATGCAGCCTTCCCGATCACCGTTCAAGCTATTGAGGCATTCTTCGCCAAAAACCCCAGCTTAGCCGCGCTCGCAAATAAACAAGGGACTGAAGGCGGTGATGATCTTATGGAAGAGCAGATAGTGGAGCGGGAAGCCGCGGAGAATCGGGAGCTGATCGTCGGTCAGCAGCCCACCGATTCCAGCACTACCCTGGCTGATTGATCCTTCGCCTCACCTCTTCCTCTCCTTGTTTTTTCGTTTTCTTTCTTTTCGTCTGCTCCCCTCCCTTTACTCTATGTCCATGTCTACCTCAAGCTATCCTAATTTCAAAGTTTTGTCTTGGAATGTTTGCGGTGCAGGTAGAAAATCTTTTCATTGAGCTATGAGGCTCCTGACCAAAGTGTATTCCCCAGATTTTCTCCTGATCATCGAGCCCCAAATCAGTGGGGATAGAGCCACTACAGTTTGCAACAATTTGGGGTATGGAGATGTCATTCGTGTGGATGCAGAAGGTCGCAGTGGGAGCATTTGGTTGGCATGGAGATCCTATGACTTCCAAATCCAGCTCATTGACGCTAGCCAGCAACATGTAACTGTCAAGGTCTCCAACAACACGCAGCGTGAATGGCTCCTCACTGGGGTTTATGGAAGCCCCAATTACAGATTCCATCATATGCTGTGGAATCACCTCATCGAATTCGGTCGCAGTTTGGAAATTCCCTGGCTGGTGACAGGAGATTTCAATGCTTACTACTCTCCTTCGGAGAAGGCTGGCACCGTTTCTACCGCCTCCCTCCGTAGATGCCAGCAATTCACAGATTGGATAAATGAAGCAAACCTTTTTGACTTGGGGTTTTCAGGGGCTCAGTATACGTGGTGTAGGAGGGACTCCAACAACTCTTTTAAAGCCAGCCGGATCGACCGAAGTCTCTGCAATTCTGCGTGGAATGCCGCCTTTGCCAACACCTCGACCCGACACCTTCCCAAGCTGCACTCGGATCATCTTCCTATACTTACCTCTTACTCTGGTCTCTCTTATAATGATGGGGGAGCCAAGCCTTTTCGCTTTGAAGCTGCGTGGCTGCTCCATAACAATTTCTCGGAGTTTTCTGCAGAAAACTGGAATGTGGATGGGGATTTCAATCAAGGGCTAAAAGACATCTCTACAAAGCTCCAAGAGTGGAATAGACTCACGTTCGGCATCATTGGACATTGTAATAAGAGACTTTTGGCGAGGATTCAAGGAGTTCAAACCAAAATCGCCACCTCACCATCCCCCGGTCTTTTCAAGCTGCAAGCGAAGCTTGAAAAAGAGCTAGATGACCTCCTTGCGCAGGAGGAAATCATTTGGTTTCAAAGAGCAAAAGAAACTTGGGTTAAGCTAGGGGAGATGAACACCTCCTACTTCCACCAACAAGCCAATCGTCGTAGAAGAAGGAACAAGATCATCTCCTTGCGGAATCATAGTGGAGAGTGGGTAGAGGACCCTGCGCAGCTCCGAGACTTGATCGTCTCCTTTTTCAGACTTCTCTACACGCAGGATGAGCTCGTTTACAGCGACCTGATGCCGAAGAATTGTTTTCCGAGGATTAAAAACAAGGATCTTCTCACTCTCTTGCGTCCTTTCCAAATTAATGACTTTCACAGGGCAATTTTTGATATGAAACCTTACGCGGCTCCTGGTCCGGATGGCTTCCAAGCGATCTTCTACCAAAAGATGTGGTCACTAGTGGGAAAAGGTTTAACTCACATGGCTGTTAAGTTTTTTGAGACAGGTGAAATAGAAGAGGAGGCGTTGGAGTCAACAGTGGTCTTGATTCCCAAGACGGAGAGCCCAGCCCAGTTTCGACCTATCTGCCTCAACAATGTTCGCCTCAAAGTCATAACCAAGGCGATTACCAACCGTATAAAGCCTCTAATGAAGAATTGGGTGGCTCCAACCCAAAACAGTTTCATCACCGGCCGCCAAACTACGGATAACATCCTGATTCTGCAGGAAGCCATCCACTCTTTTAGGAAGAAGAAGAAGCGGGGGAAAGGAGGGCTGGTGATCAAAATTGACTTGGAAAAATCCTATGACAGGCTCAGATGGGATTTCATCAGAGACACCTTGGCGCAACTTGGGCTCCCCAGCACCTGGATTAGCCGGATCATGTTCTGTGTGGAGAGGAACAAGATGCGAATTAACTGGAATGGGGAACTGACCGAGCAAATTATTCCCACTAGAGGGGTCCGTCAGGGGGACCCTCTCTCCCCTTATCTTTTTGTTCTCTGTATGGAACGGCTTTCTCACAGGATTCAGCAGGCAGTAACCAAGAAACTGTGGAAACCTCTCCAGCTATCAAAAAATGGTCCTAAAATTTCACACTTGTTTTTTGCTGATGATTTTTTTTTGTTTGCAGAAGCTGAAGGTCGTCAGATTGACATTATTCGGAAATGCTTAGACGATTTTTGTTCTAGCTCAGGCCAAAAAGTCAATCTAAGTAAGTCCACGATAATGATATCTCCTAATGTGTCCCGGGACAGGAGACAAAGGCTGGAGAACCGAGCTGGCATCCCTACCACGACAGACTTGGGAAAATACTTAGGGATTCATACAATCAACGGAAGGGTCTCCAAAGCTAGATACAAGGAGCTCACAGTTAGAATTCAGAAGCACCTGGCTAATTGGAAAACCCGACACCTTTCCATCGCGGCTCAAATGACCTTGGTGCATTCTATATCCTCCTCCATGTCGGTTTACCCTATGTTTACCGAGCAACTTCCTACATCTGTGTGTTCCTCTATTGACAGGATCAACAGGCAATTCATCTGGGGGATGAAGAAGGGAAGTCCGGTTTCCACCCCATCGCCTGGGACCAAATGGTGGTGCCACGAAGCCAAGGAGGAGCTGGTACACGACCCACTAGACTGGCTAATCAAGCCATGCTGGCGAAAGGATCTTGGAAGCTGGCGACCAACGATCAGACTCTCTGGGTGCGGATCATGAAAGGGGAATATGGTCAATCAAGGGAGGGTTTAGATATTCTAAAAAACACAAAGGTAAGTTCCTTTGCATGGCGTAGCTTTAGTCACTCGACTGATTTGCTACGCAAAGGTTGCGCTTATAATATTAAAAATGGGAAGAAAACTAAATTCTGGACTGATGTGTGGTTGATGCAGGTTCCATTGGTTTTGGTGGCAACACAAACGATCCCGGACGAGTTCCTCCAACGTCGGGTGGCCCATTACTGGCACGAGGATCATGGCTGGAAAATTGATGAGTTGGCCGATTACCTTGGAGCTGAAAATTTGGAAGCGATCCAGGCCTTCCACTTTGATCCAATGACAAAGGGAGGAAGATAAGCTGCGGTGGAACCTTACAACAAATGGCTCCTTCACGACAAGAACAGCCTACCAAGCTCTCTCCCCACCTCTGGTCGCTTCAGCTTCGGCTACCTTCTGGAAAAGCATTTGGAAACTACACGTCCCGGAAAGAGTGAGGGTCTTTGTTTGGATGGCGGTTAAAAACAAACTAACCACCAACAATATAAGGAAATACCGGCACCTCACCACCGATGATAGTTGTCCATTCTGCGGGGACACGGAGGAGACAATCATCCACTGTCTTCGTGATTGTGCTAGAGCAAGAGCCGTTTGGTTCAAGGTCATTGCCCCTGAGTTCAGAGATAATTTCATGTCAACAGATTGGGATTGCTGGATGAGGAACAATCTGGCGGACAACAGATCAGGCTCTTGGGCCGGGGGAGTGGGGGAGTTATTTCAGCTTACTCCTGTGGTTCATTTGGAAACAACGGAATGAAACAGTGTTCAGGGGGAAGACTCCTAGCCTGTCTTCGTTATGCAACTATGTGGTGACCAAAGCTAAATATTGGGCTAACGTTTGGGAGTCGGCCAGCAGATCCCTTGATAGAAGCAATAAGCCAGATCGGGTCGAGAAGCTGATTGGTTGGTCCAAACCGACGGCGGGCTGGTTTAAACTGAACACGGATGGCGCTGCTCAAGGCCATAGAGGGGACATTGCAGCAGGGGGGATCATTCGCGACAGTGATGGAGATTGGATTGCAGGGTTCGTCCACAGAATTGGTACAGGCACAACTATTATGGCGGAGCTCTGGGGCATTCTTCGGGGCCTTAAACTCGCTTGGAGAAGGGGCATTCAGTTTCTACTTTTGGAATCTGACTCCGCCTTAGCCCTGGACCTGATCAGACAACCAAATGACCCTTTGCATCTTCATGCCAGTATTCTTGGTGAGATTAGGCATCTTCTTTCTCAAAATTGGGTGGTTCAACTAGGACATACTTACCGAGAAGGGAATAGAGCTGCGGACTGGCTCTCGAAGCACAGTCTCGTCTACCCCTTTGGTATCTATGAAATGGATGATCCACCTCAAGAGCTTGCCCGGATCATTAGAGAAGACATCATCGGAGTTAGCTTTCCCCTATGGGCTGTTAGGGAGGAGTAACTTTTGGCCTGCTGGTTCCGTCTTTTTTCGACGGTCGAGTTTTTTTTTATCTCCTGCTTGCGAGCGGAGGTTGAGTTGTAGCTGGTAGCTGGGCGTTTGCCTGTTGTTTGTTCCTGGTAGAGCTGTTCCTTGGTTCTTACCTCCCTTTCATAAAAAAAAAAACAAAGCTCTTAACTGCCCAAGACATCAATGGTAGGGATGGCAATGGGTCGGGTCGGGGGCGGATAGTGCATATCTGTTACCCTACCCAAAGTAGGTCGGGTTTTACCCATACCCATACCCACATGTCAAACGGGTAGAAAATCAAAACCATGCCCATACCCGTTCGGGTATCGGGTATCCACGGTTATCCATGGGTAATCATTTCTCTTCATAACTTCAACCAATATGTTAACATTCACACGAATTCTCACATTACGTAAGAGGAAAAGTACGACAATATTCACTAGAATGAATAAAATTAATTAAAACAACACAATTTCATGAAAATATTATACTTATATGCTAAATATAAATATGTTAGAGAAAAATAATGATTATATCTAGAGAAAATACATATGCATTTGTATAATCGGGCGGGTTCGGGTTGGATAGTGAGAAATCCATGCCCACCCATTACCCACAATATTCGGGTTCGGGTTTTACCCGTACCCACTAAATGTCTTTTGGATTCGGGTTTTACCCTACCCGATTAGGCCGGATTCGGGTGGATATCCACGGTTACGGATATTTTTGCCATCCCTAATCAATGGTGGACCGGAGAAACAGAGTGGGATCATCTCCTACTGTGAATAGATTCCCCTGTTTACTTCCCTTGAAACAGAGTAGCTGGCTGGTTTTGTTGGGTGCTTAAGGGAGAAGATTCAAAATGGTTCCTTCTTTTTGTCCCTCATGTCATCATGTGTATTAATTGCTTTCTTCGACCACGAATAAATCCCTCCGTTCCTTACTTTTATGTTTTCCCAATTCCGGCGTTAATTATCTTTTGTGGTTAATAGCAATTGCTTGTCATCTAAGAATAGCATCGTGTTGCCATTATGGTTAAGGAATTTTGTTTTAATAAATTTTCCACAACCAACCCAAGTTTCATAGTGGCAATTACCAACTACCTGGTGGTTAGGCTGCTCGGGAAGTCCATACACAACCCTCTGTAACAGACTATGATCCCTATGGAGACCTTCTGGTCACATGGAGGTCTTTGCTATGGACAAAGACTTTTTCCTGGTGAAGTTGGGGAACGACCAAGATTACTTCAAAGCCCTCTCTGACGGGCCTTGGGTGATCTTCGACCATTATTTGGTTGTTCAACAATGGACACCGGCTTTCAGGTTCACGGACAAACTTCCAAGTACGATGGTGGTGTGGGTTCAATTTCCGGGTTTTCCCGTTCACTTTTACCATAAGGACCTTCTGTTCTCGCTGGGTAATCTCATTGGGAAGGCGATCAAACTTGATTTCCACACGTTGCATCAGCAACGTACGAGATTCGCGAGGGTTGCTGTCGAGGTTGATCTGTCACAGCCACTGGTTCCAAGAATCCGACTTGATGGGAAATGGCAGAGGGTTGAATTCGAGAACCTTCCGATTTTCTGTTTCGAATGTGGGAAGATCCTGTGCTCTGCCCGGAACAAGCTAGCGATAGAGCGGCGGAATTCTCACCGACACCGACGACAGCCTCCGTCGAACCTTCGTCGGAGGAAGTGTCCGGCTTTGGCCCCTGGATGCTGGTCACGAGAAAGGCACGCCACAATCAACGGGAGATACCAAATCAGGGGCGTCCGGATCAGGCGGAAGAGAGTAGTGAGGGGACAATTAACAAACAAGAAAGGAAAGAGAGATCTGCGAGGAAGGAGAATGGGCAGCCTCCAAATCAGGCTGGGAGCAAATCACCTCAACGGAAACAAGGTCCGCAGGCGACGCAAGGGGGAAATACGAACAAGAAGGGGAAAGAGGAAAACAAAAAAGGAAAAGAGGTTGCGTTGGTAGCTTCGGAGGTTGAAAAAACCTCGGGTATTCTGGGCCCGATTCCAAGGTCTGAAGGCCCAAGCTCCAGGAAGAGTTCAGTCAGCCCCAACACTAATGATGCGTCGTCTTCTGGGCCTAAGGAGGATGGGCTAAACGTGATTAATCCAATTGGGTTGGTAACCCAATTAGTCAGAGGTGAAAAGGGGACCAATGTTTTGATTGTTGAGGCCTAGCCCTATGCCCCCCCACCGAACAGGAAGCTCGATCCAGCTGCCCCCTCTGCTGTCTCGCGAACGAAACAGAAAAAAGAAAAGAAGAAAGGAGGACAGGGGAGGAGGGAATCGACACAAGGAAGAGCACCCCAATACGGCACAGTCCGATGAAACCTCTTAAGATTTGGTCTCCTGTCAAGGATCGGAGGAACAAAGGCCAGGATAGACGGATTTCTTTAACTCTACAACAGATTAAAGAATGGACGGAGATGAGCTCGGAAAACAGAGACGTCGAGGCCCTTCGGGAATATCCTCTCCCAGCAGATGATTTCGGCCCGAAACTGACCGACGGAAGTGGCCCTCTGGCCTAGCTGCTGATTTTTACGCATCTGGCAAACTCTCCCTCTCCCCTTTCTCTGTTTTTTATATTTGTTATGTCTTTGTCTGCTTTTGCTAATTTTAAAGTTTTTTCGTGGAATGTTGGTGGAGCTGGGGGTCGGGCTTTTTCTCGTGCTCTCAAGTTCGCCCTTCAGCTCCATAAGCATGATATAGTGATTTTGCTTGAGCCGCAGGTCAATGGTGGTGTGGCAAATGCTGTCTGTGATAGGTTGGGTTTTCAGGATGTTGTTAGAATCGAGGCCAATGGCAGGAGCGGTGGAATCTGGGTGTTTTGGAACTCGCATGCTCTTTCTATGCAAGTTGAATCTGCTGGTCACCAACACATCACTATGGTCTGCAGCAAGTCTGGCATGCCGACTTGGAAGCTCACTGCTATTTATGCTTCTCGGCGGCATAAGCTCCACCACTCTCTTTGGGGTCATTTGATTGACCAGAGCAGGAAAACTTTTGTCCTTGGATCCTTACCGGGGACTTCAATGCTATCTGTGATCCGAATGAGAAGACTGGTCCTGCTTCCTCCGCTACCTATAGTAGATGTAAGCGCTTTGGGAACTGGATTAATGAGGCGGAGCTCCTTGACCTGGGCTTTTCTGGCCCCAAATTTACCTGGTCCAGGGGGAACACCACTGCCTCTTACAAGGCCAGTCGTCTTGATAGAAGTCTCTGTAATTTGGAGTGGAATGAAGTTTTCCCAATGACTTCGGTGACTCATCTTGCTCGCCTCGGCTCTGACCACCACCCCATTCTCACCACTTGGGCAAACCAAGGAGTCTCGCACTCTACTTCTAAGCGTTTCATATTTGAGGCAGCCTGGTTAACCCATGCTGATTTTTCTCCTTTATTGAAAATTCTTGGAACTCTCATGTTGCTTTCACCGATGCTCTGCAGGTTTTATTGGACAAGCTAAAGGGATGGAACACGGCTGTCTTCGGGAACATTTTTCAGAGAAAGAAGAGGTTGGTCTCTCGGATTGCTGGTATTGAGTGGCGGCAAGCAGAATCTTTCTCCCCAAGCTTAGCAAAGCTCCACTCAAAGCTTGAAGCAGAGCTGGACAAGACCTTGGAGCAGGAAGAGCTTGTCTGGTTTCAAAGGTCTCGGGAGAATTGGGTGAAGTTCGGTGAAAAGAACACAGCCTATTTCCATCAGTTGACTAATATCCGCAGACGCAGGAATAAGATTGCAGCTCTTAAGGATGGGAGTGGAACCTGGGTTACTGACACGGAGGAGTTGGCGGGTCTTATTTTCAGCTTTTACGCTGAGCTTTATTTGCAGGATCACTCCCCCTATGTTGATCTGCTTCTGAAGGGTGCTTTCCCCAGACTCAGGCAGGAAGAATGGTTCCAGCTCCTTCGACCTTTCACTATAATGGATATCCACAAGGCGGTTTTTGACATGAAACCCTTCCAAGTCCCTGGTCCGGATGGCTTCCAAGCCATCTTTTACCAACAAGCTTGGAAAGTAGTCGGGAAGGACTTGTCAGAGATGGCGATGTCATTTTTTGAGCATGGATCCCTTCCCCCTGCAGTTTCGGAGTCCACTGTGGTGCTTATTCCTAAGGTGGAAGAACCGGAGTCAGTCACGCAACTTCGCCCCATCTCTTTGAACAATGTTAGCCTGAAGGCCATAACGAAAGCGATGACGAGCCGTTTGAAGTCTGTTATGAGAACTCTTGTGTCACCTAGGCAATCCAGCTTTATCCCAGGACGTCAGACGGTGGATAATATAGTGGTGGTTCAGGAGGTTATCCACTCGTTGAGAAAGAGGAAGGGGCGAAAGGGTGGTATGGTGGTGAAAATCGATCTGGAGAAGGCCTATGATCGGCTTAGGTGGGACTTTTTGAGGGATACCTTGATCGAAGTTGGCCTCCAGAGCTCTTGGATCAGATGTATCATGTACTATGTCGAGCAGAACAAAATGCGTATTCTCTGGAACGGGGAAATGCTAGAGCCCATAACCCCCACCCGTGGGGTTCGCCAGGGAGACCCTCTTTCTCCTTACCTTTTTGTGTTATGTATGGAGCGCCTTTCTCACAGAATTGATAAGGCCGTTCGAGATAAGCTATGGAATCCCATTCGCTTATCAAAGAATGGCCCGGCTCTAACTCATCTTTTCTTTGCTGATGATTTGGTTTTGTTTGCAGAAGCGAAGATCTCTCAAGTGAAGGTTATAAAGCAGTGTCTTGATGAGTTCTGTGAAAGCTCCGGTCAGCGAGTGAACTTTGCGAAGTCTATCATCTACATCTCCCCTAATATCCACCATGCCAGAGCCTAAGTACCAGGGTTGGTATCCCCCTCGCTACAGTCTAGGGAAGTACTTAGGTATTCAAGCCATTCATGGTCGAGTTATCAGAAGTAGATACCAAGGGCTCATGCTGCAGATTAAGAAGAAACTGGCGCCTTGGAAAGCCAGGAAGCTGTCGCTCGCTGCACGCTTGACTGTTACCAGATCAGTTTCCTTGTCCATCCCTGTTTATCCTATGCAGACTGAACTGTTGCCTGTGAATGTTTGCAATGCTATTGATAAAATTAACAGGGACTTTATCTGGGGGAAAGAGGAGGAAAAGGGAAGATCCATATAGTGGCGTGGGATAGAATGGCGGAACCCATAGCTCAGGGAGGAGGGGGTCTAAGGTCTGTCCGGCATGCAAACCTGGCTATGCTTGCCAAAGGAGGGTGGAGGATTCTTAAAGAGAAGGACTGCATTTGGACTCAAGTCATGAGATCAAAGTATGGGAAACATCGAGAAGGTCTTGAAGTGCTTCGACCTGTTAAGGGAGGTTCCTTTACCTGGAATAGTTTGACTAAAGCCTCAAGCCTTCTTCGGAAGGGTTGTGCGTGGAATATTCATAATGGAAAAGGCGCTAAGTTTTGGCATGATGTTTGGCTTTTGCAGGTACCTTTGGCCGAGGTGGCTCTTCAACCGGTGACGGAGGAGATGCTGGATGATCATGTGGCGGATTATATTGACGAGGACGGAAGATGGGACATCAATCGGTTGGAAGATTGGCTTCCTGCCGAGGTGCTGCAAAAGATCACAGCGAACCTGGTGGATCCCCTGTCCCTGGAAGAGGACACTATCCTTTGGACCGCTTCCTCGAATGGCCATTTCTCAACCTCCTCGGCCTACAGTCTGGCCTTGCCTCCGAGGAATGATCCGAATGAGAAGGTGTGGAGAGCCATTTGGAAGCTCCCGGTTGCAGAGAGAGTCAGGTGTTTTGTGTGGCTGGTGGCTTTAGGGCGCATTGCGACTAATGTTCTCCGCTACTCCCGTAAGTGTGCGGAGTCCCCCATGTGCCATAGATGCGGGAACTATGAAAAGACCATTATGCACTTGCTGCGAGACTGCTACCCTGCTCGCTTCTTTTGGCTGAGATGGATTCCGCAGGAGGAGCATCAGAGTTTTTTCAGCAGCAGCCGAGAAGATTGGTTCCGGGACAATATTCTCAAGGAGGACGTGACGGATTCTAGTATGAATTGGAACAGCTTCTTTAGTATTGTTGTGTGGCTTATTTGGAAGAACAGGTGTACAGGTTGTTTCCAGGGGCTGCACAAGGCGATGTCAGCACCCTCTCTTGCTTTCTCCATCCATCAAAGGGCTCTTTTGTGGCATAAAGCTTGACAGGCCCCAACGGTGAACTTCGGCCGCCAGGGATCCAAGCCGGAAAGGGTGGAGAAGCAAATTCATTGGAGTTTTCCTCGAAATGGGTGGGTCAAGCTTAACGTGGATGGGGCGTCGGTGGGCAACCCTGGGCTTGCCAGAGTTGGGGGCATTATTCGTGATGAGCATGGTAAGTGGGTCCGAGGTTTTGTTGCTAAAGTGGGTGAAGCCTCGGCAACTCTTCCTGAGCTCTGGGTTGTCTACTATGGCCTCCAACTCGCCAGGAAAGTCGGGTGTGCTTGTGTTCTTATTGAGTCGGACTCTCAGATGGCTATCGCTTTGATTAAGAGTCGCCATGATCCCGTTCATCCCTACGCCGCCTTGTTGGCATCGATTCGGAGGAGTTTGGCGTAGGATTGGTTGGTCAACATTGGACATGTGTACCGGGAGGGGAATAGAGCAGCGGACTGGCTCTCGAAGCACAGTCTCGTCTATCCCCTAGGTATGCATGAACTTGTTGATCCACCGTCGGCGTTAGCTCCCATTCTTATTGATGATTGTATGGGCATTTCCTTTGAGCGTCGTGTTGTGACGCAACCTTCTCCTTCTATGTAACCTTTTCTGTGCGGCTTCGGGCTCCCTTCAATGCAAAAAAAAATTACCAACTACCTCCTATTAAGATTTAAGGCACTAACAGTTACTAACCTAAAAAAAATTATACATCCAATAAAATTAGTGCTTGAAACAAAGGTTCAGACATCTATAAAGCCATGACCAAATCAATTGAATATTTACGTAACAAATATTTGAAATCATACTTGATGAAGTTTTTTTTAATAAACCGGCTCGATAAAGTTGAGATACATATATTAATTTAATTTTTGGCACAATTCTCTGTATTATTATGCTAAACAAAAAAATATATATGTTCTTACAAATATATTCTGCATGAAAGTATGCAAAACAAATATGAGGCACCTCAGAAAAATAACATGAATTTATAAATGTCACTCAAGTAAATACATCATGTGAACTAATAGTCGTATTTGTGGTTGATTTTGCTAAAACATTTTCAAAATAGACAAAATGAGTAAGAGGAAGATTCATGAAGTAGATGACAATATAGTTCCTTGCTCTTTCAAAATTGCACAATGTTTGTGGGATATAGATCGTGATATTTTCTACTATCCTATACTAACATATCAACCTTTGAGGGATCATATTATATTTAAAGAAGACGGTTGTACCAGTATTTTGCATGGTTCATGAAACCGTACCGGAGATCGTATCGGAAAAATCAGCGGTAGGGTATTTTATGGCAAAATCGTGGTTTAACCATAGTTCAACCGTTAGTACAGTTAAATACCGCCTATCAGTTTAGTTTCCGATACTGATATTTTGTGGTTGAACCGCCGGTACGGTTTCATGGACCATGGTATTTTAATACTTGACATGTAATTTAACTTAACTTAATTTAGCATCTTCTTTAGTGTCCTTTAAATCTATTAACAACTTAGTCAGGATTTTGTGTAAAAATTAATTAATCTCTCATGTTATTTAAACCATACATCATAATTTTAACTATAAATACTTAAATCTTAAACGTATCGTTCTATGTAAAATTCTAAGTAAATAAAAAATGTCTACAAAGAGCTAATAAAATCAAATTAAGTTCTTCATCAACAAATGAAAAATTCAAAAGTGTGAAACCGTATAAAAAATGATCCAAGTGAGATTAACAATTTAATGTACGTACAAATAACATGTGCAATCCATGAAAAATGTAGAAACAAAAGTTAATGACAATGTCTCTCATATTTAACAAGTCATTCCAGAAATAGGCTATACATTATGTTTCTACACAAATCATATACTAATAGTAAACATCTCTGTATCGTATTTCAAACAAAATAGACATATAATGCGAAAGAAAAAAAATACTATTACATAAACCAAAAATCAATAAGAAAGAAGATTGTAAAACAACGCAAAATAAACCAACCAAACAAAATGCAACGCCCAACGGCGAATAAAAAACTAGATAGAATACGTTGTATTCTATTTCTAGACATTTAGCAATTTATCGTATCACTTTTTTCTGGAGAAATTTATTTATTTATAGTAGTATCACTAGTTACGTATGTTTAATAAACAAAATACTTACAATTATTAATTACAATTAGTTAAAGATGATAAAAAGAAGATATTTAATAAAAAAAATAATGACAAGAAGGAGGAGTATAGGTCAGCCTGTGTTGCACGTGCTCCTGACCTGGGGACTCTCACTAACCAGTCCTCTCTTTGGGATGGCAACAAAACCCGAACCCACGGGTACACACCTGAACCAACCCGGTCAACGCTGGTAAAATTCGTGTTGACGGGTTTGTGACCGGGGTTGGGTTTAAATTCGTTTATTATTCACTGGGTTGGGTTTGGCTTTAGGTAAACCCGCCCACACCCATATAATTAATTTTCTCGGTATATTTAATATTCTAAACAACTATCTTCTTTATGTTTGTGGAGACATGTCTAATTTTTTCTTTGTAATTGTGTAGAATGAAGTTGATGTTAATGAGTGGAGAGTGAAAAAACTTAATTGACAAGTAGGAAGAAGCTTTCAATTAATCATGTTATTTATGGATAATTTGTGATTTGCTTCAATTTTCTTAAGTTTTCTAGATTGGTGTTGAACAATTTGTATAGTTAATTTGTGATTTGCTTGAATTTTTTAGAATGGTGTTTTATATATGAATAATTTGTACTGAGAGATTGATATTTGACTTTAATTTTGATAAGAACTTGTTATTGTAAATTTTTTTACGACAAAAACCCGTGGGTACCAATGAACCCGCGAATACTCAGCGGGTTGGGTTGGATTTGAGTTTTTCAAACCCAATAGGTTTTATCACTGATTTTTTTCATGAATAAATCCATGGGTTTAGCAAAACCCGACCCAACCCGACCCATTACCATCCTTCCTCTCTAGGGATGGCAACAACACCCGAACCCACGGGTACCCACCCGACCCAACCCGGTTAACGTGGGTAAAACCCGTGTTGACGGGTTTTGGGCCGGGTTCGGGTTTTAACCCGCTACACTATTCACCGGGTCGGGTTGGGTTTGGGTTTAGGTAAACCCGCCCCATGGGTACCCGCCCACACACATATAATTACTTTCCCGGCATATTAATATTCTAAATAATATATCTTTCTTAAACAACTAATTTGATTTATTTTTATGGAGACATGTATAATTTGTTCTTTCTAATTGTTTAGAATGAAGTTGATATTATGAAGTGGAGAGTGAAGAAACTTAGTTGATGAGGAAGAAGCTTTTAATTAATCTTATTGTTTATAGATGTTTATCTTTAATTTTGAACAATTTGTATTGATCATTTGCGGTTTGCTTGTATTCTCTATATTGGTATTTTTTTGTGTGAATAATTTGTATGAGAAAATTGATGTTATTGTAAATTTTTTACCACAAAAACCCACGGGTAGCCATGAACCCGCGGATACCCAGCGGGTTGGGTTGGGTTTGAGTTTTTCAAACCCAGCGAGTTTTACTCTAGGTTTTTTTGGCGGATAAACCCATGAATTTGGGTTTGGCTTTGACAAAACTCGCCCCAACCCGACCCATTGCCATCCCTATTCCTCTCTCTCCCAAAATTCAATGCCTCCTTAATTTTCATTTTCATTTTTTTATTTTATTTTATAATAATTAACAATTTCGCCTCCTTCTTCTCTTCCTCTTCTTCACTCACCACTCACCTCACCTCCATTTCTTACACACGCACAACAGTTCCCCTCTGAAACCATTTGTCCTCTTCTTCTTCTCTCTCACCCCTCTCCATTTCTCTGCAGACCCATCAAAACCCATCCCCCCATCGCTTCAACAGTGACAACAGCTCACTCTTCACAATAATGATGATGGACGCAGCAGCAGCAGCAGCTGCCCTGAAGGGCGGTGGCGGCGGAAGGGTCGCCTTCGCCGCCGTCGTCGACGACGACATGGGCGACGGCATGCAGTGCAGCGACCATCCTAACCGCAGCAACCCTGGCGGGATCTGCGCCTTCTGCCTCCAGGAGAAGCTCGGCAAGCTCGTCAACTCTTCTTTCCCGCTCTCCGTTCGCGCCTCCACTTCCTCTTCCTCGTCCCCTTCCTTCAGATCTGACGGCCCTTCCGCGGCGGCTTCCGCGGCCGCCACTTCCCTCGCGCTCGCGGTGCGCCCGTCTGGCTCTTCTTCTTCCACCGCCTACGGGTCCGCTCGAGGTGTTCGACGAAATGACTCAATGAGTAATGGCAATGGTACTCATACTAATGGTCAGTACAATAGTAGTGACTACTACAGCGCTTCACTCCGCAAGGCGAGGATCCCTTTCCTGCTCGCGAAGAAGAAGAAGAAAATCATGGCTGCGGCGACGTCGTCTTCGTCCTCCGAGAATCAGCACGACGTCGTGTTCAAGCGCAGCAAGTCCACCGCAGCTCCGGGGAGAAGACCCGCCCATTTCTTTGACGACGGTGAGGATTTCACCCCTCGCAAGCGCGGTGGGTTCTGGTCGTTCCTCTACCATTCCACCTCCAACAATCCCAAATCCAACCTCGATCCTTCCTCCGTTGCAAGCCACAAGAGAGTCGAAAATCAGAACAAGATTTCATCGGTTCCCGCTGCAGCATCAGGAACAGCTGCCTCCAGCACGGTGTCGTCTGCTGCCTATCCTCCAGCTTTGCGGAAGGATAGATGTTTGGGAGTTGGGGGATCGTCTCTGTCACGAAGAACAGAGATGGTGGTTGTGGAAGAAGACGAAGAAAGCCCCAATAGCCAAGCGACGAGCTCCAACTCTGCTGCCTCGTCGTTCGAGAGGAAAGTGTCTCGATCTAGATCCGTTGGTTGCGGGAGCAGGAGCTTCTCGGGTGATTTCTTTGAGAGAATCTCAACTGGGTTTGGCGATTGCACGCTGAGAAGAGTTGAATCGCAGAGGGAAGGCAAGCCGAAATCTGGTGGGGCTATAAAGGAAAGGGTAAAGTGTGGTGGAATCTTTCGTGGGTTCATCATCACTTCATCATCTTCATCGTCTACGTCATCATCGTACTGGGTTTCATCGTTAGCCGAGGAGATGAATGGGAAATCTGGTGGCAATCATTTGAGCAATGGAAGGGCGAGGAGCTGGACATGGGCTTTTGCTAGCCCTATGAGGGCGTTTGGAGGAAGCAATAAGCCGTCTGGTAAGGACAACGGTAAGAGAGATCATCATCAGGTTATCAGGGAGACTGGGAATAGGAACTCTGCTGCTGCTCCGAACTTGGCTGCCATTCCTTCATTGTTAACTGTGAGCAGCTAAAAGTAAATAAGAGGGATTGAACAATTCTCTTTCTTCTGTTTGCTTGCTGGGTCTATAATATATATCACATCGCTACTACACAGTACATTTTGGGTTAAATAGTAATCGTTTTGCTCATTTTCGTGATCTGTTTACCCAGGTTTCTAGTTTGCTGCCATCTCTACAATGTTCAGTTCCACATTCTGTAGTTTCATAACATCAATTACTTCTTCTTCAAAGAGTCTATGGATTGGATCATATCTAATCTAGATTCCTATGTAGTCATTTCTGAACAGTCGTTTGTCATGTCTTTTTAAAAGCAATGCCATCGAAAAGCAGAACCCAGGTGAGCTGATTCCCTGAGGGAAGCTTGAGTGAGGCTGATTGTGACTACTTGGGTGTTTAATGCCTGCAGGTTGAGAGACAGAGGAAGAGAGAGAGAGAGAGAGATAAAGCATTACTAGTGAGACTGGTTCGAATCCTTTGACCAAGAATACTTTCTCTGTCATCTTCCCTCTTCTTCCCTTCCTGTCTGTGAACGTGATCTAGAGATGCCTTTGCCAGCTTTTGTTCAGCTTGTATTTACTCAATTCTTTAACCTCTCTTTTGTGTAGTTGAGAGAGGTCTTTCAGCTTCACAGCTTTTGCTTGTAATTTGTTTATCAGTTGTTGTATTCTAAGGATAAAAGAGTGATTATCATGCAATGGCAAGTTTGTATTATCAGAAGCAACTCACTCTCTCTGCCAAAGTTTTGGATCACTCACATGGGCACACATGTTGGATGATTGCTCTCTCTCTCTCTCTCTCTCTCTCTCTCTCTCTACAACCAATAAACACTTGCTGCTGCTGCTGTGGCCATTTAATATATTGGGGTGGTGTTGACTGTATTGAGGAAGTAGATGATCTATAGTGAAAGCTTGAAGGAGGGATTGCTTCTTCTGCTTTCTTACTTCATCTTTTCATACATGAGCCATGTAAATGTACTGTATATGGTGAATGACAATAAATTGTTTGGCAGGGCATTCAGCCAGTAGCCTACTAAACAGTATGACTGTATGAGTAATCAGGATTGAGTTTTCATTTTCAACCTCTGAATTTTCATGTCTGAGGTGTGGTAGATGCCAGATGGTAACTAATTGACCTACCTCTGGTCGAACCTGTAACTGGAACTGACCAAGCCGAACTGAAGGAGGTTGTTCGAGCAAGCACATTCTTGGATGCCTAAGATCATTTCTCTATCAACTCAGCCTGAATAGCAAGATGGGGAATCTCTCCATTCAGATTGGATCTAGATTACCGCTAATTCGCTTCGTTTTACAACATAATGCTTTGTTATCCATCGACAACTAAACCCCCCGAATAACACAACTTCAATCCACCCCCTCCTTTCATGGTACACACTACAAATTTTATGAAATGTCCCAAATTATTTACATGATCTAAGTTGAAAAAGATGGCTCAAAGATGAAAACAAGGGACCTCATATGAAAGTCAGGGCAGGGGGAGAACTGTATGAGAAAACGAAGTATGAGGAAATGATGAAATGGAAGAGGACAAGGAGGTTTGTGGTGGTTGGGGTTCTTTTCAAATGGAGTAATAAGTAGTAGAAGAAGAAGCAGAAGAGGGCAAAAGCAAGAAGACAAACTGAAAAGGCTGCATTTGGGGGACACTGGTATTGGAAGCAGACCATTAACAAGCAAGTAGGACCCCTTAATTTTAAGGGACATCATGTACATTTTCCCCCTTCCTAATCCTACCCATATCTCTTCCAATTCTCTGTTTCTCACCATCATTTCTCCTTTCATCCAAGCCCACAAAGCCAAACCAGTAGCCAAACGTAGAAGTCCTTTTGGGAACTTGCATGATAGAAAGCAAACAAGCTCCTTTCTTGCTTTTCATCCTAACATCTTTTTGGAAGCCAAAAGGCAAGATTGCAAGCAAGCTGTGTCCTTAGCATTAGTAGGTCATTATTATCGACTATTTTTCCCACCAACAATCTCTGTGTCCTCCTCCCTCTCTCATTCATGTGCTTCTGTGGCTTTGGTCTGAGGAGATGGGGATACTATTGCAATTATAAGAGGACCCCATTGACAGATTTTGCCATTTTAGACTAAGGCTCCCCCTAGCCCTTGGGAAGAAATATCAAGCAACATGAAGAACCTTGCCCCCATATAGAAATATATCAGGTTGTTGAACAATGTATTTACAGTCTCACAATGTTTACCGTCGTTAGAATGGACACTGGATGCTTTAGAATTGTCAGATGAACGCAGAGCGCTTTACTAAAGATATGACGATCATGATCAAAATGAACACTATGATTTGAGCATTTTAGTAAAATTGGGTGCTTAAGGGCCATGTTTATCTCGTGGTACAACAGGAAGTTATGTAGTGATATTCAATATTTTAGTGTAAATGATGTTGCGGAATGAGAATTTAGGAATGTTAGGTCGGATTCCTATAAATTCAACTTCAAGGTGTTAACTTTAGATAATCAAACAAACGCACAATGAGACTAACACACAGATTTAACGTGGTATCCCTGGAATGCCAGGACTAATCCACGGGAGAGGCAAGCTCTCCAAGCTGAAAATCGTACTAGGTTTCGGGGTCCTTCTCATCCATTTACCAATTGTATAAATACCCCCCTAAACCCTAGTATTATACGTGTGCTCCTGCATGTGTGTATGGGTTTGGGCTAATCAACAACATGATACACGTTGGCCCATTAAACTTATACATAATATGCTAACAGCATCCCCCAAATTGATGTCGGGAACGAAGCATCAATTTACTTGAGAGGAACCAATGCCTGCTACTAGTGAATGGTTTCGTGAAAATATCCGCAATCTGATTCTCTGTCCGAAGGTAGTGTAATAGAATAATACCGTCTCGCACCAGCTCACGTACATAGTGCACATGTAGCTTAACTCGAGAGGGAGTGAACAAGTGACACCAAGATCACTGAGTAATCGACGAATCCAAACAAGCCCGGAACAAACATAAGACATGGCTCGATACTTCGCTTCGGTAGATGACTTAGACACCTTGTTCTGTTTCTTACACCGCCATGAAATAAATGACCCCGCAAATTGAATGCAGCACCCCATAGTAGACCGTCGTGCATCGATACAACCTGCAAAACCAGAAACCGAGTATGCATGAAGATCAATAGAACCAGTGGAAGGGAAAAATATACCTACATCCTGAGTACCCTTAAGGTAGCGTAGGATCCGGGGAGCGGCGGCGAGGTGATCATGACGAGGAGAAGCCATGAACTGAGCAACTATTTGTACCGCGTATTTTATATCTCGTTGCAGCCATCCAAATAAATGAGAATCCCCAGCAGACTTCTATACCGCGAGCCATAAGGCAAAAGATCACCGGAATCCCGACCCAATTTCAAATTCAACTCCATAGGTGTGCTTATTGGCTGACAACCCTCAAAATTATGGTCACTTAGCATATGCCCAATGTACTTCCGCTGACTGAGAAGACCCTGCGCTCTGCGACTAATCTCCCGCCTAAGAAAGTAGGACAACTCCCCCAAGTCCTTCATTTTGAATGCGTCCTGAAGTCCTTGCTTAAGATTAGTAATCGCACGAACATCATCACCTGTTACTACCATGTCATCAACGTACACTAGGAGAAAAACAATCCAGTCTTAGTGAATAACGATGGATCACTCAAGCTTTGTTTCGTACCAAGCTTTAACACAGTGGACTAGAATTTCTCAAACCAGGGCACAGAGCTTGTTTGAGGTCATACAACGACCGGTGGAGAAGATAAACCTGGATAGGGAGACCAACATTATATTCGAGAGGTTTCTCCAAGTACACCACCTCCTTCAGATCGCCGTGCCAGAACGCATTTTTCACATCGAGCTGAAATAATAGTCACTGATGGATAGATGCAACAACTAAGAGAGTGTGAACTGTAGCCATCTTCGCTACATGGGCAAACTTCTCATCAAGATCAATGCCCTACTCTTGCTCTTGCGAGAACCCCTAGGTGACTATCCGGGCCCGATGATGTTCAATCTCCCCGTCAGAGTAATCTTCAAAGCATATAACCAACAAAAGCCAATAACAGGTACATAAGAGGTGGCCGATCAACAATTGTCCATGTTTCATTAGCTTGTACGTCATCAATTTCAGTCTGCATGGCAGCCTCCCACATACGATTACCCTAAGCCTGCTTATAACGAGTGAGAACAACAACCGAATCAATCCCGTAAGAAACAGGATTATTTCCCTAAATACAGTGAAAATTAAAAGTAATTCCCATAATACATCACTTTTATAAATATTTCCCAAACTACCAAAGTTTGAACCAGTTCGAGTTACCAAACTCGAACTAGTACCAGATCGATTGCCAAGGGATCGATCCACGTGCATTGAGTGAAACAGCCGCGATTGGCAGGAACAGGACGACGCGGATCGAGTGTGGTAAACTCGATTTACGTGGATCGAGTACAGAACACTCGAACTGATTGACATGGATCGCTGACATAAGCAGCGCTCCACCCTAGATCGAGGTAAAGGGAATCGAACTCCACCGTTCGATGGCCACATCCGCGATTTAGTGGTGACGCGGATCGAGTGGGGATAAATCGATGCACATGGATCGAGCACTTTGGAATCGATCTGCTTGACGCGGATCGATGACGTCAGACCCGCTCCACCGTAGATCGAGTTTGCCTAACTCGATCTGGTCGTTCGATTTGCCTGCACTCGAACTCCTTTTGACGCGGATCGAAGGCGGAAAAATCGATGCAGTGGTTTGAGTCCCCTAAACTCGATCCACCTCCTCCCACTGCACCTATAAATTCCCCCTCCCATTCCACCAAATCCCACACCACTCCATTCTTCTTCCTCTATTCCTCCCACCACTCTTGAAGAAAAAAATATGCTCTGTGGTTGCGGCTAAGCCCGATCTTCCGCATCAGATTTTTTTTCTTTAGTTTGGTACTTCTATCACTCAAAATTGTCGAGATGGATCCGAATATTTACGATCCTAGATTATACATTCAAGGCGGACCGCGAGAAACCGATTTTTTGGATGAGCAACCTTACCATCGGTCTTAAAGTGTTTAGGCGGCAGATCCGGTAAGCACTTCCTCATGTACTTTTCTTTTTTTAAATGTGATAGTATTCTTCTAATTTTTTTTTGTATAATAATTAATATTTTTTTTCTACATGAACAACTTGATGTAATCACCCATCGGTCGCTATCTCGCTTGCCTAAATGGGATGATCGTATCGAGCCCTTCATTGAAAGAGCGCGATTGCTGAGGGTGCGAAAGTTTGTGGGGATGGAGATGGATAAAAACCTTCTTACGGCAATGGTGGAAAGATGGAGAAAAGAAACGCACACATTCCACCTTCTAGAGGGAGAGATGACGATTACGTTGAAGGACGTAGCCATGCTGACAGAGTTGTTAAGTTGTTCTATTTCTAATGACGTTCCGTTGTTCTATTTCTTTAGAGTTGTTAAGGTGTTCTATTTCTTTAGAGTTGTTAAGGTGTTCTATTTCTAATGACGTTGTTTAGTTGTTCTATTTCTTTAGAGTTGTTAAGGTGTTCTATTTCTAATGACGTTGTTAATTTGTTCTATTTCTAATGACGTTGTTAATTTGTTCTATTTCTCATGCATTGTTAAGTTGTTGTATTTCACAACATAAAGTTCTTAAATCACAACATAAAATTCAAATTACAACATAAAGTTCTTAAATCACAACATAAAATTCAAATTACAACATAAAGTTTCAATTATCAGTCGATGGCCCTGGACACTGGCGCCTATCATGCCCTTCAACTCGACATGCAGAGCACTTCTTCGGGCGGCGTCGCTGTGTCCTTGATCTATCCATTTCATTTGCAATTCGGTTAACTCTAGGTCAACCTTTGGTACGCTTCATGTGCTCGGGAGGGTACACTACAGGTCCATCATACTGGGGCCAATATGCTTCATGAGCCAATGGAAAGAACGACCCTTCCCAAACTCTGACCACGTATGGAGTCTTGTAGTATGGACTAACAAATATCAAAGGGTCCAAATTAACGCTTCTCGCAGCTGCATATGCATGAGAGCAAGGCAGGTGTCTCCCTTGAAACTTCCCACAAGTAAACTCTCCAATTCCATTCTTTGCATCCAGTATAACTGTTTAAGCATCCGAGAGCTAATTCGAGTTTGGCAAACATTGGCTAAAAACACGGGCAGGGCTTAGACAAAGCACGGCCGTGGCCACCACAAGCACGGCCATGTCCATCATAAAACACGCTCGTGTTTCCCCCAACACAATGGCCGTGTAATTAACCCTAGCCAAAGCACAGGCGGGCTGAGGCAAAGCACGGCCGTGCCCTCGACCGTGCTTTGGCCACTGATGCCCTTTTAAGCAGATTTCAGCCAAAACAGAGGGGGATTCGAGTTTTAGAGAGACAGAGCAATTCCTAGAGAGAGAAAGCGACGAACAAGAGTCTCCAAGTGCCCTAGCTTGATCTTCATCACCATTGGAGGCCAGCTTGAGCTTGGAGAAGTGCTGATCAACGTCCAGGAGCAGGAATCCATCCTTCACAGTATGAATTCCGCGTCTGATTCTGCTTTTGCTTCTTTCTCCATGGAGTAGTTCTCACATTCATCTGGGTGTGGAGAACCCTAGATTTGTATGTTAGGCTTTGATTGTATAAACCCAAGTACTGATTCTATGATTTGATTATATTCGATTGAGGTTTGAATGATTGAATGACTTGAATCCTGATCAAATTCCTGTTGTTTCTGCTTTGACCTAGAATGAGAATATCTGCCTAGGTTGATAGAGCATCCTTGATTGAAGGTAGGGAGTTGGTGACTTTAGTCGAGGAGCCAACTCACTATTCTGTACCGGTTTTACTCCGGTAGTGGAGGTTTTGTTTGTTAAGGCCTCAATCTGTTTACTCTGGTGGAGGTTAGTCGCCCGCTAGAGACTCAGATTGAGAGGGTCTGAAGACCTTTAGTCGAGACTTCAGGCTGTTTAAGAACCTTCCGCAGTATAACTATCATAGAAACTGAACTTGGTAATTACAATCCGGCTTAACTGCAGTCTAGGGGGAACCATATCCGGGTGACCTCTCTTAACCTGAATACAACAGTTTACTTGCTTTGTTAGTTTGTTAGTTTAGACTGGCATTAAAGTTTCATTGCTAGATAACAAGAATTCACTGAGTAGTCATCAAATCTAGGACCCGGGTTGACATTTAAACCCAAACCCGCTATACTACGCTTTAGGAAGTGGTTTCACTTGGCCAATTTCTAGAGTGACAGTAGAAGTGAGTCACCGACAGTGAAGGCAACATCCACCTCACCCGAAGCAACAAGGACTGAAGACTCTCCATCTCTGGGTCGAATGTCCAGCTTGGCTTGTGTCCGTAAGCTTGTTTCCTCGCGTACCAAGTCTCCAAACATCCCTTCCATTAACAACGCCCCTCGGTGAATGATAGCCGATCTAATGGATTCATATTCGGCCGCAAATGCATCAGAAAGTGAAGTAGCCTGGCATGCTTGCGTTTCTCGATGAGGACTGCCGAAGTGGCAGCGGGGCGGAGGGATTGCGTGAGCAAATCCTCTTCAGTCCACAGCTCATGGGCAGCAGTGAGATAGGTCGTAATGTCATGATCTCCTTGTTCCAACCTGTCCAATGCACATTGCATCTCGTATTGCCTTGCGACACTAGCAGTAGAGTAAGTATCCACTAATTGCTTCCACATCTCATTAGCGGTCTTATGCATACATAGAGTGAGACAAATATTAGGATCAACAGAGCCTAAAAGCCACGATCTTACCCGAGCATCCTGGAGGTTCCACCGATTGATCTACTCGGTTGTGGCGGTTGAGTCGGGCTTCAGGACTGTACCATCCAGAACCCCAGCGAGTCCCTTTCCTTCAACATACACACGAAATTGGAATTCACACCGCATGTAATTCTTCAGATTGAGCCGAATGGACAGCCTCTCGAAATCGATTGTCGAAAGCTCTGATACCATGTTAACTTTAGCTAAGTAAACAAACGCACAAAGACACTAACACACAGATTTAACGTTGTATCCCTGGAATGTCAGGACTAATCTACGGGAGAGGCAAGCTCTCCAAACTGAAAATTGTACTAGGTTTCGCTGTCCTTCTCGTCCATTTACCAAGTGTATAAATAGCCCTCTAAACCCTAGAGCATTATACGTGTGTTCCCTGCATGGGTGTGTGGGCTCTAATCAACAACAAGATACACGTTGGCCCATTAAACTTATACATAATACGCTAACACAAGGTTCTTGGATACATATAAACATAAACATATGTTTTTGAAAGGACTATTTATATATTGCACTTGTACACCATCAACTGAAGTGACTAACCCGATTGGGATGCTTACAAAACACTAAGGGTCGTTTGAACGAGGAATTGTAACGGAACAATTTGACACAATTGTTTCGTTTTGAAACAATTATAACAAATTGTCTCGTTTGCCAACAAAAAATTTGGATGGATCAATCTGCCTGAGGTATTTTGAATTGATCAGTTTTGAGTCAATTTCAATTACCTGGGGTGGGGGCAGGTAATTCGAATTGACTCATTTTAATTGCCTTGTTTATAAAACGAGACAATTAACCAAATTGACTCATTTCTAGATTGATCCATCCAAACGACCCTTATATATAAACAAGATTAGTGATTGATTGAAGTCTGTGGGGAAATGGGATCAAACCTGCCCCTCCATTTTTTACTTTTGTGGTGGATATACAGTGCCTCCGCATTGCAATTGTTCTCGTTGCATCTATAGAACAGAGAAGATTTAACAGCTGATCAATAGTCATGTTTATATGGTGTAGCATCATAAACAGAGCCATGTACTATAGCTTAACAGGAAAACTGCCGTTTGCTTGCACCCATGTTTCCATTGGCACTGCAAAACACAGTCCCGTGGAAGTAGACCAAGCCCAAAAGGCCGTTGATGATACCAAGCAGGGCCTCAGCAGCCATTGGGCCCATCGCCGTAACCGCCATGATCAAGAAGGACTCCATGAAACTTTCGATGCCAGTTGTACGAGGAATTGAAGGGAGTTGTCTGCTATTTTGATATGGAAAACAAATGGTCCCAACTATGCAACAATTTCCTGAGTTCCCACATCTCCAATCCTTAAGAACCCACCAATTAATCACATTCTAGGAGGTAGCAGCTGCAGCCTCACTCTTTCTGAACCACACCTGCAGAAGGCGAGCTGTATTTACCAACTCGACTTCTCATGCTACAGGCTGCTACCTCAAGACCAAGACCCTACAGCCTTCTACCATGGGCGACTTTATTTCGAAAACATCCACCATGATACCATATCATTCCAGCTCATAATACTATTCAGGAGTAAACTGGGATTCCAGAATACCTTGCCAGAACTCCTGTACTAAACAGAATCCACTCGCCGAAAAAGAAGATTCAAAGCATCCCATTCAATGTAGCCTCAGATGTCCTAAAGATCACCAGCACAAATCCAAAAGCAATCGACCTGTGATATGCAATAATTCCATGTTCGCTCCAACAACCCATCTCTATTTTCCATGGCGAGGAAGAAGTTCAGAATGAGGAGCTACATCAGGACATACAACTTATCAGGCATGGGATGCAGTGCTGGAATAAAATCAGTATTTCGTAGAGCTAGCCTGGCGAGACTTGCTCAAAGCAAACCCAGGCTCTCTGGCGCTCATAATGGGCACCAAGATGCTAGGACTAAATTGCTACAATGGTGAGAGAACAAGTCAATGCTGCTGCCATATTGATGTCTAAGAGAAACCAAGATGAAGGCATAGCAAAGTATGAACTGCAGCATCTAGTTTGAACAGATAAAGGATATAAACTCATGGATTTGTTTTTCCAAGACACTGATGATGATAAAAACGTAGGAGTGTCCATATCGAAAGAGATATTAAGTGTAGCTGCAAGGGCATCAAAGGCAAATATCGCTATACTGGGACAAACTGTGCTGAGTGGAAATGTAATCTCAATACTAGGGCTATTGCTAGAGAAGAAACATGGACATAAGAGATTCAAATGCATCCGGTAGCAATACCAGAAACTGTAGAAATCTGGAAAATCGAATGTTGTGTCCAATAAATGGTAGAAAGATAAAACTTCAGCCAAATGTAAGCAGGCACATCATTGAAGAAATTCGGGTTCTTAAGCACAAAATTGTCAACCAAGGCAAACTGTGATATAGATAGAATTCGGCAAAACTCACAAATTTCAAGACTTTCACTTAAACCCTAAATGCAAATCAAAACTAAGATTCTCGATTGGGCAGAAACGATTACAGAGATAACTCTCAATCTTCCTCCTCGCCTTCGTTCTCGGCAATGTTAAAGTATCTCAGCTCGTAGATGGAACGGTCCTTGTTGGAAGCGATCACACGAAGCCAATCCCTAACATTGTGCTTCTTCAAGTACTTCTTCGTCAAGTACTTCAGGTACCTGAGACGAGCCAGAGAAAATCAGAAACTAGGGGACACCAATTTAAGAGCTGAAGGGCAAAGGACAACAAAATTCGCCGGCGAAATACCTCTTGGAGAAGTTGGAATCGGAGGTGACTGTGATCTTCGACTTCTCGCGGGTGATGACGACTGCGTCGCCGAGAGCTCCAGCCTTGCCGCCGACCTTGATGCGCTCCTGGAGGAACTTCTCGAGTGAGGCGATGTCCATGATCTTGTCCTCGACGGGCTTACCGCAGTCGATGGTGAAGGTAACTCCCTTCTTCTTGCCCTTGGCGCCGGCGGCACCACCTGCTGCTCCGCGGCTCATTTTCGTTCCCTCCTTCGACTTCCTTCCGCTACCTCTACTAAAAAACAGAGAAAAAGAGATCACCGAGTTAGCGAAACTCAGAAGGAAGATTGGAAGTGAACGGCGAGAGGAAGGGGAAGGGAGAAAGGAGGTTACCGATGACAATTGGCCGAGATTTGCAGCGCCGCAGGAACACGAGGGAATGCGAGGGAGAGCTAGGGTTTTTGGCTATATAGTATACTGGTTATATGCGTTTAGGTCGTTTACCACCACAGAAACTGCTGGGCTTCAACTGGATGAAAGCACTCATGGGCTTTCATGATATTTGAACTCGGTTTCTGGGAGGCGCATTTTAGTCCAAGAAGAATAAACCAGCCCAATCGCTGAGGGCATCCTTCCCGGTGCCCACCCTTACTTGGCAGGGAAGGCAAGGTCGAACATCGAAAGTCATTGAAAGTATGGAACCTGATTAATAGGCTAGCATCTGTGTATAAGAGGATTTGTATAATTAGTATTCTCTGGTAAAAGTAGGATGTGTATAATTAGTATTCTTTGAAAGGGCTCAAGGTGAATAACCCATTGTTGATTGTTTGGTTTTAGATTTGTGAAAACTTTTTCATTCCATTTATATCCCTAATAGTTTTTGTCTTATTCTAAAAGTTGATGGTAAATGTGATATTTCCCCATAAAGTAACTTTATGTAAATCAATGCATAAAATAGAATCTCAACAATCAAACAATGTTTTTGTTAAAATGCATCTATTGTATCAATACATGCATTTATATTATGGTGATTCATTACAATGCAACGATTTAACATTCGCAACTTCCAAACGACCCCTTAATAGATTTGTAAGACTTTTTTGTTGGTAAGATTTTTTAATCGATAGCTCGATTAGTTCTCGACTATTGGATTTGGTTTTGTCATGTTTATGTATGATAAAACTAGTTAGGTTGTCTATCTTGGAGAGACTTACCACAATTTTAGTCTTCATATTGTACAAAAATGGAAAACGGAAAGTTGACCCATTCATTCTATTGAAGGTGAAGGGGGTAAATCTATACGCATTATCATTTGATGTCTACATAAGAACAAAAGGAGGGGAAAGATGAACAGATCAAGTTAAAAAAAACTACCAACATTTAATTTACCGGAATAAACATAATTTCTTCTCTTAATTAGCTTATTTCTACACTAATAACAGACGCCTGATTATGACAAGATCCAAAGGATTGGTTGATTTGAATGCAGAAGAACAAGCTGCTCAGATCAGTAAAGGAAAGGAGAAGGTTGATGTTCAGATGCTTGAAGAACTCTGGAGCTGAAGAGAGTTTCGAAGGAAGGAAGAAAGAAACGTTTTTATTTATCTGTCTGTCTTTCATTTCGCGCTGTCATTTTAGTATAGTGGAGTTAGTTTATGTTAGACGAATGGCAAGTCGCCACGTCAGTCTTACCGTTGTGTAAACAGTAAATTCTGAACCCCTTTAAATTGAAAAACCCCAGCAACGAGAACAGCTGAGGATTCCCCATTTCCTTCTTCCTCCTTTTCTCTTTTCTTACAAACCTTCCTAAGGAAGTTTACATGGTATCAGAGCAGATCTGAGCGGATCTGATAAACGATGTCTGGAGCGTAGTCCAGTACGTCTGGTGAACAATACACCGCCGAATACTCCTCCATTGAACTTTGGTACTTATCAAGGTCAAGGTGCAAACAACAACAACAACAATCGAGCAGCAGCTGATCCAAACTTTGGTAACCCTTTCTACATAAACCCTAATGAAAATCTAGCCCAGTCTATCGTTCCCATTGTTCTGGATGGCCCTAACTACCAGACTTGGTCTAAGGCAGTGACTATTGTTCTTAAGACTAAGCATAAACTAGGGTTCATAGATGGGTCGATTGTTGCTCCGAATAGAAATGATGGTATGTTTCAGATCTGGGATGCTTGCAACACGATTTTTTTTGTGTTGGATAACTAATTCACTCGAGAAGGACATAGCCAGAAGTGTCCTGAGTCATGATAATGCAAGAGCATTATGGAATGAACTTAAGGAGCGATATGGTCAAGCTGATGCCATAAAGCTTACCAACTTGGAAGATGAAATTCATGCCACAAAACAGGGTACCCAGACCATTACTTAGTACTACACTCACATGAAGGGTCTTTGGGAAGAGTATAGTCAGTTTAACCCTATTGTTCCTTGTGGATGTGATACGATCCTGGAATCGATCGAATTCCATCCAGGATTAATCGTCAAAGAGGCCAAGTCGAATTGCAAAGTAAAAGCTGAAAATTGTCCAAGTCAAAATCCGTGTTCAGGGTACATACTTTGGAGGCATGGTTCTCTCAATTGGCTTGGTGGAAATTCAAGGTTAAGGGTTTGTTTTGCAGATAAAGTTGTCATGTTTTCAATGGTATGCTTGGTGGAACCAGATGATGTCATTAAGGTTGTTTTCCAAGGCCTCAAAGTTGCTACCTCAAAACTGGAAAACTGCCAGAAAATGGTTAAGTCTGGAAACTGTTTTGTGAAGCCTAATTTGGAGCTCAATTCAAGGAGCATGGATCTGATTCGAGACCAAAGGCTTCTACAACATGAAACTAGGAATGTTTATCTACCAAGGGAAGGAATCGGATGAAAGATCGGAGTTCTAGAAGGCCTTGTACGAAAGGTGTGAAGTTAGTACGAAAGCTGCTTTTGGACTGTTTGCTGGCAGCTTGCTTGCACTTGAAGAAAGAGAGTTTAAATCCGAATTTTGAGTCCTTTTTAGAGTAGATTTTTTTACCTTAATTGTTTCCTAGTTCTATTAGGTTTGCATTAGGTTTATTTGTCTATAAATACTCCTTCCATTTACGTTGTAAAAAATAAGACTGTGTTGAATAGAAATCGAAACCGTTTGGTTTGTGCAAGTTGCGACTTGTTTTGGGTTTGGTGGATTCCAACCTTGCTGATTTTGTGTATCGATTGAATAGTCACTTCAATCGTGGTCGAGCAACTATCCTTTTATACCAATCGAGCTATCCCCAGGTGTGGATTTGTCCTTTTGGTTCCGTTTTATCCAAGTTCGTATTAAGAACGTGTTGTTCTTGATTCGAGCTCAATCGATTCTTCGATTGAGTCGTTTGCTGCGTGAATTTGATAAACATACACCCCCCAGGGGCGTAACAAGTGGTATCAGAGCCCCGTTCAAATCAGTGGCGGTTTGTTCTTGACGACTCTGTTTTCTGCTCGTCAAACAAGATGGAAATTTTGGCAGAAGAGCTAGCAGAATCGATGTTCTTCACGCGTTGTTTAATCGATGAGAAAGTGTGTTTGGTTCTCGTTGATGGAGGCAGGGAGAGGAATTTAATCTCCTCCAGAACAGTGGTCAAGTTAGGGCTACAATCACAGCTACATCCAGCTCCCTACAACGTCCAATTACCGTACGAAAAATACCCAAGTTTCATGATTTCTCAGGTGGTTGTGGACTTTTCGATTGGTTCGTATAAAGATAAAGTACTGTGTGATGTGGTTTACAACTTGCCCAGCCATATTGTTTTGGGACAGCCTTGGTTTCATGATCGACAAGTTCGGCTAGTTAGTAGAAGGAGCAAGAAATTTCGTTTGCAGAAGCAAAACATGGTAGTCATTCTGGTTCCTTTGTCTCCAGACGCAGCTGCCGAAGACCTGAAGGTGGTACAACGACTCCACAAGGATTACAGGTCGTCGTTGATGGCCAGGTCGCTGTCAGTGAGCAGCAACCCTGTCCAACCTCGGCTGGGAGATGGAGACCCCTGTCTTTCTGTGATGAAACAGAGCTCCGACGCCAGCAGTAGTGCCGACGACGACGAGGCGAAACCCGAGCACAAGGGCGCTTCCAATTCGTCACTAGAGGTTGAAGGTATGTCAAGAAAGCGAGAAGAAGGCTCGAAATTGACCACCATCGCGCGAATCGACCCGACGACGAGAGCAGAGTTTCTCGACTCTGTTTTTTCGACGACAGAACAGAGCATGAGAGAGGGAGTATCGGGTGGAGCTCTGCAGAGTACTCCGACCCACTCCAAGGAGACCGACACACTCCATTCTGCCTTAAGAACCTCTCAACTCGACCAATTTGAAACGATTACTTCAATTTTTCAGAATCAAGATCGAGCTCCAAAGCCTCTGGTCGCGCACAGGGAAGAAGAAAAAGTTTCCGAATTGGTTGGGGCGATCGAGCGAGATTCGACCCAAACGGCTATCGTGGAATCATCTGAGAAGATCTCAGGAAGCTATTTGAATGCTAAATTGAAGTCGGGGATGATCGAGCAGAAAACGCCCAAAATTGAAAATTTTGGCCGAAAATTTGAAGAAGAACAGAAGGATTCAATTCGAGCTACTGGGATTGATTCGATCCAATTGGAAGCTTTTAAAAAGTTCAGGGTGGTCCGAGGATGGTGTAGAATCCTAGAATTGAGCACGAAGTTGCCAGAATTGCAATTCCCCAATTTCAATTTTGGGTCGCCGGATTCTGGAATTGCAACGCTGGCTTCTGGGCAATTCAAAATCCCAGGCGGCGGGAAATCTGTTTATTCTTATTGGAGACGAATTGCTCCACTTCGACGCACAAGGATGCTTGGAGACGATCCTTGGAATCCATACGGACCGGATGGAGGCCATGAATTCGATCAAGACAGCTCCGAGAAGAAACACCCAATTTTGGAGCCCTCGCCGGAAAATATGGACTCGCCGGAATCTGCATTCTTTTGGCCGGATTCTGGAAAATTTCAAGGCCTTATTCTGGGTCCGATTTTGCACACTTGTTTCGTGGGGAAGGTCCATTGGAGCCCCACGATTGTGTTGAAGCTCAAATCGTGGAGAACACATGCCAATTTATGGGCTGGAGCAGAATTTGAAGTTCGAAATTTTTTGCCGAAAATTGTGTTTGAGCAGGCCACTTTCGATCCAGTTTGGAATAAATTTTGCAAAGATTTTGACAAAAGAAAGTTTCAAGCTTTGAGGTCAAAGCTTTTTGAAGAGGGGGAGCCTGATACGATCCTGGAATCGATCGAATTCCATCCAGGATTAATCGTCAAAGAGGCCAAGTCGAATTGCAAAGTAAAAGCTGAAAATTGTCCAAGTCAAAATCCGTGTTTAGGGTACATACTTTGGAGGCATGGTTCTCTCAATTGGCTTGGTGGAAATTCAAGGTTAAGGGTTTGTTTTGCAGATAAAGTTGTCATGTTTTCAATGGTATGCTTGGTGGAACCAGATGATGTCATTAAGGTTGTTTTCCAAGGCCTCAAAGTTGCTACCTCAAAACTGGAAAACTGCCAGAAAATGGTTAAGTCTGGAAACTGTTTTGTGAAGCCTAATTTGGAGCTCAATTCAAGGAGCATGGATCTGATTCGAGACCAAAGGCTTCTACAACATGAAACTAGGAATGTTTATCTACCAAGGGAAGGAATCGGATGAAAGATCGGAGTTCTAGAAGGCCTTGTACGAAAGGTGTGAAGTTAGTACGAAAGCTGCTTTTGGACTGTTTGCTGGCAGCTTGCTTGCACTTGAAGAAAGAGAGTTTAAATCCGAATTTTGAGTCCTTTTTAGAGTAGATTTTTTTACCTTAATTGTTTCCTAGTTCTATTAGGTTTGCATTAGGTTTATTTGTCTATAAATACTCCTTCCATTTACGTTGTAAAAAATAAGACTGTGTTGAATAGAAATCGAAACCGTTTGGTTTGTGCAAGTTGCGACTTGTTTTGGGTTTGGTGGATTCCAACCTTGCTGAGCTTGTGTATCGATTGAATAGTCACTTCAATCGTGGTCGAGCAACTATCCTTTTATACCAATCGAGCTATCCCCAGGTGTGGATTTGTCCTTTTGGTTCCGTTTTATCCAAGTTCGTATTAAGAACGTGTTGTTCTTGATTCGAGCTCAATCGATTCTTCGATTGAGTCGTTTGCTGCGTGACTTTGATAAACATACACCCCCCAGGGGCGTATCAGGATGTTTGCTTGGAAACCCATTGCCCTGTGCTGCAGTTGAAGCTTTTAAGCTGAAACAGAACACTGATTATCTGATCAGGTTCCTGCGTGGTCTGAACCCAGAGTATGAGTACATCAGATCACAGAAGCTAATGCAGAAACCACTACCCATAGTGGTTCAAGCATTTCATGACTTGTTGCAGCATGAGCAGAAGCTCAAAGCTGATGGGAATAGAAATGGGAACAGGTTAGGACAATCAGTTGCTTTGGCAGCTGGTTCCTCCAATAACTCATCAGCAGGTAATTCTTCTAAGGGCTCAAACAAGAATGTCAATGAAAGAGCTGGCAGTGACAGAAGTGGAGCTGAGACAGGAGAGTTATTTTGCAATTATTGCAAGAAGACAAACCATGTGATTAAGGATTGCTGGAGGCTGAAAAAGAAGAATCAGAACAAAGAGGGAGGACAGTATAACAGGTTCTCCGGAGCAGTTGGTCATGAATCAGATTCAGAAGGGGGAAGGCAGTTACAAGTTGATGTTAGCAGTCATTCTGGTTCTACTGCTGGTGGTTTCACTGCTGAAGAGATACACAGACTGAGAGGGTTGCTTCAATCCTCCAGTTCCAACTCACCAACATCTCCTCAGAGCCTTGCAGTGAACCACAGGTCACACTCAGTGACCAACTATCTGCCACAATTCCATAACTATGGAGGTATGTATGTCCTTTCAACTTGTCAGGATCATAAGACTCTTCAACATACATGGATATTTGATACTGGTGCATCAGACCATATTGCTTGTTCTCTTTCTCTGTTTGACAAATATAGACCTGTTTTTGATGTATTTGTCTACCTTCCAAACAAAGCAAAGGTCCCAGTCTCACATGTTGGTTCAGTTAGACTGTCATCACAGTTATTCCTCCACAATGTCCTCTTAGTACCTAGCTTCACCTTCAATCTAGTTTCTGTCAGTAAGCTTACACACGACCTACCAATCTCACTTATCTTTCAATCTAATCTCTGTCATGTCCAGGACCTAGTGAACAGCAGGATGATTGGTTTGGCCAGAGAAAGTAGAGGGTTATATCATTTCATTCCAGATGCAACCACACCTTCCCAACTCACATCTTCCAATACATCTCAAGTTGCATCTATTTACAATTTCGAGCCCCAGAAGATTGAATTGTGGCATTGGAGATTAGGCCACCCTAGTAATAGTAGTACTATGCTTCTAAACAAATGTAATCCCTCACTTCCTATAGAGAAAGTCAAACACTGTGAACACTGTCATTTGTCAAGACAGAAGAGATTACCCTTTCCTTTGAGTGAATCTGTTGCATCAGATATTTTTGTTCTTGTCCATGTTGATATTTGGGGACCATTAGCAATCAATTCACATGATGGTTATTATTACTTCTTAACTGTCGTGGATGATTTTTCTAGAGCAGTTTGGGTATACTTAATGAAACAGAAATCAGAAGCAAGAGACTTGTTAATAGGCTTCTGTAACATGGTCAAAACACAGTTTGGAAAACCTGTTAAAACCATAAGAAGTGACCAAGGAAAGGAGTTCTACATGTGTGAATTCTACCTAAGTCAGGGCATTGAACATCAGATGTCCTATACTTATACACCTGAACAAAATGAGAGGGTAGAGCGCAAGCATCAACATATTTTAAATGTTGCTCGTGCATTGAGATTTCATTCAGGTGTCCCTCTCAATTTTTGGAGTGATTGTGTGCTCCATGCTATCTTTATCATTAACAGACTTCCAACTCCAGTTTTAAACAATAAGTCTCCATATGAAATCCTATACCAAAGACCTCCATTTCTTGGCCATTTAAGAGTCTTTGGTTGCTTGGCATATGCTGCCAGCATTACTCCAAGAAGAACTAAACTTGATCCTAGAGCTAGGCAATGCATTTTCCTTGGCATTCCTGCTGGGATAAAGGGTTTTAAGCTCTTTGACTTAAACAAACATGAGTTCCTGGTTTCTAGAGATGTCACATTTTATGAAGACATCTTTCCTTTTAGAACACAAGCTGCAAATCATGGTGAACAGGAGAAGGATGATTTTGCACCCTTGTTTCCATCTCCTTCACCTTTGTTACCAACACCTTCTTTCAATGAATTCACTTCTGCCAATTTACCTTCTAATCAGGTTCAAGCTAATAGCCCTTCCAATCAGGGTCATGTCAGTAGTCCTTCTGGTCAAGGTCATGTCAGTAGTCCTTCCAAAGAGCCTTCCCTTCCCACAAGAAGTATGTTTGATGCATCTCATGATGATATCTATGTGCATGAGACTGATGATTCTGCAGGTTTGGAAGAGGAGGAACATGAACTTCAACAACCAGATGATCATGAAGCAGAACCTGTTAGAAGAAGACCTCAAAGAAACATAGTCTTGCCTGCAAGGTTGAAGGATTGCTATCTAGGAATAGTGACCAAGTATCCCATAACAGATGTAGTGGGATATAAACTACTTACTGAAGATAGCAAGAACTATGCAGTAAATATGATAACTATGGTAGAACCATCTTCATTTGAGGATGCTAATGAAGAAGAGTGTTGGAGAAAAGCTATGCAGGAAGAACTTGCAGCACTCATTGAAAACCAAACCTGGGAACTAGTTAAGTTGCCAGCAGGAAAGAAAGCAATAGGATGCAAGTGGGTCTATAAAATTAAGCTGAAGCCAAATGGGAGTGTTGAAAGGTTCAAAGCCAGGCTAGTAGCAAAAGGGTTTACACAAGTTTATGGAGTTGATTTCTTGGACACATTTTCTCCTGTTGCCAAGAACAATTCTGTCAAAACATTGCTAGCAGTAGCAACAGCAAAAGACTGGCATTTGCATCAGTTAGATGTTTCCAATGCTTTTCTGCATGGAGACTTGGAAGAAGATGTTTATATGCAACTGCCACAAGGTTTTCCTATAGAAGGCAGTTCACAAGGGATGGTTTGCAAACTGAAAAAGTCCCTTTATGGCCTAAAGCAGGCCAGCAGACAGTGGTTTGCTAAACTGACTGGATCATTGCTTAAAAATGGTTTTTCACAATCTTCCTCTGACTATTCTATGTTCATCATATGGGTACAGGGAAGAATTGTTATTGTTTTAGTATATGTGGATGATATAATCCTTGCAGGGCCTAGACTAGGTGATTTGGAGTCAGTCAAAGGTTTCCTGAAAAGGGATTTCAAGCTAAAGGATTTGGGAAGTTTGAAATACTTCCTGGGATTGGAAGTAACAAGAAATAGAAGTGGGATATCTGTTTCCCAAAGGAAGTACTGCATGGATTTACTTTCCGAAACAGGATACTTGGATGCTAAGAGTTGTAAGAGCCCTATTGATTGCAAAGTATAGCTAAGTGCAGGAGAAGGAAAATTGCTAGAAGATCCAGGCATTTACAAGAGACTTGTAGGCAGGCTGCATTACTTGACAGTAACCAGACCTGATATTGCATTTCCAGTCCAGCAATTGTGTCAATACCAAAGGGAACCAAGGGATACACACCTGCAAGCAGCCTATAGAGTAATTAGATACTTGAAGGGAGCACTAGGTCAAGGGCTACACTTTAAGGCTAATTCAGATTTGGTTTTAAAAGCTTACAGTGATGCTGATTGGGCAGCATGCCCTGACACTAGAAGGTCAATCTGAGGCTATTGTACCTTTCTAGGGAACTCTTTGATAACATGGAAAGCAAAGAAACAGACCACTGTATCCAGATCTTCTTCAGAAGCTGAGTACAGGGCACTTGCCCATCTGGTTTGTGAGATTCAGTGGCTTAAAGGACTGCTTGCAGAGTTGGATGTTAAGGTACATACTCCAGTACTTATTTATTGTGACAACATGTCTGCAATTCAAATTGCAGAGAACCCAGTGTATCATGAAAGGACTAAACACGTTGAAATAGATGTCCATGTTACTAGGGAAAGAGTAAAATCTGGCCTGATTAAGCTGAAGTTTGTCAGAAGTGAAGAACAGCTAGCTGACCTATTTACTAAGGGTCTGAGCAAATACAGGTTAAGCTATTTGCTTGACAAGTTGGACGTATTAAATGTATATGCGACAACTTGTGGGGGCGTGACAAGATCCAAAGGATTGGTTGATTTGAATGCAGAAGAACAAGCTGCTCAGATTAGTAAAGGAAAGGAGAAGGTTGATGTTCAGATGCTTGAAGAACTCTGGAGCTGAAGAGAGTTTCGAAGGAGGGAAGAAAGAAACGTTTTTATTTATCTGTCTGTCTTTCATTTCTGCGCTGTCGTTTTAGTATAGTGGAGTTAGTTTATGTTAGACGAATAGCAAGCCGCCACGTCAGTCTTACCATTGTGTAAACAGTAAATTCTGAACCCCTTTAAATTGAAAAACCCCAGCAACGAGAACAGCTGAGGATTCCCCATTTCCTTCTTCCTCCTTTTCTTACAAACCTTCCTAAGGAAGTTTACGGATTACGTATCAAATCGACCTTAATCAAGCCGAGAAAGCCTTCTGTTCGCCGAGGATGCGTTGCCGGAAATCGGAAACCATCATCGGGAGTCCCTTCCGGAGAGACACCGTCGGCTCCCACTCGAGCAACTCCGTCGCCTTCGTAATGTCCGGCTTCCTCATGTGCGGGTCGTCTTCTGTATTGGGCTTGAACTCGATTCTCGCCTTTGGGTCAATTGTCTCCTGGACCACCTGCATAAAAAAGCCCAGCCCAGTACTAACCCATCAGGTCCAGCCTCCCACTCAAAAGCCCAATCGAAATCCATCAGATCCACTTGTATAGTGGTGTATTGTATGTACCTCGGCTAGCTGCAGCATGGTGAACTCCCCAGGGTTGCCAAGATTGAAGGGACCAATGTGCTTGCTCTCCATCAACCGCACCAGCCCCTCCACCTGTTCCCAAAACGCACTCAAAGTGTTTGACGAAATGCCGCAACGAGAGGAAAAAAATACAGCATTTCCCTACTTACCAAGTCGGAAACGTATTGGAAGCTCCTGGTTTGCTTGTCGTCGCCGTAGACCGTCATCGGCTACTTCCTCAGCGCCTGCGCCACGAAATTGCTCACCACTCGGCCGTCGTCGATGCACATCCGAGGCCCGTACGTGTTAAATATCCGAGCGATCCTCACCTGAGAACAAGATCGGACAAAGAAAGTTACAAAGACAAACCCCTCAAGTACCAGCAGGCAATGCAAGGAGAGAATTCGGTTTCACCTCAATGCCGACACCTCTGTGATAGTCCATGGTGAGCGTCTCAGCAGTCCGCTTTCCTTCGTCGTAGCAGCTCCTCACCCCTAAAAAATCTGCACCAATGATCCACTTTGAAGACGGAAAACTCTGGATGTTTAGTGGAGATGGGTTCAGAGAAAACTCAGCTCACCGATTGGATTGACGTTGCCCCAGTAAGTTTCCACCTGAGGATGCTGCAGTCAGTGGCGGACCCAGAATTTTTTTATAGGGGTGTACTCTTTTAAAAAATAAATTAAATAAAAATAAATAATTAATAATTAATAAAAATAAAATTGTAATATGAAAATACCTTACTCGTACAGGTTAAAAAAGTCCATGATGTGTTTTCATATTCGGAAATAATTGTAGAATACACTTGGTGTCTATAGTGTTTAAAAAAATTGTCTCTATATACACTACTTACTACTAGACAATCATTCACGAATTTATCATATATTCGATTTGTAAACTTGTTCTTGATGTAACCAAAGCTGAAAGACTCTTTCAACATCTGTCGTACAATCAAGAAATCAATACAAATTAAGGGTAGTTTGAAATTAGTTTAATTGTTAGGTTTTTAAAATAATTAGAGATAGGGAATGCCATTTTACTATTACACAATGTTCAAAATCGAACAACAAATGAGTTTAGCTCAACGGATTTAAGTTTATTAATAATAATAGTGTTCTAGATTTAAATTATCCAACCTAACACTTATATTCCTATACACAAATGACAGTAGGATAATCATTTTTTCAAATTTAAGGGGTGTCCCTCACTATCAATTATATTTTTTTTATACATACGTAAATTACCAGACACCCCTAAACACCCCTGGGTCCGCCCCTGGCTGCAGTGGATCGTCGTAGACCTCGCCGGTGCTCGTCAGCAAGAACCGCGCCCCGACCCTCTTTGCTAGACCAAGCATGTTCAACGTTCCTGCCCCATTTGTCTTGTGAATCCATAAACCAAATCCATCCCCGAAACACCCAATTCACAACAACAGTTATGTTCCTAAGCTGTTTCTCCATACTTAAACCACAATCTCTCACTCGACTCGAATCGAATCGGCCTAACAAACGCGGCTAGGGTTCTAGGGATTCACATTCGTCACTAGTACCAGCAAAATTGAAAGAGTGAGTGCGCAAAAGGAAGAGGATTCAAAGTGACGAAAAAGGATATGATGGTCTTGTCGCGATTGAACTTTTAATGAACATGGGGGAAGCTGGGCAAGCCAGGTGGTAGTTCTGGTCCACCTCGAGCAAGATCGGTTCGACCACATCGTGGCGAATCAGCTCGAACCGGTGATTCCCGAAGTGATGCATCAGGTTCTCCTTCCTCCCCGTGAAGAAATTGTCGATCACGCTGTCCCCTCGCCCAATCAGCCAGTCCACCAGGTGGCTCCCGACGAAACCCGCCCCGTCGGTGACCAGGATCCGGTTGCCTTTCCTCTTCAGCCCTTGCGGCACTTTCCCTCCGACCATCGTCGCGCCGGGCTGCTCAATCAGGACCCGCCGGGCGAGCGGGTCGACCCGGACCAGGTCGGAGGTTTGTAGGATTGTCGTGGTGGTGGTGGAGAGGGGGAATGCGTTGAAGAAGAGGGCGGCGAGGGAGAATCCAGCGAGGAAGCAAGGGACGCGGTGCTCGCCGAGGAGGTACCGGACGACGGGGATCGTCGCCGGCGAGCGGCGGCGCGTGGGAGGTGTCATGGATTTTTTTTTTGGCTTGGGATTGGTTGATGGGGGAATGGAGATTGGAGAGAGATATTAAGGAAAGATTCGAAGAGAAGAGGAGGAGTGAAGATTACGGTGGTGGTGTGGGGAAGAGGAAGGGGGGAAATTTTCGTGGCGGTATAATCGCTCGCTCTTTTGTTGCGGGCGGAGGGCTGCCACTTGGTCTTCACTGCTTCCTCCACCTTCCTTTTGTTTTTTTATTTTATGATTAATGTTTTCTTTTTACTACCATCACACTTACGTTCCTTCCCGCGAAAAAGAAGGGGATTTTTCCAGAAATAGCACCTTTAAAAAAAATAATTACAAAAATAGCACCCATCCGTAAAAATTTACACTAATAGCACCCTTTTTAATAGAATGCACCTTGTAGATGCGTTTTACAAATAGACCGCACTAGTAAGGTGCGTTCCAATTTTCTGGACTCAAATCGCATTTTGGCCAAGCGGTTTTAGTTCTGACCTACTGAAACCGCATCATAAAGATGCGGTTTGTTTCTCCCAAATAAAACCGCATCCTAACAGTGCGATTTTGCCATACAAACCGCACATTGAAGGTGCGGTTTGGGTCAATCAAATACCGACATGCCATGCAGACATAGCAGACGTGGGTCTGCATGGGCCTGCATGGCAGACAAAAACCGCACCTCTAAGGTGCGATTTTCATCAACGATTTTGCCTATAAAAGGCCCCCCAGACAACCACTTTTCTTCACACCTCTCCCTATCCCTTTAAGTGGTTTCTGTTGTAGCTCTATATTTCTTTAGTAGTTTTGCGGTTAACGTTAACTCGTAAGTTGATTTAGTATTACTTTTTATTGTTATTTTTTATTTTTTATTTTTATGATATTAACTGAACTACGGTTTTATCGCAGATGGCATTCCAAAAGTTCACGCTTGGCTTACGGTGGAATAGTTACACGAAAGAGACCGGAAAGGGGGTCACCTACGTAGGTGGCAATTTTCAGAAGATAAAGGTCGCTACCAGACCGCTGCTTGAAGACCTCCATCAAATGTGCACTAACGTTACTTGCATGGATGGCACGAGAAGAGTTGATCGTATGGTGTACCGATATCCAAACAGATAAAGTGGGTCATTGTGGCATGAGGAATATCTCATAACCACTCAGGATGAGATAGACGCCATGCTCGAATTCATGAGGTCCAACAATCTTTCCAAAGCCGAGATGTTCGTTTACACCGAGCCGGTCGTAGGCGTTGGAGGTGATTCTGGACACGGTCAAACATCTGGTATCCATGGTGGAGGTGAATTATATGACGATCATCCCTACCAAAGTTACCATGATCCTCATTCATATTTTCAGTACCAAGAGCAAGGTGAAGGTCATCATCAATCATATGAAGAAGAAGTTCAACCGGCCGGCCCAACCAACCTCAATACAACTTCCACTCAGGCAGCGGTAGTTTTCACAACTACCATTATGGAGCTGATGAAGGTGCCTTTCATGAGCTGGATCAGATGGAGGATGTCATGCCAGCACCAGTCAGTGACCCCTCCGATGAAGAAGGAGAGAACAACGTCAGTGCAAACAGCTCCGACCCTCTTGAAGGTGCCGATGATTCAGGACCAGAGTCAGACTCAGCTAATGATGATGAGGGGGCTCGTGACCGTGTACGAGTCCCCTACTACAATCACATTCCAGACGACAACTGGATGGTCGACAACGACATGGAGCCTCCAGAGGTCCCAATATGGGGTCCACTCACTGGGTTTATGAAGGGCCAACAATTTGGCTCGAAGAAGGAGGTGCGTCACGCCATTGAGATAGAAGCAATGACTCGACATTTTGAATGGCACACAACTCATTCCAACACTAAAAGGCTCATAGTCAGATGCCGTAATCATCACGAGGGGTGCAATGTTAGGATTCGGGCCATCAACAGCAAGAGACACGGCCACTGGGTCATATCTCGTGCGGTGAACACACACACATGTGTGTCATCCATAACTTCCCAAGGCCATCGATAGTTGAAATCCAGGGTGGTTGCTGCGGCTATCAAGCATCTAATTGAGCAAGAGCCAGACCTAAAGGTGAAAGTCATAATCGCTTGCAAGTCGTTATGGTTATATGATTAACTATAAGAAGGCGTGGCATGGAAAGCAGAAAGCTCTGGCCGCCGTCTTTGGTGATTGGGAAGAATCATATGCATTCCTTCCCAGGTTAATTTTGGCATTGGAGGCGTCTAACCCTGGCACAGTTTTCTCCCCTCGATACCAAGATGAAGAGATACAACCCCCAGAGCCAGGTAACAAGCGCCATTTCAGACGACTTTTGTGGGCATTCAAGCCATGTATTGATGGTTTTGGCTTCTGTATCCCTGTCATCCAAGTGGATGGAACATTCCTTACCGGCAAGTACAAGGGCACTCTCCTGATTGCCAGTGGGGCGGATGCAAACAGACAAGTCTTTCCTTTAGCCTTCGCCATCGTTGAGGGAGAGAATGCTGATAGCTATGGATGGTTTTTCCGGCAAATTCAGCTCCATTGTACTAGGAGGACGAACCTGACAATAATCTCTGATCGGCACGCTGGCATTAGAGCTGCCATCTTAGGTTTAGATCCAGCCTGGAAGTGGTCCCAAAGGTGGTGCATACGACACTTCAAGAGCAACTAGAACCATCATTTCAAGCGGAAGAAGCTTGCTGATAATTTGTGGTGGATTGGTAAGTTTGTAATTAGCCGTATACTTTAGTTCCAATTACAATATCTTAGTACATTTGGCGAGTGGTGCACTGGCTAGACTCTTTCTAAAGTGACGCATGCCTAAGGAAATGGGGTTTTAAGCGATTATCATGATCCTCCCATTTCCTGGGAAAATCGGGTTTTAAGCGATCTTCGGATCCCCCCTTTTTCTGTCAAACAGGCTGTGTTTCTAAGGAATTGTATACCTATCCTAAGAGTCTAACGAGAGTAACTCCGGGCTGTTCGAATTTGTACTAAATTTCCTAAAATTGACTAACATACTACTTTTCTGTGTCTTCCTCAGCGGTTGCCTACCAAGAGAAAAAATTTCTGGAGAAGATGCAGAAGTTGCGCGAGTTATGCCCTGAAGGGGCACAGTGGCTGGATGGACATGACCTATCCATGTGGACATTTCATAAATATGTAGGGACAAGATGGGGTATTGCCACAACGAACTCAGGTGAGAGTATCAACTCTTTCTACAAGGCCGTTCGTGCACTGCCAATCTCTGCCATTGTGGAGATGACTTTTTGGAAAACGAATGCATGGTTCGTCAACCGACTCCACTGGGCAAGGACGAACGAGGCACAGGGTAAGGTCCATGCCTATAAAGTCATGGAAGTAATGGAGAATGACAATCGCAAGAGCAGTCGACATAGTGTAACCGTTATGAATCGGGCAAATGGCGAGTATAGCGTGACGACCGGGCATCGGGAGGACGGTAGACGGGGGGGCCACCGCCATGAAGTTTTGGTCAATTTCAGGACAAAAGTTGGTGAGTGCTCATGCCAGAAGTATCAAGGGAGAGGGTGGCCTTGTTCTCATGCAATGGCCGTAATTAAAAACAGGAGCAAAGACCCCCGTCACTTCGTTAGCCCGTTCTTCAATATCGACTCACTCAAAAACACCTATGGACGGAGTTTCCGTGCATTGCCTGATGAAGTTTATTGGCCGATGTATGAAGGAAAATTGATCATCCTGCCGTTTTGACAGAGGCGTGAACCGGGTCGCCCGAGGAAAAAGAGATTCAGAACGAAATGGATCAAAGTGGAAGACCACCACGAGGCCCCAGAACTACATTAATAAATTAAATTATTTAACTTCAAGCAGAATTTTATTATCATAAAAAGACATTTCATATAATTAACATAATAGCATTCTAAATTAATAATAATTTAAAGAGATACATACATATTATCATAAAACAAACATCCTAAATTAATTAACATAATAACATTCTAAATGAATAATAATTTAAAGAGATACATACATATTATCGTAAAATAAACATACTAAATTAACTAAATTAAATGACATTGTTAATGAATCATAATTTAAAGAGAAACATACATATTCAAATGTTTGAAATTAATAAAATTCCTTTTGTACACATCAAAATAAATCGTAAGGGTTGTTTGGTAAATTATTTAATCGTGTTGGTTGTTTTAAATAATTTAATCGAATACAAAGCAACACTCGTTAGAGTCTTAGAAGAGGTATATATCTTCTTAGAAACGCAGTCTTTTTGACAGAAAAAGGGGGGATCCGAGGATCTCTTAATACCCGATTTTCCCAGGGAATGGGAGGATATGATAATCGCTTAAAACCCCATTTCCTTAGACGTGCATCTCTTTATAAAGAGTCGAAGTAAGTGGCGCTATGTATTCGATTAAATTATTGAAAACAACCAACACGATTAAAAATTCAACATAAATTTATTTTATATGCCACTAAATACATTAACAAAATAAAAGAAGGACAAATGGTAAAGAATTGTATGTACCGTGAGCGTTCCAAACATCCCTTGACCGATGGTTGGGTTGGTCGTACAAGTCGGTTGGATCCAACGGTCCTTGCTCGAGATAATACCGTTGGTTGTATATATCCACGTCCTCCCCAACCTACGAGAAAATAACAACGAGGTTAGTACATAGATTAATTAAAAAGCTTATAACAACAACAAAAATTAAACCAGAATAATGAGTACGTACCGCTTGAAATTCATCAACATAAACTCCTTCTCCTTGCCACCAATTGGCCATTTTTTTTGGCGCAATTCGGACAGAGCTTCGGCTCGGCGGGTTTTGAGGAAAAAACCTAAGAAATGTTTTCTGATGGCAGATCGGACTTAGCCGCAACCAATAGACCACTATTTCCTAGGCTTTTGGGAGGGGAGGGTTTAGAGAGATAAATTGTAGAGAGAGAAGGAAGAATGGGTTGTGGTGTGAAGAAATGAGAGGGGAAGGGGGGGTATTTATACCCATCAGATCGCACCCTCCAGGGGCGATCGGGTAATTTTGCCCTCGCGCGGATCGCTCTCTTCCAATGCGATTTGCGCTTCCCTAGGCGCGGATTGCTCCGCTGGCAAGCGATTTGGAATCCTCGGCGCGGATCGCTCCGCTGGCAAGCGTTGAGCCGCCCGATCGTCCCTCCATCCAACGATCTTGAAGATCGTTCCGCAGCAGCACTAAATCGCACTGACCTATTGCGATTTGTTATATGGAACGCACCCCTCTGATGCGTTTTATATGTAGAACGCATCTTTCCGGTGCGTTTTACCTTTAAAACTCATCTTAGGGGTGCGTTCCAAAAAAATTGGTGCTAGTTTTGTAATTTTTTTTATATGGGTGCTAGTTTTGTAATTTTTTTTAAAGGTGCTATTATTGGAATAATCCCAAAAAGAAGAGCGTGCAAATGGAAAATAAAAAAAAAGTTTATTAGCTAATATCTAGGGGTGGCAATAAAACCCAAACCCACAGGTATCTTATTCGACTTAAATTGGTTAACGCTGGTAAAATTCGTGTTGACGGGTTTTGAGTTGGGTTCGGGTTTAAATTCGTTACATTTTACTGGGTTGGGTTTGGGTTTAGAGATACCCGATCCATGGATACCTGCTCACACTTATTCCGTCGCCTACTCTCTCCAAACCCTACCCTAATTCTAATCCCCACAATGTAATTTACAATTTGTATGGATAATTTGTGATGTGTTTGAATTTTCTAGACTGATGTTTTATGTATGAAGAAATAGATGTTTGACTTCTATTTTGATAGGAACTTGTTATTGTAAATTTTTCTTACCACAAAAACCAATGGGTACCCATAAATCCGTGGATACCCAGTGGGTTGGGTTGGATTTGAGTTTTCCAAACCCATTGAGTTTTACCCTGGATTTTTTTACGGATAAACCCATGGGTTGGGTTTGGGTTTGGAAAAACCCGACCCATTGCCATCTCTACTAAGAGCCACTCTTCTTAGCTCTTATTGTAGATCCGGTTTAGCCTGTTGGTTTGCTCATATCGAATTAATGGTTAATGGTTCAACCATTTAGATAGTACACGATCAATATAAAAGTTGACTTGTGAATTGACAACCTTGTTTATGATTTAATTATTTTGGAAAATCCAAATTTTTAGTCATAACAACAGTGACTTTTTTATTATTATTTTACAAGAGTGACATAGATTTGTTTAATTGAAAGTCCTACTTAAGAGATCGAACTTGAATCCTCAACCTTGGCTTTTATTTAACAAATAAATTATCAATTTTAGTAAAAAAGAAAATATAGAAGGTTTCTACTCATACATCTGGTCAAATTTAGCAGAAGGTGGAGTAAAAACTAAAAAGAAAGGGAAACACACTTACGGATCGTTTGCTTGAGGGTTTTGATGATGAATTTGGTCATGGAAACCAATCCATTATGGACTTTAATGAAAATTCATCGTTTGCCTTAGGAAATTAGGAGGATGAAATCTGTGATGCCTTTGGACTTTTGGGGTCCAAATCCATGAACCCTACGGACTTGGAAGTTCCATCTCTTGAGTTGAGATTTAAGTGATGGATTAAAATCCATGAAGGTATTTTACCCTTCTACTCTTACTTATCTTTTTAGTTACAAATTTGTCCTCCTATTTTATTTTAATGAGTATGCAACTATAAACGTGTATAATGTATTTTATTTAAATATGAGAATTTATCATTTTGTTTGTAATGTCGTGTTTTATTTAAATATTAATGTGTATGTTGTTTGTTGGATTCAACTATAAACAATTTATACTCATTTTGTGCATTATTATTTGATTGACTGTCGAATTCCAATAAGACGAGCAACTGGTTGCTACTAATACATAACATTGTGTACATTATTAGATGAATTGTTAATTAGTGTCAAATCGTAGTTTGCTTATTAGTCCACATAGTAGTGGTAAAAAGTAAAACTTCTTTTTATATATTGCAGTATAATATATATAGAAATATAATTGTATAAAGGTAAAAAGGAAGTTTGTATTTCATATCCACAAATCTAATCAAACAAAATTCATAATCAAATCCAACAAGCAAACAATAAACTTGTTCAAATCTATAATGCCACCAAATACATCATAGATTTTCCAAAACTTCAATTTTTGAATCGCAAACCACCCGTTAAGTTTTCCTCTACGCACGAATCTGCTCCAATTTTATGATTCAGCAAAGCCAATTCGACTATTAAAGAGTTGAAAGTATTTCACTGATGTTACCTGCCCTTTACCAGGTATACACTGCTGAAAAAGAACCTCAATACTCATGCTGTTGGCCAAGAAGGTTCACATTTTTACCGAGACTTGCGAGTGTTCGTTATAAGCAAGCTCTCCATTTTTCTACTTATAACAACTCAAATACATAATAGTAGCAACAAGGTTTGACGTACACAAATGATCAGAAACAGCAGAGGGACAATGATCAAAAGGGCAATGTGACATGACTAGAACCGGCGAATGTCTTTAGGCGGCTTGAAGTTGACCGGGTGAGTTTCAGGGGTGGCGTTCTCATCTTGCTTCCACATCTTGATCGTCTTGTCAGCTTCACAAGTGATGAGCCTCGAACCCGTTAGGTCGAAGGAGGCAGCATAAATGGCAGCTTCACTGTCCAGTGACCCTGAAAATAGAGGGCAGCAGCCACCAGGTAATAAGTACACATTACTACTTGTTCAGTTGTTCTTTCACTTTCACATTTTGTGGTTTTTTTTTTTCCTGGTTTGACTACTCGACTTACCGGGCTGTACGATTGTCTGAGCTTGCTGGAAGTTATGACCGCTCTTCCAATCCCAGAACCACAAGCTCCCATTATCTCCTGCAATGACGCGAAAGAGGAGAGAGATTGTAGGAAGCTATTCGAAACTAAAGTTCAGTGACAAAAGTGAGTAACTGAGCAGTAATAATACCTCCTGTAACCATTACTCCGTCCTCATTGATCGCCATAGCGTTTATTATGGTCTTCTGCTGGGAGCTGCTCATGAACAATGTCGCGAAGGAGTTAGTTAAAAAATTCAATCTAAAGTAGCAAAATTCATGTTTGTAAAGAATATGACTAGGCACCCCAAACCTGCACTAAGACTCTCTAAAGTGGGGTTGGGAAACTGATTTTTTGTTTAAACCATAATAAAATATTTGGATTGGTTGATCTTTAGAACTAGTCCGAATACTGTTTCTTATATGCAAATCCTTGTTTCTTTGATATCAGCTGACCAAAACCGAAACTAACCTACCCTAAGGGTCCAAGGCCTAGTCAGAATATTATGTAGACATCAGTTTAATTAACTAGAGAATCGGACAACTTACAGCATGTTGTGCAAAAATTCACCCCTTGGAAGACTGAACTTCTTAATGTTCTCAGCCGATGCAGATGCAAAGCTATGTCTGAAGAAGCCACGTACCAAGATTCATGAGAAGCTATTGTCAGAAAGAATCAGCACACAGGAAAGCTAGAGATGTACAAAGCACATACTCAGTGGGATGTCGTGCCAAGGCTCGCACTGATTTTTTGTGGTGTGTCAGAGTTGTCATGGTTTTACCTGCCACAAACGAGATATTATGTACAAGAGAAACATGAGATAGTGTTGAAAAGGACAACATAAAGAGTTGATGTTATATTGAAGGATACAATTTCAACTTACCATATCTGAGATCCCAGAACTTAATGGTTGAGTCATGGGAACCCGTAACCACTTGAGGGTCCTAGAAAGCAAACAAGAATATAAGCAAGAAAATTGAATATTGCCAGCATTAAAGAAGGAGTAAATATAAAGGGACAGAGTCTACCGTTGGACGAGTGAAAACCGAGCACACTGTATTATCATGTCCAGCTAGTGCAAAGGCTTGCATCTTCGTGCGAATATCCCATACCTAAACAAATAACCTATAAACATCAATTTCAACTTCAAGATTCCCCAGCATAAAAATAGAGCAAATAAAATAACATAGCGCATGACAATCTGGAAGGTAGGAGAGCACATACCCTGCATACAGAATCCCGCCCCCCAGTGAGCAAAAGGTCAATAGTAGGATGAAGCGCCAAACAGTAGACACCACTAAGATGACCATGGTAAGACCGAATCACCTACAAATAGATAATAGATATATCAGCGGAAACCATCATGATAGGTATTGATAAGTTAAAACAAAGAGGGGAAACTATCACCTTATTCTGTTCTAGGTCCCAACATTTAACCTGTTTATCATCACCAGCAGAAAACATGTAGGTATGTCTTTGGCTCACAGCAAGACCTAAAAACAAAAGTAAATAATTTAACAAACAATCCATCACAAAACAATGGTCATAGAGACACCAGTAAATTTATATCATTGCTTACCTCGTATTTGTTCAATGTGTCCAGTCAATGTGTACTTTAATCTCCCACTGGCCACATCCCATATCTGTTGATGAAGAGCATGATTTAGAGAGAAATTCAATGTTACAAAGAAATACAAAGGTAAATACAAGACAAGAGGGATAACTACCAGGAAAAATGAATAGAAATAGAACACCATACCTTTATGGTACGATCAGCTGAGCCAGTACAAAACCATGTATTACTGGGATCAAATGCAATGGACCTCACCCACCCCAAGTGTCCGCTAATAACCTGCAGGATAAATTCCAGTGTTTCAAAAAAAAAAAAAATCAGCAAACCCAAGTGACTAAGTGATCAGTTATATTTGGAATATGTCAATAGCAAAACCATTTTACCCTGTAATTCTTCCAAGGAGCATGCCATTCAGGACGTGGCCATCGGCTTGGGATTCTCTCTATTATTGCAGAAGTTGAAAAGTTCCTATAAGAATAAAAAAGCAAGGGACAACGAACAAGTTAAGATAGGCTCATCTGATTGAAAACACAAGACCAACGTTCAGCATTCCCTATACTAATTTCTCTCCAGAGAAGCACTACAGCTGCAAACACAAAAAATTACAGAAACAGACCTTGAGGATGAACTAGATGCAGGAATCACGGCTGTGCTCTTGCCTGGAACGCCACCCTCATTCCTAACATGCAAACATGGTAGCAATTAGCATCAACAGTAAAAAAAACCCTCTTCCCTCACAAAGTCACGCCACCTAAAGATTAAAGAATGGTACTGTAACTGATATTGGTCATTACAAAATCTATGATGCAAGGAAATACAAGTTGAAACCCTAAAAACAATACTCACTTCCCCCTAGACTGCAGAGATGGACCAACAACATGCGCATTCTGGGACACCCCCTTTTCTTGATCTCTAGAACTCTCTGGTCCTGCAGAACCAAGATAGCACACAACATAATCAGAACAGCGATTCACAAACCTTTAGAATAGGGGAGAGAAGTTAACTAAGTGACGACCGGTTACCAGGGAGAGCAAGGGCATTGGAAGGAGCTGCAGGCTCCTGACCTCTGGCATTATTTTGTTTTGGGACATCAGCAATACTCTTGATCCCTTTGTACTCCATAGCTATCTGCAGGGTTTAACCAAACCTCAAGATTAGACTCCATAACTAAAGAAACCTGCCACCGAGTTCAAAGCTAACACAAAACTTCGCAGCAAAAGAAGTGAAAAAAAAAACAACTTCAGCACCGATAAAAAACCCGCAAAAGTCATACCTAATCGACGAAGTAATGAACCAGACGTTCAAACTAACCTTGTGGCTCGTGCGAATTCGTTTACTGAAAAAACCCCAGAAATAAAACCACAATTAGACCAATTTCAGGAGGAACGAGTTCGGGAATTGCAAAATCGAAGAAGAAGAACGAACGAACGAACGAACCACTCAGGATCGGGAGGAGCTACATGGCCGTGAGTCGGGGAGAAGAGATCGAGCGCTCGTTTTAGGGATTTCAGACTGAGCTTCTTCAGCGACTGCGGCTCAACTGGCTCCATCTCTAGGGCAGCCCCCGGCATTCTCTTCTGCGCCAGGCTAACGGTCGAAAACCTCGCCGGAGAGTAGCTGTTCGGAGGGAGGCTAGGGTTTCCTTTCCAGCTCCGCCGGGTTGTTGACGGGGACAGGAAGAAGCGGGACGGGGGATATGGCGTTCCGGGAACACGAGGGAGGAAAAAATATGGCTTGGTCCTGATATAACTCGACTTTTCAGACTTTCACCTTGGTTTCGGTTTAGAACAAGGTTGTAAAATTTATATAATTGCGCCGGTTTGACAATTCGAAATCTGAATCGTTATTCTTCGCCCTAAATTTTAAAAAATTTTGCCCTAAATCATACTGAATTGACGTTTATACCCCAAATTCTAATTTCTCTAATCCCTACCTCATTGTGTCGTCTCGTCCACCAGCCGATTGCCGGCCGCCGCTGTCGTTCCCCAAACCCTTCGCCGCTGTTTTGATTTCTGTGTGTTTGTGAATGTGACTTGGTTACTGGAATCACAACTTTAGTTAGCTATGATTCCTCTTTTTCTTCCTTTCCTATTTGTGTGGTTCTGCCTCTCGCTTCTGCTTGCTCTCCCTCTCTCTAAACACGAGGCAATGACAATGAAATTTGATAGTTTTTGGATCTTCCATGAGCTCCCGGCTCAGTAGCGACGGAGCCGCCGATTCCACGTCGGGTGGACACCGGATTTACGGGACATGGACGGTGGAGCTTCCGGCTTCCGGATTAACGGTGGTGCAGTGCTTGACTACATTGATTACATGGTTATTGGTTTAGATTTGAAACCAAGGATATTAGAGTAAATTTAATATAATTAGGGTGATAAATAAGGATTTTTAGGGCGACGAATAGCAATGCCCTTGAAAATTTGGAAGTAAACGTGTATATTTGAATCAAACTAATTAGGGTTATAGATATAATTTGCCCCTTTATTTTGCAAAGTTATCAAACACGCGCCTCTATAATGTTTCACATCAATTTTGCCCTAGTTATCAAATCTACCCTTCCAACCATTTTTGTGTCAATTGACCATTATCTTGGGTCAATTATGGCTTAATAAATTTAACCTGAGTGTAAAATTACTTAAATGCCCACTTCGCCTTCCTCCACGGCAACAGCAAAACACACTTCGCCACCAGTTCACCGCAAACCACCTCCTCAAGCCCCAGAGCCTTGCGCTAGAAGCTGTGGAGAAGGAAATTGCCGCCACAAATCTCTGTTTCGGTGATTGGTGGGTTTTCCCCTTTGATGGGTTTCTTATTATCATGAAATATATGAACCCCTTCCCTGATTGCAAAAGATGTAGATTGGGGCGAAGAATGAGAATTGTTTCCTCTGTACCAGAACGTGAGGGAGACAGACAGCCTTGAGATATTGGAATTTTCTATTTTAATCCCCTTCCTTCTTCCATTCTTTGCATCTAATGAAAAAAAATGTTGGGTCCTCTCACATCCTTGCCCGCCTTCTGTCTACTACTCTCTGGCCGACGTCCATCAATCGCCGGATAAGGCTTAATAGTCACCAGGAAGGACATTTAAGTAATTACCCGCTACAATTAACTTGATTCAGTCCTAATTGACCCAAACGGTCAACAGACAGAAAAGTAGATGGAAGGGTAGATTTGTTAACTTTGTTATAGTATAAGGGCAAAATTGATGTGAAACATTGTAGAGGGGCATGTTTGATAACTTTGCAAAGTAGAGGGGCAAATTATACCTATAACCCAACAAATTACATCTCTTTAACTTTCATATTTATAAAACTTATAATAAATTCATTCTTTTATTATTCAATTTATTAAAATGAAATTGAAGTTTTCTCTCTTCTCTCTTCGTTTTCTCTGAACCCTAAATCGCGATCTTAACGATGACGGCCGTCATTGACGGAGCGGCAGCCGTCGTGACGGTCATTCATGGGTGTCGTTGTTCGGAATTCCGGAGGATAATCGATTTGACTACTATGAGCCAGAATATGTTAATGGCTCGATGAGGATTCCGAGGGAGGCAGTGGAAGAAGGATCCAAACGTTGGGAGAAAAGAGGAAGTGGGGCTATTCATCGATCGACCTACGTCAATTTCATCTATTCGATATTGGGCTAACTGGCTATGGGGGAAGGATGGTGAGCAGTGGCGGATCCAGAAATTTTACATAGGGGTGTCCTCTTCTAAAAATTAAATTAAATAATTATTAAATAAAAACATATCTTATTTTTACAAAATACAACAAAGCATATGAAGTGTTCGTATTTTGGAAAAATTATAAAATACAATCATTGTCTAACAACTCTCGATATATCCTACTGGAACAAGGGGACTAGAGGAGCCCTTGATTGTATTTAATCGTTTGCTATTGAAAATAATTGGAAATAAGAAATAACTTTTTACTATTATATTTTCATTTAAAGTATAAGAACAAATGAGTTGTAGTCTAATGAAAAATATGTCTACTCTTCTAGTAGCAATGACCCAAGTTCAAATCACATAGACTAACATTTAAATATTTTTATTTACTCATACGCAAACTACTACTGGGAGTTAAATAATCATTTTTGCAAATTTTATTGGTGTCCGGCTACCATTTAAATATTTTTTATCGATATTTAAACTACTATCGTGAGTTGAATAATCGTGTTCCCAAATTTTAGGGGGTGTCCCGGGACACCCCCAAAGCTCCATGGATCCACCACTGATGGTGAGGTTCGGGTTTCTGGTATGAGGCGACGATTGGTACTCTTTCAATTTCGTAATGCTGAGATTTGTCAGTGGGTTTTCGAGAATTCTCCTTGGCATCATAGGGAGAATTCACTCATCCTGCGTAAATGGGAGCCAGGGATTAGTCCTTTGAAGCTTGATAATTCTTCACTGCCCATCTGGGTAAAGCTCTCGCATTTGCCGACGGAGCTGACTTCTAAGGAGGGTTAGAGACGAGTAGCTAGTTCTCTTGGTCGGCCGCTCTGTATGGATAAATCAACTACACATGGTAAGAAGGTGGGATTTGCTCAAATTTGTGTAGAAGTCATAGCCAGTGCAAAGAAGGTTTCCAAACTTAGTGTTACGCCTGATGGCTTGCTTGAAATATTCATTAATGTTGAATATTGTCATATGCCTAAAGTGTGTGGGAAGTGCCATTGTTTTGGGCATAGCTGTATCAAGCCTGTTGAAACTCAACAGCAAGTGTGGCAGAAGAAAGTTCAAATGATTGGTGAGGTTCAAATGGATAATCAGTCAAGTGAAGTGGTAGTGCAGAGTGAAGTCAGGGAAGCTGATGCTATGAAGAATGGTAAAGGACCCGAGGTTGTATTGCTGGATAAGGGAAAGGAAGTGTTGGTAGAAGACCCAACTAGTGTTATTCTACCAAAGGATACTAGGACTCCGTCTCCACGAGTGGGTCTAGTTGATGACGAAGGATTTACTATGGTTGTCAATAAAAAGAATAGAGTGTGGATAGGATCTAGTTCCAGTTTTCAATGGTAGAAAAATCAACTAGGTAAGTCAATTGCTGGCCTGGTAAGTGGAAGACTGGGTGCTCGAGCTGCTACTCCCCTTCCTCCATCTCCTCTAAAGGGTAGAGGGAGAGGGAAGAAGCGAGGTAAATGAAGATCCTAAGTTGGAATATCAGGGGATTTAAAGCCCCTGATAAGCACTCAGCAGTGTTTGAGAAGCTGAGGTTAAAGAGGATTGATATAGTAGGCCTATTAGAAACTAGAGTAAGGGAGGAAAATAGTAATACTATAATAACAGGGTGTTTTTCTGCCTGGAAACAACTAGCTAACTATACTAAGTCTAAAACAGGAAGAGTGTGAGTTTTCTAGAGGGCAGGTCTAAAGGTTACTCTTATTGATGAGGGGAAGCATTACATACAGATATTGGTAGAGGATAGTAAGCCTTTTCAAGTGCTGTTTGTCTATAGTCCTAATAAGGAAGCTGAACGCAAGTTACTATATCAAGAACTATTGCTTCGAAGAGATAATGGTATCCCAATGGTTTTCATGGGGGATTTTAATGCCATAGCTGACATTACTAAGACTTCAAACACCCAGGTAATTACTCAGAGTATGCAAGATTTTCTAGGTTGGGTTCATGACATGGAGTTAACAGATCATAGAGTGACTGACTGCTGGTTTACCTGGTGGAATCGTCAAAGGAACAATCCAATTGCTCGTAGAATTGACAGGGTTATGGTAAATGAAGCGTTGTTGGAGGGATTTGCAGATAGTTCAACTTATACTAATCCTCCTGGTGTGTCTAATCATTGTGGGCTGATATTGGATACGACTCCAAACTTGAAGACTCTCCCCAAGCCGTTTAAATATTTTGTTTTTTGGCAGTCCCACCCCACCTATCTAGATATAATTCGAGACTCTTGGAAGAAGCAGGTCAAAGGTTATCCACACTTTGTCTTCTATGGCAAGTTACATCAAGTAAAGAAAGAATTGAGAAAGCTTAACCTTGCTGAATACTCAGATATTTCGGGCAGAGTGAAGGATGCAACAACAACAATGGAAAAAGCTCAGTTATCCGTGCTGACAAATCCTAGTGAGGCAAATGTGGTTGAAGAAAAGAAGTTGGCATTGGAGTACATGGAGCTAAAGAAAGCTGAAGAGCTCTACTATAAGAAAAAGTCTCGAGCACAGGTTATCCGGGAGGGTGATTCCAATACTTCTTATTTTCATAAACTGGTCAAGGTGAAAACACAGAGACAGCAGATCACTCGAATGAGAAATGAGCAGGGTGTAGTGTTCTCTGATATCCATCAGATATGAGCTATTGCGGTAGATTTCTATACAAAGCTTATTGGGACTGAAGATCCACTTGTTGAACAGAAGTCTATGGCTTTCTATCAAGCAATACTGCAGCACAAGTTATCTGATGAAGAAGGACAGTTTCTACTGCAAGGTATTACAAGGGCAGAAATCAAAAGTGTATTCCATTCTCTCGGACGTGATAAGGCACCAGGGCCTGATGGCTTTCCAGCAGAATTATTCAGAGCCCACTGGGACATTATTGGTAGAGAGGTTGAAGAGGTAACTCTTGCATTTTTCTCCACTGGAATTATGCCTGCTATAGTTAATAGTACTATATTCACATTGGTTGCTAAGATTCCCTGTGCCGAGAACATGAAAGAATATTGGCCTATTTCGTGTTGTAATACTCTCTATAAAGGTATCTCTAAGATCTTAGCTAATAAACTGGTAGTGGTTCTCCCTAGTGTGATTAGTAGGTCTCAATCTGCCTTTATTAAGGAACGATCTATTAGTGACAATATATTGTTAGTCTCAGAGTTGGTGAGGAACTATCATTATAAAAATATTACTCCAAGAAGTGTGGTGAAAATCGACATCATGAAAGCATTTGACTTTGTAAACTGGGTGTTTTTGTTCACTGTAATGGAAGCGATGGGGTTTCCTGCTGGATTTCTAAAACTGCTGTATGCTTGTGTTACTACTCCAATGATTAAGATCTCTTTGAATGGTGGTCTTTGGGGTAATGTTAAGGCTCGTAAAGATCTAAGGCAGGGCGACCCACTATCTCCCTATCTGTTCACTACAGCTATGGAGGTTTTTGATGGTCTTGCTAGGATAGCTGCGAGGGATAATCAGATTCCTTTTCACCCTCGATGCAAGCCCTTAATGATCTCGCATCTCTGCTTTGCAGACGATCTGATGGTGTTCACAAATGGTTCAATAAGGGGGGTTGCAGGTATAAGGCGACTGATGGATGATTTTTACAAACTCTCGGGACTTAAATGTAATGCAGCTAAGTGTCAGCTGTTTTGTGCAGGGATATCTAAGGAGGAAATGCAGTTTATTTCTGCTACAACAGAGTTCCCTCTTGGTACTCTTCATGTAAGATATCTAGGGGTTCCACTAATAACTGGAAAACTTACCCGACAAGATTGTCAAGTTCTTATTGACAAAATTACACAGATACTACGAAGCCAGAGATCTCGTTTATTGACTTATGCTGGTAGAATTCAGCTCATTTCTTCTGTGATAACTAGCACGCTGCAATACTAGCTTAATATTTTTCTGCTTCCTCAGTATATAATCAAGGAAGTGGAGCGGTTGTGTAATGAATTCCTTTGGGATTCAGCTGAGGGTGGATCGAAAAAAAAGCAGTGATGGCATGGAACAAGCTTGCGGTGCCAAAGCGCGAAGGAGGAATGGGTCGCAATTTCAGTCTTTGGAATAAAGCTTGTGTACTGAGGCATGTTTGGGAGATATTAAAGAATGGAGGATCTCTCTGGGTTGCCTGGGTTTCTCGCTACAGATTGAAGCAGAAGAGCATCTAGGAGATTTCAGGTTCATCTGTAGGGACGTGGGTTTGGCGTAGGCTTCTGAAGCGTCGAGGAATTGATGCTCCTCATATTTCAGGTGACCCTCCTAACGTCTTATGAAAAGGTGAGCAAATGCATAGGTATTCTGTTACAAGAGTTTGGATGCTATACGATAACACCTGCAGAATGTGAAATGGTGGAAGCTTGTGTGGTCTAAGGAAATTATTCTTAGGCATGGTTTTATTATTTGGTTGGCCTTGCATGATAGGTTGGTCACTCAGGACAGATTGTTAGGATGGGGGAAGCCACTTTCTGGTTTATGTTTGTTGTGTCCAGGTGGAGTTGAAAAACGAAACCATCTTTTGGTCTCCTGTTCGTTCACTGTTTATGTGCTGCGGCAGTGCTTGAAAAATCTCTCGCCACCAGCTGAAGGTGATTGGAGTGCAGTTGTATCTTGGTGTGTGCATCATTGGGGGAAAAAAGAACCCGAGGCAGGCTTTGTACAAATTGGTTTGGAGCTCGACCCTTAGCTATATAAGGCGCGAGAGATGTGCTCGACTATATGGATTGAAGACAATTAGATAGCTAGAGGAGATAGTAAAGCAAGTACGTACAAATGTTTTGCATAGAGTTTCTGGTGATTCTGCCCTAGGGGTGGGCATTCGGTCGGTTCGGTTTCGACCGAACCGAAATTATGAATACCGGGTCCCCGAATTCTCCCAAACCTCAAACCGAATTCGAACCGAATTATAATTCGGATCGGTCGGTTTAAACCGAATTATAATTCGGTTCGTTTTTTCACCCAAAACCGAATTTGTGAAGCTACTTGTATTTTCTCACTTTTAAATCATTTTTCACCCCTAATATAAACAATAAATATCAAATATATGCATCATCAATGATAAAATCAAATTTTTCAACACATAAGTCATAAAACATTTCAAATATTTAAGTCTTAAAACAACTACACACATAAAAATCCACCATTTGGAGCTTGCAATTATAGTATTTCGGTTTTTTGGTCGAAATTTGGAAATTCGGTTCGGTTGAAAGAACCCTGGTTTCCGAACTATCCATATTTTCTTTCCGAATTCCGAACCAAATATCATTAATTCAGTTTCGGTTCGGTTTAATTCGGTTTCAGTTCGGTTCCGGTTTACCGAACCGTTTGCCCACCCTATTCTGCCCTCCAGTGTGAGTTGGAGTATATAGATAGGATATAGTATTACTTGTCTAGATTGGTTGTATTTGTTTGAGAGGCACATCAAGTTTTTCTTTTGATGGTTGCTGGTGCTTAATGATTTTTTTTTATTTCGCATAAAAAATTAATAAAATGACATCATTTTATTTAGAATTTGCAAAATCGATAATGTTGGTCACATGATGTGGTGTTTATGCCGATTTTATGGTTAGCCGACCGGCATAACGACTATGATTTAGACTGATAAAGGATGGCAATGTAGTTAAATGGGAAACTAAAATCCTAGAGAAATTTTTTGTGAAAGCATTCTAGACTTCTATTCGTCCTGGAGGTGAGAAAGTTGATTGGTATGATGCATTATGAGGCAATTTCAATATACCAAAACACAGATTTATAGCTTGGTTGACAATAAAACATTTAGTTGTTAAGTAACTACTGTAGACTATTCGCTATTGATGCATTGTATTTTTTTCAACGAAGACTTAGAATTAAGTCATTAACCAAGGTAATAAAAGACTTAAGAATTACCGAAAAAGGATGGCTTGCTCCTACAAGCTTTCCGCTGTGTCTGAAAATGGGTCGGGTAAACGTAGGTTTGGCAATAGGGCGGATCGGACCGGAATTTACATGGCTTCGCTATCCTGTCAGTTTGATCTTTGGGTTCGGGAATACACACCAGATGCAAGTATTCGGGTTGAAAAGAGATACCAACCCCACCCGTATTAGGAGTTCGAATTGGTCGGGGATCCAAAATTGGTCCGAATAGAACAAACAAGGGTTAATATTTTCGTATGGCCTTAACTTTGACCAAAATAAACATCATGACCAATCTTTTCGATCTATAATATCCTGGCCCAAACTATACACCAAAATAAACAATTTGGCCAGATCTAACTTTTGACCGTTAACTTGGACGGTCAAACGCGTTGACCGTTAGTCAACATGCCATGTCACTGCCAAGTCAGCATAAAATATTTAAAATAATTCACAATTTCCACACATTCCCTAATTTTAAATTATTATAAATTAAAAAAAATCATCTAATACCTTAGTTAAACCAAAAATAATAAACGGAAAAAATTAAATATTTATCAGATCTTCTGACTTGGCACTTATGTGGCAGTGACGTGGCGCGTTGACCGTTAGTCAACACGTTTGACCGTCCTAGTTAACGGTCAAACATCGGGTTTGGCCAAATTGTTTATTTTGGTGTATAGATCGGGCCAGGATGTTATAGATCGCAAAGATTGGTCAGAATGTTTATTTTTGTCAAAGTTCAGGCCATACGAAAATATTAACCCAACAAACAAATAATTAAAAAAAAAAGAGAGATGATCCAATAAACAAAAGCTTGATACTTGATAGATAAATTGAAATCCAATAGCCAGTGGGAACTGGGACTGCGACAGTAGCACAACAGTCAACAAAAACATGAACCGGAAACAAGTTACTTCTAACCAAAGAAAAGAAACCATCCAATTATCCAAAACAAAATATTAATAAACTCAAACCATTCAAAACAAACTGTGTAGTCTTCATTCGTAAGTAAGCTTAATAAAAAGCATCTAAATATGAACATCATCTCCACATGCAACAACAACTTTGATAATACTCCAAACTCCATCAATGCCAAGTGTCAACAACATTCAATCACAACCTGCAACATTCAACAAACCAACGAACTCCAAATAGGTTACAACCAGACTTCATATTCTTGCTAACTCTAGCAATAAATTAAACTAATTCAGAACATCAGAGTCAAACATTCACACTTGAGACTTACAGCTCACTGGTAAGGATATCATTAACCAGGTTGTTTAATATTCACGTAGTTTGATACCATGAACTTGATCTACACATTCAAAACATAAGAGTTATTTTTTTACAATTAAAAAAATAAGAGTTCATTAACATATGAAGAATTAAAAAAACTAACAAGTTCAATATAACAAGTTACTACTTTGTTACCTTCAGTTTCAGCATCAGCTTGGCCGAAATTGACTTTCTTTGGGGAGGAGAAACATCCTTTTAGCACTCCTACTGCATCAACAGATTCTGTAAGTGTATATATATATCAAATGAGAACAAGTTTGGTGCAAATGAGAATGGAAAAAAATAGATAGTATTAGTGATTACCTTCAAACAAATCATTTTGCAATAAGCTCCTTGTGCACATAAGTATCTTTACAATACTATAGTCTAGCATGCTCCAATGAGGATCCAACAATCGACCTCCAGAGATGAATGCACATTTAGATGGAGTAATAGGTAGGGGTGAGCAGTGGGTGGTTTTATTCAGATTTGATGGGTTTGGAACCACCTACTACGTGGTGGGTGAAGGAGAAAATGACCCACACCCACCCAAGCATTACATGTGAGTGGGTTGGGTGATTGCGGATGATGGGTGGGTGGTGGATTCGGTGGGTTTATAACATATATTTCATATGATCACATCAATGTTTTTAAATTTAAAATGAAATAAATTTTCAAACTAAATAACGCTTAATCCATAATCAGGTGAATCATTTATTTAGAATATTGGTATTGGTAATTGTCCATAAATTACAAAATATTAAAATTGTAAACATGGTCTGAGCCTGATAATAACCGAGGTTCAAGAAGGCACTAAGCACAAAGCAAACGTTTTCGTCTTGTCTAGTGCCTCGTTCGCTTAGGCATTGTAAGCGTAAAAGGTTTTTTAACCTATAGTGACAAATTACAATTCAAAATTGATGGAAGGAATGAAGGACGAATCAGTGGTAGATTGAGATAGTGTCATTTTGGTAAAGATAACTGTCTTTTTTACTACTTGTCTACTGGTTATGCTTTAGCGTACCTCCAATTGCCTAATCACACCTCACAACACAATCTTTTGATCGAAATTGAGAGGAACTTTTGTGATTTTAAGGTTTCATTTTGGCAAAATACACTTGCATAGCAAAAACTTTCACGATTGTGACAATAATAGCCATTTTTGGCGAAATACCAGATATAGCCAGAATTTTGAATGTTTGATGACAAATATAGCCATTTCCATTACATTCTTTAACGGTGTCAGTGACACCGTTAGTGGAATAAACGAGATGCTGACTTGGCTGCCTTCTCAGCCTCTCTGTCGCTTACACCTCCGACTTCAGTGACAGGTAGGACGACACGTCATTAAAAAAAAAACAAAATCGGGACCCTTAAATCGGGGACCCGAGCCTCGTTCTCCCTCTTTCTTTTTTCACTTCCCCCATTGAATCTAGGATTTCAGAACCCATCACCGCCGCCTCCTTTGAACCGCCGCCACTGATTAAAGCCGGCCCGCCGCTGATTAAAGCAGGCCCGCCGGAACCCATTTCACCCTCCTCCTTCCTTCCCCAAGCTCCTTCGCCTCCGCTGTTTCGCGCCGTCCCCGACTCCGCCGTTCCGCGCCACACCCACCTCCACCGTAGCCAATGCTCCTCGCCGTCCCCCGCATCCATCATAACTGCCTCTCCTATTTCCTCATTCAAGCCTTCAAGAAGATTCATCATGTCTCAAAGGGGCGCTTCCTCTTCGAGAAGCGAAAATGCTCAAAATAGCCTTGGGGAAGTCGCTTGCTACCACAATGCGCCTTGTGTGACTAACAGAAGCAGGAAGTCAGGCAGAATATTCTACGACTGTCCATATTGGAAGGTAAAGTAGATTTTGCTAGCCCATTTGTAATTCGTACATTATGAGATTGGTGACTATAGAAGTTGTTGTTTCGGGATCCAAGTAAAAATTGCAAATTCTTTATGTGGGTGGAAGGGGCGGTGGATGAAGTGTATGCAAGGAGAGGAATATTGAGGCTTCAAGAGAGTTTACGGTTGGCTGAGGCTAAGGCAAAGAGGAGGAAGAATGAGAGAAAAATTATAGAGGAAGAGTTGAGGAGGGTTAACCAAGATGCTATTGTAATTCGACAAATGTTCATCTGTTGAATGCTTTGTTACTTATGGTCATGTTAATGAACCATTGGGGTATGTATTAGTAGGCGATCTTTCATGTTTGAGTTGTTTTCTCGCATTATGTGACAATTTGTATTTCAATGGTTAAACAAGAGACCTAAATTCTAATGTTTACAGTCTGTTAGTACGCAAAAGATGGGTTGTTTCTGGTTTGTTTCAGTTTGTTACTATGCAAATGACATTATATTCCACACCATAATAAGCATAGTGTGCTAGATCATAGATTTCATCTGAATTGCACAAGTCGTTACATCTAATAAATAACATAAGTTCAACTGAATTACATAATGCATAACATCCATTAGCTAACATCATTTCACCTGAATTACATAAGTCTTTAAACCCTAACATCCGTGTCCTAACATAATGCTCCAATGTCGGCCGATTACATGAGTCACATACCCAAAAAATCCTCCACGGAGGCCATTATAACCGACATATACAAAAAAAGATGTGACCCATCGTGAGTTTGGTAGTCTAAGGTTGCGTTGTAGGGGGCTGGCTTCCTTGCATGTCTACCTCAGTGGGTTGAGTACCACCAACAGGACGCCCTCGTGCTCCGGCAAGCTATCGCAATGAAAAAACCATTAAGAATCTAGCAAAATAAAGTCAATCATTCATGCTAACAGGAATTAACATTCATGCTAATACTTACCCTCACATAAGTATTTCCAGTAGCCTCATTTACATACACTCCCACCCTAGTTGTTGCAACTCGCATCTCTCTTTCAATCGTCCTTCGGTCACCAACGTTCAATCTAATATCCTACATGGTGACAATGGACAAGTTATTGCATTTCAGATTTGTTCAATTAACATACTACACGTTCACACTTATTCTGAGTTATCAAAAGCATATTATACTTACCTGGACTCCGGCACCTTGGTTGAGAGGGCAAGTTCTCACGTTATGTGTGACACTACCACACTTCGAACAATGGCCGACTCTCTTCTTCCTTGTAGTAGGGTCGGTGTTGGTGTTCCCACCATCTGCAATAGAGGCTGTAATATTGATTCCAGCTGCTGCAGTAGCAGTAGGCCTCCCCGTAGCTACTGGAGTTGTGTTTCGAGCTGCTCTTGTATAGGACTACAAGGAAAAGCAGAGTTTCCATGTTAGTATACGATTACCAAAAGTCAACAAAATGGGATAATGACAATTTCACTAACCTGGCAGTCATCAGCGGAAGCCTTGCATCCCCTAGCATTATGCCCCTCACCACCACACTTCGAACAATGTATTACACTGCCCCTTCTAGTTACCTCTTCCCCAACTCCATTCCTTTGTGGTCGAGTTTCTAACTCGTGTGCAGCCTTTCTCAGGTTCTTCTTAGGCCTGCCCGGCATGGCCCTCTGGTTAGGAGGGTGTACTGGAAGTCCCACCCCTTCTGGCCAAGCTTGCCTGCCTTCTAAGCAAGGGATGCCGACCTTGTAGCCTTCAACGACATGGTGGGCATGATAACAAGGATGAACATAATCATCCACTTCTATTCTCAAGTGGGATATTGCTAAGACCGCATGGCAGCAAGGCACGCCTTTCAACTTCCAATATCCACAGGTACAACTCTTGTTTTGTTCTTTGCTTTCCAATTTGCATAAACGTGGCGTGCACACTTTCGGTGCTCAACCTCTGGTAACAACTCGTGTATAGCATCAACTAAACCCTGCAAAAGCAGCCGAGCAAAAGCAGTTAACAAAAAGCAGAAATTGCTTTCAAAAACCAGCAGAAGTAGTCGAGCAGAAGCAAGTTAATAAAACAGCAGATCATCCACTTCAAAAACAAGCAGAAGTAGTCGAGCAGAAGCAACTTTCTTCCAATTCCAGCAACAAAAATTAGCAAATTCCAGCATCAACAAGTTAACAAAGAAACCAGCATGAGCAAAACAGATTAAATAAACCAAAACCAGCATACCCTTGGGCTGATGAAAAAACAGCAGCAGCAAAAGCATAAAAAAAACAACAACAGCAAAACAGCAAAAATTAACAAAACCAGCAACAAAAACCAACCTTTTGTTGGTCTGAGATAACTGTCCAACCCCTTCCATCTGTTAGTCCTAATTCCTGTGACAAGATGTTAACAAACCACCTCCATGAGTTGGTATTCTCTCCCTGTACTACTGCCAAGGCGATTGGGTACATCTGGTTATTGCCATCCTTCCCCACCGCAGTAAGTAGCATACCCTTCACCTCACCGTTCAAGAAACAACCATCTAGTCCGAACATTGAGCGAGAGGCTAAGAGAAAACCATCTCGTATGTTAGAGAACACGATAAACATTCTCTGGAAGAAGACCTATTCATATGTAGGATGTGGCTCAACTTCTAGAACAAACCTCCCATCTCGGTCTCGTTTCTTCAGCTCACCCAAGTATGACGGAACCTTCTTGTACTCATCCTTCAATGATCCACTCAGGAGTTTAATGGCTGCCACCTTAGCCCTGTAACAACTCCTCTTCACATGAATGTTATGCTTCAACTTCACCTCGACCATGATTTGATCTAGTACCCATTCATGATTGATCATGAACCTTTCTAGCATATCTTTGGCAATCCACTTGGCAGTCACTTGATTAACCCTGAGCTGCCTCGAACATGAGTGTGGCAGCCCCACCTTCCTCACCATGAAGGATTGCTTCTTCCTAAACCAGCTTGCATAAACTCGCCATTTGCAGTTCTTGTCCTTACACTTTACTTCTAACCTCGAAGGGTTAACCCTAACCCACCTCAAACATGCCTTAGCTGCTACGAAATGCAGCACTAAAACACTCTTGAACTGCTCCGGATCGTCGAACTTCATACGAGCAACAAACTGGAATTTTTTGTGGTCACAAACAGGATCGTAGTGTGGTGTGGAGTCGAATATATCAGCACTCGCCTCGTCGGATAAGTTGCCTCACACATGGTCAGACTCCTCAGACAGTCTATAGCTCGAATGGGCTGATGTCTCCCTACGTGCTTGTTTAGTTGGAGGTGCTTGCTGATTTTGAGAAGCTTCACCTCCCTCTACTACATTGTCATTATCTAAACATCCTCCTTATTCTACCTCATCTTTTGCTTCCCCCTCTTCAGAATCCACCTCGTCAAACTCATCCAACTATTCCACCTCCTCCCCATGACCAACAACCCTTGTCTTCACCTTCCTTTTTCTCATCTCACCGTAGGCTCGAAGGTTGTTCCTTGCTTCATGGTATTCATCGTCGGAGGTGTCCGCATCATCTGAGTCATACACATGGTGAATTTGTCGAGCTACAAAATGGGCAGCTTCACCTTCATTTGCTGAAAAGTAGTCACCCGAACTGGCTTGGTGATTTGGATCATGCTCTTCCCATGAACTCACCATCTGTACAAGGCACACCAACACTTTGGTAAGTAAACCCCATAATTAATTAATTCTCTAACCACAATTAAGTCACTAACCTAGTTTAATTATTTTTTAAATCACTAAACAACAAAGGCAGAACCACCTAATAAACATTATTCTATCCTAGGGTTTTCCAAACCAATGACGATTGTACCCAGAATTTCGAGTTGCTTACTTTCGATTTCAAGGGCAAACTCGAGAAAGAAGATGACCAGTGGTCCTGAGATGCCTTTGTTGTGTCACTTTCTGGCCTTTATTGCCCGCTACGATCTATAAAACGAAGGAACAAACACACCTTTACAACACTGCACCCACAATCTAATATTTGCGACAAAAGAAAAGAGGAAAATAGACAACCAGAGATCTACTTACCGGTCGAATGAAAGGAAGAAGCCCAGAAAATCAACCGCCCGAGATTCCCCAAAGCATCCTGAGGATTAGGGTTTTTTTCTGTCGAAGTGAACTTCGGATTTATTGGTTTATATGGTCGATTTGAGCTCACCAGAGTTCAATCGCGTCGCCGGAATGCTCGCCGACCCTCTATTAACCAGCTGGATGCATCGCCGCTGTCTCGGAGGACGAAGTTTGGGGTGTGGGTATGGGATGAGTGGGTGGGAGGAAAATCTGGTATGAGGAGGAAAGGGGTTTTGTTAGTCGTTGCGGGATCGATCGAAAAAAGGGGCGCTCGTCGTCGGCGAACACCGCTGCCGTTCTGGAGAAGGACCACTCTGTTTGTTGTCTTCGTCGGGGGAGTAGGGTTCGAAGGGGAAGAAGCTTTCGAGTGTGGAGGAAAGGAAAAATGAAAAGGAAGAGAGAGGGGGGATGCTGATCTGTTCGACTTATCCTTTTCAAATTTTTTTATTTTTAAATCCACGTGGAAAATACTTACCGGACGAAAATTTCCACATCGGATTATCTGTTAATCCAGTAAGCACCGTAAGTCATGCCGTCAAAGAATTGGACGTAAATAGCTATATTTGGTATTTCAAGTGGCTATATTTGGAAAAATCGTCAAAGTTTTGGCTATACAAGTGTATTTTGCCTTTCATTTTCGATAAAGCTATATGTAAGAGCTTCGATTGTTTTAGGTTAAAAAGTTGGGTGGGTCCTGGGTCAACCACAGTCCACTCGCACCCAACCAATCTTCTGTGGGTCACCTATTTTACAACTCACACCCAGGGGCGGACCCATGCATTAGCAAGGTGTGTCACCGACACACCTTGGCTCGGAAATTTTGTGAGAGATCCATGTTTCGTTGGTACAAAAAACTTGAATTCGGGATTTCCGACACCTCGCATAATTGCAATCGACACATCTTTAATACGCTACATTGATTTTGATGTCATATGGGTACCAAAATACATGAATATATATTATTTATTTAATTTTTTAGTGAAAATGTCGAGAGGAAAAAATCCACAACCCATGGCACACGGTTCTCTATCCTCCGCTCAACTCTCTAATTGCGATCACCTACCGGTGGAACCTCATCCTCTTTCAAACTTTTACGTTAACGCCTGTTGCCAGCCTTTCTGCTTTCCATTTTATGCTATGGAGTTAATCAATAGCGAACTTTAAAATTAGTTTTATGAATGAATTTTTAGTTTTGTACGTCGAAAAAAGTTTGATCACACCATAAGCGACAAATATATTTTACAAACATTTTTGAATATGAAAAGTTGGCGTGTATCACTGTGAAAAATAATAAATTGCGAACTTAACAAATTAAAAATTTATTTTATTTTTTATTAATACATTTAGTTTATTAAATATTTTTTGTCGGCCGACACACCTATCAAAGAATCCTGGGTCCGCCAATGCTCACACCCACCCATTGGAACCACCCACATGATAATGAGTGTGTCAATTGCGGGTGGATTTGTAGGTTCAACCACCCAATGCTCACCCCTAGCCCTTGGGTTCGGTTTGCATTGCATAATGTCTACTCGTGTTGTATGTTCGTATTCGTCCTTAATGAGAACAAAAAAATAAAAGTGGGAATGTGAAAAAGAAGATATTAGGTTGGGAAAATTAGGAAAAGTAGCATTATAAGATGAAGAAGAAAACTGAAAGTACAGAGGGAGTGATTTGATATACATTTAAATAAAGCCAAACATTTTTTATATGTGATAGTAATTATTATGATAGATTATAAGTCAGTATATTCTTAATAATGTTTATAATTTTGAACACATAATTCTATTTATGTTATTTTTCTATATAAAATGTATTTTCTCGTCGCCATGTTGTGCCGGTTTTCTCAATTTTATTGTATTTTAATTTGGAATGGAGAATTTTAAACATAAAAGATAAGAGTGAAATTGATATGAAATTATGTTGATTTAAACAAAAAATAAAATAAACAATATAATCTTTATTCTTGGACATACAATGGTTTGAATAAATATAATATCAAGTAATTAAGAATAGACCGAAGCATGTGTTGTGTGTTTAAAAAAATTAATGTTTTAGAAATCCTACCATGTCGTCTGGTCAGATCCAAAGTACCATATACTGGAACCCAAACGGTAGGCATTTTAGTGGTACGAAATGATTAAGACACAATTCTAAAACAAAATAGCATGTCACACTACTAACTTCTCCGATATAATTTATGGTACAGTTTCACAATCATTGTAAAAAATAAAGACATTTTAAAAAATAAAAGATAAGAGCAAAATTAGATGGATATCATGTTATTTAAAATGAAACATAAAATAACTAATTAATGGCCCAAAGTATCTCATATTACAAGCTATAGCAAGGGATGTTCTTGCTATTCCTGTTACTACTCCATCTGAATGTGCATTCATTTCTGGAGGTCGTTTATTGGATCCTCATCGAAGCAAACTAGACTATGATACTATAAAGATACTTATGTGCACAAGGAGCTGATTGCAAAATGATTTGCTTTAAGGTAATCACTAATATGAAACTGAATCTATCTATTTTTTCCATTCTCATTTGCACCAAACTTGTTCTCATTTGATACATATGCACTTGTTGACTTACAGAATCTATTGCTGCAGTAGGAGTGCTGAAAGGATGTTTCTCCTCCTCAAAGAAAAGCAATTTCGACCAAGCTGATGCTGAAACTGAAGGTAACAAAGTAGTAACTTGTTATATTAAACTTGTAAGTTGTTTTAATTCTGCATATGTTAATGGACTCTTATTTTTTGAATGTGTAGATCAAATTCATGGTATATATGAATATTAAACACCCTGGTTAATGATATACTTACCCGTGACCGAGAAATTGGAAAAATGCTTGACACGAAATGCTAATGAAAATTGATGGACGGTGCAAAGCCCATTTTCAGTAGCTACGATTAGCCCGTGATGTAAAATTCAGGCCCAATGTTTTCCGAATACAGTGAGGAAACGACAGAAAATCAGACTACTAAAACGAATATAAAGGGTCTTTTTATGATAAACGTCCGTCCTTAAAATTACTATTCATCGTCCTAAAAAATAATAAAGTTACACTTTTAACCTTTTGTCATCTTTAGCAAACAAACATCACTTTAACTAAAAAAAATGAAAAACACTCAATTTCCCACACTCTCGAATTCATCGTTGACATTCTCGAGTCGTAATTGTTAGGAATACGTCCGAATCATGAGTAGCGACTCCGATGAGGTAAAAATCCAATTTTTTTTCAAAAAAAACCCAAAACCCCTCAACCGAAGCCAATTTTCGGTTGTACCATGGCTCAACCTAAGGCAATTTTCGATTGTACCATGGACCAACCGAAAATCACTTTCGGTTGCACCATGGCTCAACCGAAGCCAATTTTCGGTTGTACCATGGCTCAACCTAAGGCAATTTTCTGTTGGTCCATGGTACAACCGAAAATTGCCTTAGGTTGACCCATGGTACAACCGAAAATTGGCTTCGTTGAGGGGTTTCGGAATTTTTTTGGATTTGTTTGTTTTATATCAATAATTTTCTATTCTTTTACTACGATTTATGGTTCGGTCTATAAGATAATTTGTTGGATTTTGTTTATATTTTTTTAGATTTATGGAAGGGGAGGGGTTGTTTGTTTTGTGTTTGATTTTGAAATTCAAAATGGGCAATTCGGTAAATTACATATTAAATTAGGACGATGGTTAGTAATTTTTAGGACGACCTTTAACCATTCAGCTTTTTATCCCCCCAGTCCAAATTCGCACTCTGTTTCTTTGTTACCGAGCTCGTCGGTCGCCGACCTACCGCTACAATGGCAACCAAGGATTCCGGCAGGCAGAGCCCAATTATTTCTCCCCCCGCAATCAGCGAACTCGGAGACGACGATCTACTGGCAGAAGTTCTTTGCCGCCTTCCGGACCCTCGATCGGCCTGGCGATGCAAACCCGTCTGCAAGCGATGGAACTCCCTCATCTCCGCTCCCTACTTCCCTCGCCGTTTCCTTTCTCACCACCGGAATCGGCCCTCCGGCGAATCCGAACCGCCCCTCCTCATCACCTCCGCCGTTCGGGGACCCATCTGGAGCTTTCTCCCCCTGCCCGGCGACGACATTCCGTTCAACGCCTCTGTCGTGGATTGCTTCAGGGACCTGCTTTTGATCGAGCTCGTTGATCGGAGTGTCGGGTTGAATCATGACGAGGAGTTGAGCAGGTCGTTCTTGGTCTGCAATTAGGGGTGGCAAATGGATTGATTCATGGATAAGTGGATTGGATTGTTTGATCCATGGATCAAATGGATTTGATCAAATAGATTAATGGATCCATGGATTGGATAAAGTGGATTGATGGATTATCCATTAATCCAAATGACATTTAAATCATTGAATCAATATGTCAAATTTGAAAACTTTATATACTCCAACTTGATAATAAAAATTTTAGGTACCAACTTGTATATTTTTCATGATATTTTATTTTCTTTGACAAAAAAAAAAACAAACAATGGAAACGATTTTCGCAGATGGAGAAACACTGAAACAGTCATCGCCGACGACAAGAGTCTGCCGGAGGCAAAGCAATGACGGCGAGCATGATGAGTCGGTCGGCGACACCTCCAGCCTCCAGGTCCCTCCCAACTGGACAAGCGGTCGAATCTGGGGCCGAACAGGCTGCACCACCAACTCCACCACCAACAAATTCAACTGCCTCACCGGCGACTGCGCCACGGGCCAAATCGAATGCAACGGCGCTGGCGGAATCCCTCCCGCAACCCTCCTCGAGCTCACACTCAACGGCAACAGAATCGACTTCTACGATGCCATTAAATCCCTGCCTCGATCGGCGGCGAGAGTCTCCTGGAGCAGAGCATGATGAGTTCATCTCCTGGAGAAGACCGGAAACAGAAGAAGGAAACAGAGGAAAACAGGGAAGATATTCGGCGCCATCGACGAGCTGCTGGAGAAGACCGGCGTGAGGGCGAAGGACATTGGGATCGTGATCGTGAACTGTAGCTTGTTCAATCCGACGCCGTCGCTGTCGGCGATGGTGTTGAGCTTCAGAATTTCTGTTTCTCGCCCTGAATCGGAGGATTCTGTTGCTATTGTTTCTTCCAACAACAGTTTACAAACTGACTATTTACAAACTTGAATCTGAAGTCGATATGCTAGTATTTCAAGTATCATTTGACTAGTGACTCCCCAACCCCATTTCACTTCTTCATGTTTACACTGATCAATGATGATGATCATCAGCTGCAGCCAGTAGCAGCAGAAGCAATCAGCCATTTTACCAGTGAAGAACAATTAATTTTAGCAGCAAAAACAAACAACACTCCCCTCATTCTCTGATTCTTAACAGGACAACAGGGCTAAGCAAACTAAAGACCCTAACTTCATTCACAATCAAGTTTGGGTCAGAAAACATTTAGCATTACATCTTTGCATCATGTAAACAGAATTCAATCAGGTTCATAACTCAATCATGTAGCCAAAAAGATGATGATATAGTTCAGTTTTCACTTTTCAATCATTCATTAGAGATAGGAGTATAATTAGCAGCCATCGAGGATGTTCGAATAGCCTTTGAAATCTTCACCTCAAGCCCATTATCACGATCATCACCTGCATATCATAAGATTCAAATGTTACTTAAAGTTTCCTTAGATTGAACCATATCATACAAAATATATTCTTAATTAGCTTACTTGGAAACCCATATAACCAATTGCGTGTGGTTATCAAAGCTTCGGCATTTTCGGGCAAAAGAGAGCTTCGCCAGTTGTTTAACACTCTCCCTCCCATACGGAAAGCCGACTCCGATGCTACGGTTGTTGCTGGAATGCTCAAAATATCTCTGGTCAAGTGAGCAAGCTCTGGGAACCGAGTTTCATTATTCTTCCACCAGAGAAGAACATCCAATGGTTGTATGCGCTTGAGTCTCTTGTCATCTAAATATTCATCGAGTTGTGTTTTATCGCCCAAGAACTGGTTTTCCCCAAAAGAATCAAACTCCTATGAAACAAATAACTCACATCCAATGGTTGCATGCTTACTTACATCCATATCATCTCCATAGTCAACATCTTCAGCAAAATCCTCAGCAAGGGATTGAGATTGATCAGTAGGATCACCATACAACTTCAGTAAATCACATATCTTCCCTCGAAGCTCACAACACTTTTCTTTAGCAACATTGTTGTCCCCATACAACTTCTCATAGCAAAACCTCACAGAATCCATCTTGTACCGTGGATCAAAAACCATGTGACTTAGCAGTGTTCCGAGTAAATGACTTAAAATCATCATTCAAGTAGGCCATCACATCCTGAAGTCCACCATGCTCAACCATTGCAAATTCATACCCATGTTTTATGATAGCCATAGCCATTAGCTCCTTAAATCTATTTTGATCTATTGCTTTTGAGCTTCCAACATTCGAGACACTGGCACTTCAATTGCACGTCCAATACACTTAAAACTATGACGAGTGAGATTAGAAATACCTTTACCAACCACATAAAGCTTGGGACAGTTTTTGCATTGTGCTCTTGATATATTATCTGCAAACTGATTCCCAGGGATAAAAGTAAATGTCTCCCATGCCTTAGAAGTTCTTTGTTGCTTTCGTTGAACACTTGTTCGACCCGTAGACGTCGACATTGCTGCAAAATGAGCCTCATCTCCGGAACTACCACCATAATCATTTCCCATAACATTCATTTGTTGACTAGACATCCTGAAATCAATCCAATTCCAGACTTATTTATGAATGCACAACTTCATTTGACACTATAAATCAATTTGCAACTGGAAACTTCATGACTTAGTTATGAATGCACAACCACTCTGATATGTCATATAGGAGGGTAGCAATAGAAACTTAAGTGAACTCTGATCCTTCCTTGTGCTGGCAACTTAAGAATTAGATTCTCCTCGAGCAACAATAATTCAGTTCATAATGATGGTTCTAAGAACAAATGAAGGAGCACCGGACACATAAAAAGAAGATGTAAAGCACCATAAGACAGATTTTGAATAAATCTGCAAAACTGGAAATGAACCCATCTGCAAAACTCTACCATTTCCAAACCCCAACATGATATAGCCCAGAAGTTGTTCATCAAATTAAAGACCAACTCACCATGACTAACAACTGCTTAATATAAAATGCAACTGGAAAGGGGAAGGGGAAGGAAATTACCTGAGATTTTAGTACTTCAGATTGGAACTGGACAAGTCTGATTAAAGAAATTCAAATTTTGGCTGCTCCAAGCCAAAGTACTAAATGTTCATTCGAGTTTAGAGTTCACTGCAAGAATTCACAAAATCAGAAATTCCAATGGTGAACAATGGGGAAGAGGTTCGATTAGAAAGTACCTGTTCAACCTTTGAGACGGCGGAGCGGAGAAGCAACGAACAAAATTTCAGTTTGTGGGTTTGGGAGAATGGAGTGATTAACGTTCCTTGATGGAGCTGGACGAGAAATGATGGAGAGGAAGGCGAGTTTCTGACCTTCGTGAAGGAGGCGACGAGGTGGGTCGGGAATAGGAGGCGGCGCGAACGGTGACCTTGGGAGAACAACAATCAACCGGTGTTGTCTGGAATAGGAGGTGGCTTTCATCATGGTGTTGTTAACCATCGCGAGTGTTCTTTGCATAAATCCATACTGGCGGCAAACATGGTTTTATTACGTTGGGGTCGCCACAACAAATTTCTACTATTTTCTGGTGGACCATCTGCTCGTGCCGGTCAAATACAAGGTGCTGAAGCTTTAGCTGTATTTGTGAATGATTTCTGCAAATTTCAAGTGATGTCGTAGGAGGTTGTACTCTTCTTCCTTACCAAATATTTTGTAATATTGCAACAAAAAAATATTTTGTAATACATATGGTACTATTTTGTGACTTATATATGTAGTCTTTGGTGACATTGACTGAAAGTACGTAACTATAATAGATATGTCACATATTTGAAATTACAAATATAGTTAATTACCTTGATTGAAACTAGTTGCCTGCGTAACTAAATCTGGCAAACTGGCCTCAACCCTTCCGATGGGCCGCCAGACGTTTTTTAAGTCCATACAAACGCCTCGTCGGTGCTGCTCCTTGTTAGAGAGTGTTATAAGATCCAGCATAACCTTCTCCCAACAACTCTAGTTATTGGGACCAACTGGTTTATGACATGGTATCAAAGCTGGTTTGGCCAAGTGGTCGTGTGTTCGAATCTCCACAACCCCCAATATTAACAGTTGATTAAAGCACAAAATGTATGATGGGCATGTGCAAACTTCAAGCCCATGGGTTGGCTTTCGTTTGAGGGGACGTGTTAGAGAGTGTTATAAGATTCAACATAACCTTCTCTCAACAACTTGAGTTATTGGGACCAACCATAAACTAAAATCAGCGAACATAGAGTCGAATTGTAATGCAAACTTCAAGCCCATGTGTTGGCTTTCGTTTGAGGGGGCGTGTTAGAGAGTGTTATAAGATTCAGCATAACCTTCTCTCAACAACTTGAGTTATTGGGACCAACTGGTTTATGACACTCCTCTCCTGGCAACTCCGCTGGCATCATATGCAAGTGCAGTCGTCGTTGGGAAGAATAGGGAAGCCAACAAAGAGATCGTCTGCCGGGCACCAGCCGGCGGGCATGATCTGGTATCGGGGTTGTACGTACAACGGGGAGCTCTGTATGCCTCATAAACTAAAATCAGCGAACATAGAGTCGAATTGTAATGCGAACTCTCGATATCGATTTTCCCACATATCATGGCCTCTGAAGCACATATTTTTTTCCTAATCCGATCCTTACGGTTCAAAATTCATTAATTAGTATTTGTTACATTGGGACCTATCTGAGTATTGACACATGACTCATGCACATAAAAAGTTTTCATAATTACAAAAAATATTCATTCATATTTTTAACCCCCTCCCCAACTAAAACATTCCACAAGGAGTTTCGCGCTACAATTTTCAATATAAACCAACAAATCCGTCTATCTTTTATCGAAATTAAAAAAATTAAAATAACAAGAGTAACTTTATAACCACATGATTTTTTTTATTGATTCAGCGCCCAATTAGCCCGTTTAACAGAAGACTAACCGTCTTTTACAGTCACAACCAAAAAATATTTATATTGAAGGACTATGTTAGGATAAAAATAATACAAGATTCATGATAGAAAAACGTTCACATATTAGAGGCCAAATATAGTTGGGTTGGAAATTTTGTCCGACATTAGTTAGTGGGTAGAGAATTCGGTTCAAAGTGGGGACTAACCCATTGGAGAACAGAACACATGATAAAAAATTGAATCAGTGATCAATCGAGTGACCGGCCGGGACCAATTTGGTTACACAACACAATCAGTCAACTAATTTGCGCACGATAGGTCGTCGGAAGACTTGACCGGCCGGCCGGCCGGCTTCCTCAATGTGGATTGTGGATACGCAGATATTGATATCAAATTAATATTCCTACTTAACTTTGCACGACCCAAAAGAATGGGCCAGAGGCGACTTGGACCTATTTTCCCTTCCTTCCAGTTCCACCGGCTTCATGTAGAGAGACGTGGAGTGGTAATACCACTATCATAGAATGTTGAGGTTGCAGATTCAAATTTTTTAAATAGTATCTTTATAAAAATAAATTAAACTTATATCACTTTTATAATAAATAAAAAACTCCAATGATAAAGATGAAATAGGAGTACATAATACAGCCCAAGCGTGCATGGAGCCATTGAGGCCACCGTATGCATGCACGTACCCAACTTTGTTCTTTTATATAATTTACATACATCGAATCTTTTCCTTACGTAATAATCAAAATTTTGTTAATTATAAATACCGGTCTAAATTGAATCTTATATAATTTTCTTCACGTTTCTTTCAATAGAAATAAACCTAATGGCTTGTGTGTTTGTATGCTCACGGACACACATAAAATTTGGAAAAAACAATATTAATCCCATATATATATATATGGACGGTTCTCCAATACTTAAGAATATACACAATGAATGCTCATTGACAATTTTTTTATATGAAAACACTTCACGGCTGTTAATAGAACATGAAACCTATATTAATAGGCTAGTTTTTCTTTTGTAAAGAAATTACATGAATAATAAATTTTTTAAATATTTTTTAATATATTTATATCACATAAAAGGACACACCTATTTTGATCTTATGGTTTCGCCACCGTGTATAGACCCACATATATTGGGTAATTAGCATAAATGGTAACAAACATTTGCACTTAGTACAAAATGGTCACAAACCTTTAATTTGTAACAATACGGTAACAAAACTTTGAAATTGTATAAAATGGTCACCGCTATTAAATTTATGACCGTTTTGTTTTAAGTGCAAAGGTTTGTTACCGAATCGTTACAAATTAAATGTTGGTCATGTTTTGAGGTCGGGTAGTTTGTTCGTTAAGTATATGACACTAACCACTTGAACGACATATAAGATGTCAGGTCATGTGTTCATCGACATATTTGCTTTGCCGAATAAGAATGCCCTCAGTTGACCTTTCAATTTCGATACCAAGAAAGTAAGAAAGTAGACATAGTTTTTTCAACTAAAAAGCAGTCTAGAACCCGTTTGTGAGCCATTGAGTTCTCTCATTGTCATCCTAAACAACATAATATCATTCACATACATTAACAAAACCACCATACAACTAGAGTGAATTGTAACGGTGATTGAGCGGTCACACTGTTTAATTTGTGACAGTTTTGTTCTAAGTAAAAAAGTTTTGTTATCAAATGGTTACAAATTAAAGGTTTGTGACTGTTTTGTACTAAGTGCAAAGGTTTGTGACCATTTATGCTAATTACCCCACATATATTATGCTTCAAACTTAAATTCTCTCAATAAGAAAATGCATCCAATCAAAGATCTAACTACTATGTTGAGAACTAATTTGTCCCAATAGCGCATATAAGGTACACAAAAGTCAATTAGTGACACGACCTGCCGTAAATCATGATGATGGGATGGAAGTAGTTGTATTGATCCATAGTTTTCCTTGTCCCAAATTATAAGATGGGTTGGTAATTTCGTGCAAGCAAAATCAATGCTGCCGAGGACTCAATTTGGCCACACATATATCTATATATATAACGGAGTCAACTCCACAAGTCTCCGGGCATTCCTTGCCTTTCCTTCCAACCATGATTGACAAAACAGAACCACGATTGACAAAATATAACTACTTCCAACCTGCTGGAAGTAGTTATATTGACGGCATAGACGACAAGGACCGATCGATCAATCAAATCTGAGTTCCAAGTACTGACACATAGATATCAACCACAGGGTTTCGACTCGACTTGTTATATCCAATTTATTTGGCCTATTTTGAAGTGGATATGAGTACTCTCATTGATTTGACCAGTCATGACCCATTCCATTTTTGACCTGTTCCCTCCAAATTACACGTAATTCTACTTAAATTACTAAGCATTTTACTTTTATTAACTCATATTTTAGCTATAATGAAGTTGTAAATAGGCAAGAACTTCAATTTCTCGAATAATTTAACTACAGTTATCATATTATAGGTCGTTTCTTGTTTTTTATTGAAAAATGAATATTTCTAGTAGTTTTCCTTTTAAATTACATATCTTTATAGGTCGACTTGCCACAATCATGATAAATTATTCAACCTGTCATGGGATCCCATGCCAAAAAGTCATTACTTTTCCATGTCCCAAATTATACGTTGGGTTGGACATTTCGTGCAACCAAAATGAATGCTGCCGCCAGGGACCAATTTGGCAATGATGGGAACTCGTAGCAAAATTTCCACATGGTGGGTTCCTTGCTTTTTCCGCATCCGCCGGACTCGATTTGGCCACACATATATATATGTATAACTGAGTCAACTCCAAGTCTCCGGCGTTACTTTCCGTCCAACCACGATTGACACCATGTGCTGGAAGTATATATATTGAGATTGACTGCAGACTTTTCTTCCCGGCAACGACCGATCGATCAATCAAATCCGAGTTACAGTGCGGATCGAAGGCATGCATGGCCCTCATCAACGTGTAGGCAAGTGCAAGACTTTTCGTAGGGTAAATAGGTGCGTTTGCATCAACCATGGCTGTTAGAGATTCAATTTCGATTAAGAGAATATTGATTCATATTCCAAGTATTGACAACTGGATCTCAAACACAGGGAAGACAATTAATTAATGGTAGATTATTACTTGCAGTAGTAATAATAATAATAATAATAATAATAATACAGTACTGCAGGAGGGACGGCTTGATCGAGGGATGACAATTTCGATTTTGACCTGTTTTACTCGATCTGTTTTACCTATTTTGGACCGGTATGGCGATACTCTCTTCTACTTGATCAGTGGTGATCCATCTCATTCCTGACCCATTTTTTCCACCCAAAATTACATGAAATTTTACTCAAATTACTCGACATTTTACTTTTACTAGCTCATATTTTAGCTATAATGAAGTTGTAATTATATTTATCATAGGTAGTTTCTTGTTTTTTCTTTAATGAAAAATGAATATTACTAGTATTTTCCTTTTAAATTACATACCTCTATTGGTCGACTTGCCTGACCTGTATCCCGTAATAAATTACTCGATCTGTGAGGGGCACAGTGACGGAGGAAAGTCTAAGAGGAGAGGGGTCGTTAATTCGTCTGACACTTCCATTGTTGGTGTCTATATATAGATTGAGTGGCCCTCGATCGAGAGTGGTATTGCAATTATATTTGGAACTAATTGGAAGCAGTTCCAGATCAAAATGGAAACTAAAATATTGTTGAGGTTCCTAATGGCGCTGGCCTTAGCGGCGGTGACGGTGATGACGGCGGAGTGGCAGAGCTGCGTCGGTAATTGCTTGGAGCAGGAAAGGCTTGCCATCTTGGATATCCACGCCTTCCTCGGTGACGACAGCGCCCTCTATTCACAAAGCAGCGGTGATTGTTGTGGTTGGGATGGAGTTACTTGCGATGACACAACTGGGAGGGTGATTCAGCTTGGATTTACTGAGTATGGAAGCTTCAGAGGAGGAGGAAGGTATCTAAATGCTTCTTTGTTTCTACCTTTTCAACAACTCAGACAACTTTCATTGACTGACCTCTCGTTGTTTGGGTTGCATGGAGAATGAAGGTATATATATAAATGTCCTCCAGCTGTGCATTGAAGTTAATTATTTGTTCATCACTTTCTAAATATCTCTGACTGATCGATCATGTTATAGGTTAAGGGAATTTTGTTTTTTTTTTTTTTTTGTTTTTTTCCATCTATTTTGCAGGATTCGAGAAACATTTTTTGTTTTTTGTTTGTATCGATGAATTTTCCTAAAAGGAATGGGGGAAAAATGTTTTTCATTGTAAGTCTTGTTCAATCACTTTGTTGGATGTTCAGAACTAAACCAACTTAGTGGCTTGAGGCGGCTGAGTTTGGGCGGCAATAACATCCAAGGATTCGTGTCATATCACGGTGTGTACTGTTTCTTGAGCTAGCTAACTAGCATGATTCATCAATTTCTAATTATAGGCGTGTATTTAACTTCAGCTATATTTTTAATGATATAAATGTGTGCAGGTGATGAAACTGTGTTGAGATTGCCGCACCTGGAAGAGCTGGGTCTATCTAATACTAGCATTAGCAGCACCGTGATTTTCTCGGAAGTCAAGCAGCTTTACTCTCTCCAATCTCTTTCACTCCTTTATAACAATCTATTCGAAGGACCAGTGGACATGAAAGGTTATAATTAACACACACTATTAATCAACTAATTAATTAATTAATTAATTACCTTGTCGATTTCCAATCATTTAATCACCATTTGTTTGCTGCTGCGTGCTACAGAGTTGGCGGCTCTCACCAAACTACAAGGGCTGGAGTTAAGTGGGAATCTTGTAGTGGAAGGTGCGTATCAACTCTACTAATTAAATTGAGAAGAGGAAAAGAAATTAACTCTTGTAATTAAGGACTGATTGTTTTTTTTTCTCTGATGTTTGGATTCAAAGACTTGGCCGCTTTAATAAACTTAGAATTGCTTCAACTAGGCGAGGATCATGATATTCGTGAGCGGCCTCCCCGGAATAAGAAGCATAGTTAGTAAAATACGGTACGGGAAAGTTACGTATAAAATACGTACGGGTATTATACTTCGTCTCTTAGCTAATGTTACGTTTAATAGTACGTTAATAGTCATAAATATATAAAATTAATTATTTATATAAATAAATAAATATGTAAAAAATAGTAAAGTTAATAATTTATTTCATTAAATACGGATATTAAACGTGTTATACGGATTTTGTACGTGTTTAGTACGGGAACAGTCAAATGAACGGAAACTAATGAAACGGCTTGACAATAATACGGATACGGAAGTTTTAAACGGATAAAGTACGTACGGGTACATATACGTGTATTAAACGGAGTATTTACTAACTATGATAAGAAGAGCCGTTTTGACTTTCAAGGTATGTAATTTCACGGTGCATACAAATATTTCTAGAATACATGTATACACAACTTGATTGATTTATTTATTTATAAAAATTATTACTTATATTTTCATGATTGTATTTATTAATGGATGGATGAATTTGCATCTATCGATACAAATTTCTATTAATTATCTTACACGTATTATATAATATTAGGATCCTCAAAGCTGGAGAAATTGAAAGAACTGCGGATACGAAACTCTATCATAGAAGCCAACTTCTTTAGAAGTATTGGGACTTTGATGACCAATCTTACGTATTTGGAGATTTCCGATAGCCCGTCTCTCGTGAATTCCACGATTCCACAAGGTATGTAATCGATTTATATTGGGACCGTGACTTTTCTGTTATCTTATAGCCATTGGTTTTTAGCTTATATATTAAGTATTGTTCGTCTTAATTATATTGGGAACGTGTTTGTCAAGTTGCCAGAAAAACAGCCTTCGTAGCAACTTCGAGCCTTTTGTTTGAAGCCTTAAAGATATTCAATCTTTCATCTAATTCCTTGCCTTTGTATAAAAAATACGTAATTTAACGTGGTAGAGGCTCCTGGACTTGACTCGCATCCATGCTTCTCGAATTGAGCTCCAAAGTAGGCTTGACAAACACGTTGCCAGACTTGGCCATTTTCAGGTAGTTTCCCAGTTTTGGCATAGCCTTATGGGCAGGTTAAAAAATGGTCTTCTGGACTTCCTATTGAGCTCCCAAGTACTTTAATGTGTAGAGGGACACTTCAGTTTCAAAACAAACCTTTAATCTCCAATTTCCATCTAGTCAATTGTAAGATATGAATCTCCAAAGTAGGCACCATGAAACTGTTTTTACACTGAAACAACATATTAGGTCGACCTAATCCTACATGAGGTCGATCGAAAAGTGCATGTCACCGTAGCAAAGTCCTTATATTTATTATCCCTAATTTGTTTACTAAAACTTACGTATTTCCTCTCTCGTCTAACAAGCATTTGTTGTCATGTTTTCTGCTAGGTTTTTGTAACTTAAAACATCTCCAAGAAATACATCTCCCGGGGAATGGTTTGGTTGGCGAGTTGCCACAATGCTTATCAAAGTTGATGTCACTTCTAATCTTGGATATCTTCAACAATCAGTTATCAGGGAATATATCTCGATCTCCCCTTACCACCATATTCTCCCTTGAAACCATTGATATTTCCCAAAACCTATTCCTGATCCCATTCTCCCTCTCCCCGTTTTTCAACCATTCTCGTCTTAAAAAATTTTATGGGAGTTCCAACCAAGAGATCTATGAAGATGAACATCGTGACGATGTAAAACAACAAGGTACTTTCCTACTACACCCACCACTTTTCCAGCTCACAAAGTTGACCTTGGGATCTAGCAAACACAAAGACAATATTGGTGGAATATTTCCTAAATATTTATACTATCAACATGAGTTGGAAATGGTTGATATCTCGAATATCAAATTGGAGGGAGCTGGATTTCCATCGTGGTTGTTAGTTAACAACACCAACTTAGAAGATCTCACCCTCATCAACTGTTCACTTTGGGGGCCTTTCCAATTGCCAATTCATCAGCACCCTCTCGAGAATCTTTCGAATCTAGATATCTCCAACAACAACATGTACAGCCCCATCCCGCCTCATATATGCGCCATTCTTCCTGGTTTACGAATCTTATCTTTGTCTGAGAATCAAATCTTTGGAGGAATACCTAAACATTTATCAAATTGTTCTATGTTATATTCACTGGATGCTAGCAACAATCATCTTTCTGGTAACATTCCAAGATGGATTTGGAATTTTCCCAAGCTCCAAGTTTTAGATCTTTCAAAGAACAAATTTTCTGGAAGCCTACCATTAGATTTCATCATGATAAGAGAAGTTTATTTGTCAAGAAATCTACTGGGAGGGACTTTAACAAAGGGAGATGGTGCTCATAATGACTATTCAAGCTACTCATTGAATGTTTTGGATCTTAGCCACAATCAAATCAAGGGTACAATCCCGAGATGGATTTCTATACTTCCTAGATTGAACTATCTATTATTGAACAACAACGAGTTCTATGGTGAAATCCCTATACCTTTTACCTTGGAACAAGTGAAGCTGATTGTTATTTCTCACAATCATTTTTCTGGTCAGCTTTCCTCGGTGCTCACATCAAATATAAGCACGGGATATTACAATGAATACATCACACAAGATTTGGAATTGGTTACCAAGACAAATTTGTATACTTACAAAGGGGAGCCTCTCAATTCGTTGTCTGGCTTTGATTTCTCAAACAACAACTTCAGTGGTGAGATCCCTCCTCAAATCAGTTACAAGGATGACATGAAATTTCTCAACTTGTCGAACAACCAGCTGAAAGGATCAATTCCACCATCATTTTCAAGGTTGTTGCAAATTGAGAGTTTGGATCTCTCACACAACAATTTGAGTGGAACAATTCCTTCTGAACTCGCGGCTTTGACTTTTCTAGGATCTTTTAATGTGGCATACAATAATCTATCTGGCAAGTGCCCTCAGGTTGCACAGTTTGCTACATTTGACGATAGCAGCTATGAGGGGAATCCTTATCTCTGTTGCACCTTTCCGCTGCCGCCTTCTAGGCCATTATTGACGCCACCAGCTTCTCACGATGGAGATGGAGATGATGATGGAGGAAGCTTCATTGACATGGAAAGTTTCTACGCAAGCAGTGGAGTATCCTTCGTTATGGTGTTGCTCACAATTGCGAGTGTTCTCTACATAAATCCATATTGGCGAGGAGTATGGTTTTACTACGTCAGGGTCACCATCACTAGTTGCTACTATTTTTTGGTGGACCATGTCCCGGTGCCGGTTAAGTACAAGGTGCTGGAACTTCGGGTGTAGAAATGGATTTTCCACAACTGCTTGGAGGATACCAGCTGGAGTTGTGCTCTTCTTCCTTATCGCAATATTTTTGTAATATACAGTTTGGGTGCCTTATACACGCTATTACGTATGTACTACTTAGTGACCTTGAATGAAACTACAAATAAATGAGAGATATGAATGAAATTACAATTATATAGTTTAATTATGGTTGCTACAACTTGCCCACATTTGAATGGAAACGTTCAACCATTGTTGCAATTTGACAAATTACGCATACATAACACATAGTTTACTCCATCAATCGTAAATTAACAATAGGTGATCAACCACAAATGGTTCCGTTTTAGCCGAAGCACACAAAATTAGAACTCCTTGGCAGCCTGGACGGACTTTACTGATGAACCTTGGGCCCCGGCCTAAACCCATGAAAAGTCCGTCGAAACTTCATCCAGTCCAATAGCAAAGCCCAAATGATTTTCACGACAGGCCTGATTAGAGTCGGTGACCTACGATTAGAATACCGAAATAGCTCCTTCCTCACCAAACACCCAACGGCAGCAGTCCCCGCAATTTCCACCACTCTCAACGTCTAAAATCGTCCAACCGCATATTTCCCAGTCTCCAAATATGGAGTTCTTCTGGGTACCGGTATTTGGTACTTAGAAGTTTGGTACCGGTATTTGGGATATACTGAATATCGTACCGAATTTACCATTATTTGGTATTATCGAATACCGATTTATTTTTTAGGGATTGGGATTGAGATTCATTTTGGAGTGCTATTCGGTATTCGGGATTACGAGATTGGGATCTGTATATACCGAAATACCGAAAAAATACCAAAAATTGAAAATTTAATGAAATATAGCATACAACCTTTGATGGTTCCTTACTCTTTCACAACTTATAAGTCTATATCCAACTCAATTTTGACTTTCTAGTTTAAGTCACTCTCGTCTCTCGCCTAATATTTTGTTATTTTCATTACACCAAAAGACAAACACTAGTATTAGTCGTCTCTCGCCTAATATTTTGTTACTTTCATTACACCAAAAGACAAACACTAGTATTAGTCGTCTCTCAGCCTCCAATTCGTCAAATTAAAGATTATCAATGGCAAAAATTTGAGATGTCACCTCTCCTCCATTCTCCTTATCCATATCCTAGCTCATGCCAAACTCAAGGCTATTCGCTTAGTCTCTTTTCCCTAAATTAAACAATAGAATATGATTTATATATTTAATTATTAATTGTCAAGATAATTAATTTTGTATTCAATAATACCGATTGGAATACCGAAGTACCGATTGGGATACCGAAATATTTAGGGATTGGGATTGGGATACCGAAATTATTTACGGATTGGGATTGAGTTTAGGGTGTGATTCGGTATTCGGAATTTCGGTATTTTTTTATACCCAGGATTTCAGTATTTGGTATTAGGATACCTATTTCCACCCCTACTTCTGAGTATAGTTCTAAAAAAAAATCTTCTATTTTCTCTCCCAAAATTTTCATTTTCCCATTGAAGAAGGAAATAATTTCTATTTCTTGCTTTTGCTTCGGAAGAAATGGCGACGGCGTTTCTCTCCCCTCGCAATTGCCTGCAAGGTCGGTTCCGTCGGGAAGCTTTCGCGCTGCGATCTTCACCTCGGGTGGCGAGGGATGATGTGGTTGCTTACCCTAATCCTAACCCTAGGGGCGCAGGCGGAAGAGGAGTCCCATGGGGTGCCAGAGGGATACGGCGGCGTCGCGATTGAAACAGTCACCGGTGGCGAAGCTCCCCGGAAATAATCTCGTGATGGGACAGGTGAAGATATTGAAGCGCGGGGAATTGCTGGAGAAGAGTGAGGATGAGAAGAAGGGGAAGAAGCTGGTGGTGGATCTTGGATTGGGATCGACGGATCGGTTTGGGCCAGAACCGGAGACGTTTCTGAAGGAGGTTAGGGTTGAGGAGTTTAATAAAGCCGTGGATGTGATGTATGCAGGCTCGGCGTTTTTCACCTCGCCGCCACCGAGTTCGCTTCCTGTGCCGTGCGTTTTTGGGGAAAGGTGGGATTGGGGATGCTACTACTGATCTCCGGCGATTACTGGGGTTGAATCTGATTTAATTTGGTGATCAATGAGAAGGTGAAGGATCAAAGATGATGATTCTTGTTGTTGATGCTGCCGCTCAATAGTTTTCTGCTTTCGTTGCTGCTGCTGTTGTCAATTGCTTGGTGACTAGAAGCTTGAGATCACTCCTTTATTTTTTCAAGAGGAAGGCTGATCAGAGCTCAAGCAATTTGGTGGGAACCTTTGAGACGGCGGAGCGGAGAAGCAACGAACAAAAATTCAGTTCGTGGGTTTGGGCGAATGGAGTTATTAACGTTCCTTGATGGAGCTGGACGAGAAATGATGGAGAGGAAGGCGAGTTTCTGACCTTCGTGAAGGAGGCGACGAGGTGGGTCGGGAATAGGAGGCGGCGCGAACGGTGACCTTGGGAGAACAACAATCAATCGGTGTTGTCTGGAATAGGAGGCGACAAGGTCGTGGTGATTTTTGGAGGTGACGACTGACGAGGTGGGTTCAAGAGGGTGAGAGAGGCGGTGTCTTATCGGCGTTGTCTGGAATTGGAAATTTGGAGGCGACGAGGTCGCGGTGGTTTTTGGAGGCGACGACTGATTAGGTGGGTTCAAGAGGGGGAGAGAGGCGGCGAAGATGGGTTCAATTCTTCTGTTTCCTTCTTCTGTTTCCTTCGCCGGGTTCAAGAGGGGGAGAGAGGCGGCGAACCAGCGGTTTTTGGAATTGGAGATTTGGAGGCGACAGGCCGACAACAACTCGCCGGAATCACTCCCTGCCCACCACGGCTCCGACTGCTTCAGGGCTCAGGCTCTTGTTTTGGGGACAGGTTACGGTGATTACTACAAAGTAAATTATATTAATTAATTTTTTAATAAATTACATTAAAGGTAGTTACAAAAATCTATTAATTAAAAATCTCTCTTTCTCTCACTTCCGTAATCTCCAGCCAGATTTTCTTTCCATATTTTTCTCAATCTTTCTGCAAAAAAAAAAAAAAACGAAATCAGTACCAATCCATTAGACAAGCACTACCACTTTGAAAAATATCAATACCATTGCATAAATAAATCTATACCATTACACGAAAACTACCATTGCAGAAATAAATTTATACCATTACACGAAAACTACCATTCAAGAAATAAAAACACTACCATTTCACAAAACATCAATACCATTCAAGAAATAAAAACACTACCATTTCACAAAACATCAGTACCATTGCAGATTTAATCACTACCAATGCGACAAAAATAATACCAATGCGACAAAAACAATACCAATACGACAATAACACTACCACTACGAAAAAAATGACTACCATTTAAAAAAATCACTACGGAATAAAATGACTACCATTTAAAAAAAAACATACCATTCCAATGGAATTCCTCCTTCCTTTGACTGCTACGGAATTAAATGACTACCATTTTGCTGCTGATTGCGATCGGACTCAATCGGCATCTGGGTCCCATCGCTTACGCCATCAGTCTCATTCGTGGGCTCTGTCTGGTGGTGGTGGTCGCACTTCCCGTCGGTCGCCCCACCATCGATGTGGTGAGAATGAAACTTTGAGTCCCTGCCGTCGATCACCAAACTTTGAGTCCCACCATCGATGATAACTACAGACAGTAAAATAGGCTAACCGAAAAATGGTGTGGATGAGAGTTGAGAGCACTACATCTCGTTGTCTCTTTCGAGAGAGAGAGAGAGAGAGAGAGAGAGAGAGAGAGAGAGAGAGAGAGAGAGAGAGAGAGAGGAGGGCGGTGGAGGGGAGGCCGGCCGGCGGCGGTTCTCGGGAGCGATGAGGTTACGGGGACTGGGAGGGAGCTTGGTGGCGGGTTGCAATAGGTAGGGTTTGGATTATAATTTATAGAGAAATCAGGTGTGGTATATTTTTCAATTCCAAAATTACCCTAATATAATCTTCATCGTTAATTTAAAATTAGGGTGAAAAAGAAATAATGAATGGTGTAGATTAAGGTAGCCACCGTAATTACTAAAAATTAAGTAACCAAGCTAACTCATCCCTCATGTTTTGTTTTGATTTTTGGGTCCAGTTTAGGTTAGTGCTTTAGTGGATATCCATGAATCCAATCCATTTTATCCATAGATTAAATGGATGTGGACTAAATGGATTGGATTGGATCAAGATTGTCAGCTCTATCTGCAATCCGTTCACAAAGCAGTGGGTGGCCCTTCCTCTAGCGCCCAAAATTGGGTCAAGGAAACTGTTTGCAAGATTGGTGTGCAAGCCCTGTAATTTGGGCGCCGCCGGCCGTGAAGAAGAAGAAGAACCGCCACTGGCCCATCATTCCGAGTATCGATTCCTCGTGGTGCGCCCGCAAGTTTCGAAGCTGCTCTTTCTGTTCGGTATCCGGGGAGTGGAAGGAACTTGCTCTTGAGTCTTGACGCTCCAATACCGCAGTGGCCAATGTCTCGTAATGTCGTTTCACTCAACGGGAGGCTGCATTGGAAGGCTCGTGACAAGAAATTGGTTGTTGGGTGGAATCCTTTCAGCCGCTTAGATGATGATGTCGTGGTTGTTGATGATGTTGTGGTATTCAAACCATAACAACTTTTTTTTGAATACGGTACATCAGTTTTGGTATTCAAAACTTTTCTTCGTTAAAGAAAAAAAAAAAGGGATTATGAACCAGTATAAATAAACAGATTGAATATGATTCAACAATTGAATGAAAAAGGACTAAATTTATATGGTGTGTCGCTTCCAAAGTATGCAAAGTTGGGGGGGCTTGCTCTAGATTGTAGAGAATTAGCCATGCAACCCTTTAAGGAAAGTAAAAAAGAGAGTTTTTCATTAAGCGCATTGATGAACAGTGTCGCCCAATAACTGATGCTCTTACAATTTGGTATGATCTGAGCTTTTAGAATACAAGCTTCTTTGGATGATGTATTTAGGTATCGAATCTGATTCATCATAAAATTTAGGACTGGCTATTTGGTCCGGGTTTTTCGGTTTTACCCAAAACCGGACCGTATAACCCGGATCGAGACTAGACGGGGCCGGATAGTAAACAATCCAATCCAATCTTTGGGCTTAGATTTGAGGTAAAAAACCGTTCGGGACCGGATTGAAAACTGGAGAAAGACCGGATTGCACAAAACTTATTATTTGCTTGAAGTTTATTACGGAATCAAAGTCCCAGACTCCATGAATTATGAGGGTTCAAATTTGTGTCTCCCATAAACTTGCAAATTATATGTCACAAAAGGTGGAATTCGAAGAAATGATCATAAATCCATATTGCAATCAAAGAAATTTGGGTAAATACAATTTAATATCCAAACCTTTCATTTTAAACAATATAATAGTCAAACCTTTTCGAAAACAATCTAATATCCAAATCGTCAACTTTCCATCCGTTTGACCGTTGGTTGACACTTCAAAAAAGCTTTGTTGAGGGGAAATTGTCACAATACAACTTTGTTTTCTTGTTTTGGCATTGCAGATGACTGAATATTTAGATATTATATACCATCATGGTGGAGTCATGGATTTCTCGGGTTTGGAACCACAATATGTTGGTGGTTTTTCAGAGAAGATATCGATGGATATTGATGAAGTGTCGTACTTCGAACTTTTTGAAGTGTCAACTAACGGTCAAACGAACGGAAAGTTGACGATTTGAATATTAGATTGTTTTCGAAAAGGTTTAACTATTATATTGTTTAAAATGAAAAGTTTGAATATTAAATTGTATTTACCCAAGAAATTTATAATCAAATTCAACGAGGAAACAATCTAGCATAAACTTACTCTTTGTTTTCTTCTTCTTTTCTTTTGGGTCTCCTACACCGTAACGTGGCCAAATTAAATCATTAGTAGTCCCACTCCCACTGGAAAAAAGTCCACCCCATCACTTTCCATAATACCTCACGATTAAAGTGTTAGGTTTCTCCCTCTACGTAACCAGACCACTGTCCTCTTCTTCTCTTTTTCTTCCTCCCTCAATCTCTCATCTCATCTCTCCCGTGATCATGTCAATATTCCCCAAACTACCCTCCACACTCCCCACCATTCTCCTCCTCTTCCTCCTCCTTCCGCTCCCCGCCGACGGCGGCAGCGGGAGAGATCGCCACGACCACGACCACCGCCGCGACCCACCGTCGAGCCACGTCAACTTCTTTCGGGGCCCGCGGCGGAGGCAGGCGGCGTGGTGCGGGGACGATCCGGTGCGGGCGTGTTCGGACAGGGAGAGGAGGACTACCTGTTGCTTCGGGAGGGTGTGTAGGGACACGCTGAGGGACGCCGGCAACTGCGGCGGGTGCGGGAGGCGGTGCCGGTTCGGGCTCGATTGCTGCGGCGGGGAGTGCGTGGACACGAGGAATGACGCGAGGCACTGTGGGGCGTGTTTCGAGGAGTGCCGCCGTTTCGGAGGGCGGCGGGACTGCTCGTTTGGTATGTGTGATTATGCTGCGGGGTGAAATGATCTGAATGAACGAACGAGTGGGTGGGTGCGTACGTGTACGGTTGTGATTGGGAGTTGCAGCAGCAAAAAACTGTGAGTAATGGAGATTGTTTTTTTTTTTTTTCCCCTTCCCCTTCTTGTCGTGGACAAAAGTGAGATTGTACCGATGGTTGTAGTGGAGCTATGTTTGTGGTTCGGATCGTGTTGGGGGAACAAGTTATCAAGAAATAAGTTACTGGCTTAATTATGTTTTCTCTTTTGATTTTGTGTTAAGTTACGACGATTATTTTACTAGTACTAGTTGAGGTAGGAGCGAGCTAGCAATGTTCTTAAAAAAACGTCTGAATCAAACAAATTGAATGCAGTCTTAGAAATATAAAGCGGTTAAACCATGATCTAGGGAAGACGTACAATAACACCAATTGAGCTCCATGAATCACTTTTTAATTAACTATCTCTCTTCAAGCCATTAAGAAAACGCCGATAGTTAACCTCGCTCATATTGACGTTGTTTGACGATGCTGTAGTCATTTGCTCGTGAATCGAAACCGAAACCAACCCTATTGGAACCCTGACGGTAGTAACAACAGAAAGGGGAAATGTCAAATAAGCTTGATTTTTGTGGTGGCTTCCAGAGAATCTACTCCCCTTGGTCGTGTTCGATCAGTTATGCAAAAGAGGTCGTTACATTAAATTTCACATCCAATTATGGTTACCGACCTATGAATAACTAAATCTGGACCTTTAGATTTAAGTGTGTCCAGAAAATTCAGATCTAAGGGTTGTCAATTAAAGACATTTTATTTTTCCTAGTTTTCGTAATCGGCCCTTATCTTATTCGTTCTAACTCGGATTTCAATTTTTTTTTTTGCATAGATGGAACGAGTTCGTTGTGCTCTACAAAATGAGATCAATTTTCAATATATTTCGAGAAACTTTTTTTTTACAAACTACATATCATATGATAACTTCTTCGTTTTAAGTCGTTTTTAAAAATGTTTGCTCAGAAGGAACGAGTTCATCATGATCTATTGGTGTTAGTGTTGTGGTATATGATCCATGATTGAACCTCTCCCAACAACTCGAGTTATTGGGATCAACTGGTTCTTGACATGGTATCAGAGCCTTCTGTGACCGAAAGGTCTTGTATTCGATTCCCGGTGACCCCCATTTGTTAAGCACATGGTATTCTTGTCTTCAGACCTGTGTAAACTTCAAGCCCTTGTGAGTGGTTTTCGTTTGAGGGGGCGTGTTAGTGTTGTGGTATATGATCCATGATTGAACCTCTCCCAACAACTATGATACTTTATAGTTGTGAGTGGTAACTTGTAGTAAACAATGATGAAAGTCGTAAATGACAGTTAGTATACTCCTATTATCATGTATTCAACCTTCTTACTATATTGGTATGTTCATACCATCATGGTACGCTTTCTTATCATATGGTATTAAATAGAAGCATATCATATGGTAATAACTGGTATAAAAGTATTCATTTTTTTGTACTAAAAATATATCAAAGTGGTCATCATTTTAAAGAGCACTTTAATCTGATTAATCTGTGCAAAAAAAAATTAAATTTCGACTTAAAACAAGAGAGAAATCGTCTGTTAAAAATTAAAGGGAAATAGATTAAAAAAAAAATTCCAGAAAAGAGAGAATATTGATGTCATGCTGATATAGACAGATTACTCATATTACTGACCATAGGGTTACTGACCTGATCCGTTCCCGTCACACAACCCCATCACCAATGTATAAATTTCAAAACCTATTGTTCCAATTCCATCTTATCAAAATCCATCCATTTAGAAGTGAATCTCCATACAAATATCGAATACAAAAGAAATAAAATCGAAAACCGCATATACACAAACACAATCGAACCAGAAATTGGTGAGTTCAATTGGATTATACCCGCAGTTGAAAATGAGTGGCGTTTCTTGTGCAAGTCACAGATCAGCCGAGCCATGTACGTACAAATCGGGGAAAAAACTTCCCATAAACAGCTTCTCACACATAGAATGAAACAATAACTCACATGAATTTCTATTCCATTTTCACCAAAAAATGTTTCACCCCCATGGCAGTCAGTCAGTTACCCTGTTACCTTCAGCAGAGGCCGGACCCGGACATGCGAGTCTAGCACGACCACAGCATGCCATGTCAGATTCACGATCGAAAAGCGTGGCGTGAAGCTTCGTGTAGCAGGGAAATCCCAACAGACTTCATTTACATAAGCCCCGATATCTGAGTACCCAAAACCTTATAGCAGCATCTGTAACAATCCACAGATAGAAGGATCAGAAGGGGGATTGTACATGGTTACCTCCATTCATCAGCTGCATCTGTAAACTTCCCACAGCATACAGACATTTAAAAGAAGGCAATGCTGAGCCAAACCTTAGAAATGGCTATAGATCAAACCCTCCAGGGGGACTTGGACAATCAAGGTGTATAGATGACATAATTCTTCTAATTTTTTATTAGTCTAAGCCTGAATGGTTCATTCAACAACTAAAAGGAGAAACAAAAACTAAGAAACCCAGCTGGTTCTTGCTCTCATGAGAGTGGGCAGATACAAGGAATCTGAAGGGAAGATCAATGTCATTCCTTTTCAATCTCATCTAAAAGAACCTTCAAGGATTGAAAGCACCATTAAAGAGCCTACTCCAGTGAAATATTTGGTGCAGGGGTCTCCACTGCATTGGGTGATGAACAAAGTACCAACATTTTTTCAAGAACATTGACTCAGAAACAGAATACTGGAAGCAGACTTCTATTTAGTAATGGTAGTCAGCTTCCAGTGGAAAGGTTCATAAACACCATGGAAACAAAAACCAAGCAGAACAACAGCAAATTGTTTAAGTGTAGTGTGTACAAGAGACAAGGGAAGCAGTTCTCACCATTCATGCTAATCCAAGATTGTGCAGCTTATTGCAATTAGGAGTAGGCAAAACCTTATTCCAATGCCGCCTCTGCATCTCCATATGACAATACCGCCAAAGCAAGAGCTTATATTCCTTGACCACACTACCCTCAACATTACTCCTATCAGTGCTCCCAACAGGGAAGCTCTGATCGAACCCCGGAGATCTAACATAGAACTCAACCCCATGCTTCTCAGTCTTCCTCAAAACCCGATACGAGTCAGTTGGCCGCAACGAGTAAACCCGCTCTGTAAATGGCACATAAGCTAACAAGAAGATCACCAAAAATGGCAGAATCTGCAGCAGAATAAACCAACAACTTGCCCCCTTTTCATGATCCTCAAACTCGGCATTATGTTCAGTTGCCCTTTCTCTTCTGCTCATGTAGGGATTATAAGCTCTATACCCTTCATTCCTATTGAAATACTGGCCATACATCTCGTCATCATCGTAATAGCCATTGTAACCTCTATAACCATCATTCCTCCTCGTAGCCCTTCGCGGTCTCGCGTTCTGCCGTTGCTGGCTGCTGCAACCGAACCCTCTTACCAAACCCACATGATCGTACTGCCTTCGAGATTCTCCATCGCTCAAACACTTGAACGCAGCACAGACTTTCTTGAACGCTTCTTCGGCCCCCGGCGCTTTGTTCTTGTCGGGATGAACTCTCAGAGACAATTTTCTGTATGATTTCCTAATCTCGTCAGCAGAACAGGACTTCCCCACGCTGAGAATCGCGTAGTAGTCTTTCGTCCTGTTGATCTGCCTAATCAATTGCAGATTCTCCTCGCTGTAGCTCCGATCCCCACCAACCGAACCTTCGTCGTTCCAATTACCTGCCCTACTAGGGTTATTGCTACTGCCGCTACCACGACTCTTTGATTCGTCGGCGGATGCTAGTTTCTCGCAAGCAGCGAGGAGATCGTCGACGGAGGACTCGCGATTAAGGCGCTGCGCGAATCTGATGAATCTCAAGGCGCGTTGCTTGTTTCCTGCGGCGATTGCCTCTTCGGCGATGGAGATGCATCTAAGAGCCTCGTCTTTGTTGCCGTCCATCGCATTCAATGGAGTTCCACGAAATCAGAGAGTTCGGCGCGCAATCGAGATCTCGGGGAAAGCTGTGAGGATTTAGAAATGGAGTTTGAGAGGATTCGATAGATTTTGAATTGAGTAGTGAGGGGAAAACGCATTAAGACCTTCGATAGATTTTGCAGCCCTCCCATTGGAACACGTGTCACGAGGTCTCGCCGAATCGTCGGTGACCCGCGCTTGGAAAGAATTAAGAAGACAAGCAAAACCCACGGGAAAATTAAACAAGGCCCAAGCCCAGATACAGATACAACAAGGCCCATCTCGTAACTCGATACTAAAAGCCTATTCCTCATCAACTGTCATCATCGGACATGAACGTCTGCCGCCTCCTGAGTGACTCCAAAACCTCGGTGGACCGAGCCGACGGCAACCCAGAGCCGCCGCTCTTCCCCACCGTTGCGTCAGCAGTCGCCTTCAGCTTGGGCACACTGATAGCACTCAACGGCGGCGTGGGAGCGCCACTATTCACCTCTCTCAAAACCGATCTCACCGTCACCTTCGCAGCCTTGTCCGCCACCGCCGATGCCACCCTTTTGTCCTTCGGCGAAAGAAACCCAGCGCCACCAGTACCGCTCGGGCCCCCGGAGGCGGCGGACTTGGCCTTGGCAGCTTCGTATCGCTGCATGTCGTAGGCGAGCTCCTTCTGCAGCTGCTTGTCGGCGATCAGGATCTCGTCGATCTCGTTCTTGTAGTCTTTCAGGAGCACGCGGAGGCACTCCATTAGGGAGCCGATGAGCGGGCTGTTCTTGCTCTCCAGCAGCCGCTTGAGCTCGATGAAGATCGGAATCGTGTTCTGGATCAAGCTCTTCCTTATGGCTTGCGTGATTGCCCTTCCTTTTGCTGACAGTCCATTCCCATCTCCGCCGCTGCCTTCTTCCTCGCTGGCTTCGCCGGCGTCTGAGGCTGATCCCCTGGCGGGTTGGATTCTGATCTCTTTGCAGGCCAGTACTTGGAAAGCGTCCTGTTACAAGGAAAAAAAGAAAAAAAATTCAGCGCCAACTCATTGGGAAGAAACTTAAATTTACGCGAGAATTTGTTAAGCTTGTAAACCTGAAGAACAGCCTGTCCGGTGACATCATCCAGCTTGAGCATTCCATCAGAAGCAGCAGCGAGAATCTCGGAGCAGAGTTTCGCAAATGTAGCCAAGAGATGCTCAGGAGCCATCTGCTTGAGGAGGGAGACATATATGTGCATTCTTTTGGACCTCGAACTCTCGTCATTGCCCCTTGACAGAACAAAAGAGCTTTCCTTGAATCCCAAGGTACCGATTTCTCAATGACATAAAAAAAAGGATGTGGATGACTTGACATGTATAGACTAGCTTGCTAACTAACCTGATGGAGAATTGGCTATCTTCGGTTCGAGTGTTCTTAGACCCGGTGTGTGCATTGCAATCGTTCAGCACGAACACGGCTTCCACAAAGCTGTTGTAAGCTAACAGCGGAGCCTTGACTGCAAGTATACAGAAATGATAGCACAATTAGTCAAAAATCTTGTAGCAATGGATATGGCTGGAGTTTTATGAGGTGTCAGGGGCTGTAACCTTTCAGAATGTTGCCGAATAAGAAGTCTGCCAATTGCCTTATCTTCTCCGACTCATCGACAAGAGCAAGGAGGAATCTGAGGAAGAGCACTCCTCTCCACTTCACATAGTCCCTCTGTTTAAGGAAGTTCAGAACTAATTGTCAAGATAGCCAAAACCCCATGAAATGGATTTCCAAGAAACCAAGGCAGTAAGGCACGGCAGTTTGAAACCCATTCAAAATTCGGTTGAAATGTTAGTGCAGAGGAATTAGTGGGCTCCATCTACCTCTGTCCAATCCTACTGACTCATGTGTTTATATTGGTGGATAGGATTCGTTCCAAGTTTTAGAAATAATTCGGGTAGAAATTATAATCACTCTGAGCAATGGTATTTCAATCTCAACAGAATTGGTTACATACAAACGGTTAAGAAGTACACAGTACCTGAAGCAATCTTGAGAGCAGGATGAACGTCTGCCGCCTCACTAGTTCACATGGGTCGCGGAGGCACTTGGTGATCTTTGGTATGTAACTGGGGTTCGTTATAGAAAAAAAAAACAGCCAATCAGGAATTTAAAACAGCTATATCTCAATCAGACAGAACTCAGGCAGGTGCGGTTCTCTATGTGGCCTTACCAGTCCACAAGTGCAGTATAGCGAACACAGAAGTCCGCCATTGTAACTACAAGATTGTTGCGAAGTGGTGCAAGATCACTTTTCTCGAGCTCCTGCATAACATGTGATGGCAAGTCAGCTACAGTTGAGACCCCGTTTGACACATAGGAGCATCTGACATTAACCAGAAGGAAAAGGTTTACTGCCACATTAGTCGATCCTGCATCTTGAACCAGGAAACGGCTAGCATGATAATACGAAACCAAGAATGACAGACAGGTATCAAACCTGAACAAACAAAGGTATATAGTTCTTCGCAAGTTTCCCATCTGCTAAGCAAATCTTCCCCATTGTCAACCACGCCTGAATATATAAAGAGGGGGCTGTCTCTTTAACTGGGACCACCGGTCCAGGGAGCTTGCTCAACTTGGGATCAGAATTTCCAGAAGTGATTATTGTGTATAGTAGAGGAATAACATCACTCATATCAGCTGAAGGATAAACAAGAACCAGAGATCCTATGGTCTGAACTGCATTCACTGTTTCTGCCAGTTGTCTGGAAGCTGCTGCTGCTCTCTTGCTCTTTCTAATTCCACTTCTGGGTGGTGTGAGCAAGCTGTTATCGTTGTTCGTTCTCGAACTTTCATCCATGTAGTTTTCCAGTATATTGACAGCCTCTGAAAGAACCTCTTGTACGCATTTGCTAACCATTGTTTCTGCCTCAGCAGGATGTAGAGCATTCCGTTTGCATATTGTTCTCAGGGCTTTAACATGTGCATTAACCTACCATCACATAGTCGCACATATTTTATAGAATGGAGTTAGCAGCTAACTAAGAAAATTGATCGTCAACATAAAATCATTTTAAATTACAACATGCAATATTAATTGTTAAAATTACCTCGGTCGAGTGCATATTGAAGTCTTCAATTCGTTTGAGCAGATTATAAGCTAAATCAGCAGCAGGCTCTAAAGGCAGCTTCTCAGAAACATTAGAGATTGTTTGCAGTAGAAAAACACGATCCCCTACCCACCCAACCGAATTGGAATTTTTATTGCCTTCATCATGAGTCAAATCTTCTTCCGGATCAAACTCGCTGTCTGCTCCAAACTTGTCAAGGAGTCGCCAATGGTGATGGAGAAACTTCCAGTCCACTGCATCCGAAAGGTGTGCTGAGACCTCAGATAAAAGAAGCCAGGCACCAGCTGGAGCTGTCCACTTATCTATAGGCATTGAATGGCTCAACCAGTTAGACTCAGAAGTTCTTATGATATTCTGTAGTGAACTAGCAATCACATCCTTGAGTCGTTCCTTCTTCCCAAGACTACTGCAGATTTTCTTAACCCAAGGTGTCACCTCTCCATTGCAGATTGTTTTCAGAATGAGCAGAACTCCATCAGGAAATAGCAACTCCATCTTTCTGTCTACTCCGATTTTGTGTGACTCGGAATGGGATAAACTGGAAGCATTATGTAACCTGGGATCACTTCCTGCTTTTGAGACACGATCCAGGACTAGTTCCAGGAACAAGTTCTCACACTCTTCTTGAATGCTGGTCTCATTATCTGCTATTAAACGAGGTACGCAGTGAAGCCACTCGGTAATCACAATTTCATCTGAATATGTTCTGAAGGCCTACAGTGCAATGGTAGAAGGCAAGATCAGAAACATCAAACAGATAACTTGAAAAGGGGATAGAGATCAACTCTTGAGACAGTACGCAACACGCGGTACTCTAAACAGATAATGATAGGTGTTGATAACTTGGAAGAAAAATAAGTCTTCGCAGAAAAGGTAAGTCGTTTTGCTTCATAATTCGATAACATTCCTCCATATGAAGAGTTTTGATGCTTGTGTATTGTTATTATTCTTATACAAGCTAACAACTCCATCAAGATTCTTGTTCTGATTCATGTAGAAAAGTAGGCCGTGAACAAAGAGAACTAAACAATGATCAGTTCAATTAACATGTAAAACAATTACGAACCAACCTGTGACACAGCTGATATTGCTGCTTTGCGTATGCTCACAAGTGGATCGGAACAAGCCATTCCCATAGTTTTGAGCACAATTCCATCCAAATTGCCACCAAAAATAGCAGTCAACTTGCTGACTAGGAGAAGTGCAGCTCTCCTAACGTTTGATTTCTCGTCCATACACCGCCTTCTCAATAGATCATCGATCCTACTCTCACCCTTCTCCATATTCAATTCTCCAAACCCCATGGCACGTCTCAGAGCAGCATGATTCCTATCATCAGAAGACAGAAATCCCACCAACTGCGCCAAATTTGATAACCCACGAGCTCTAATTAGAGCACTTGAATCAGAACACCGCTGGATCAATGCCTCGAAACACTTGAGCCCCCAGCTACCTTCCGGCTCACAATCAGAGCTCAACCCAAATGGATCTTTCAACAGCAGTAACAGATTCAACATCAAGTCCACCGCCAAGATTCTAAGATTAGCCTTCCCTTCGCTCATCTTCACAACATACTCCACAAACACAATTTGATCATTCAACTCCATAACCTTCACAATATCAATTATGGCCTCCACAGCTAACCCACGGGGTTCAGCCTTCTCCGGCGCCTTCCTCACCAGATAACGTGGTAAATTCACGCAAGCCTTGTTCACGCCTTCGCTTCTTCTAGCTAAACCCGTCACCAAATTCTTCACGAAGCCTAAGGCAAAGCTCCTAGAGTGCGATTTCACGGCCAATATCAATGGCGTCAACGACTTCAGCAATTCCGCTGCGGTCTCCCCTTGGTCGCCGTGCTCGGGTTTCAACACTCGGTTCAAAATCCTCGAGCACAAATTTTCCAATCCACTAGAGCTACCCGAAGAACTGCCTAATGTTTCCGAAGCTAAAACAGGAATCTCCACTACAGTCTGAACCAGAGA